TTTTCACAAGTCATTTCATAGGGCCGCCCTGCTTTCTAGAAATAATAAATATATATTATATACAAAAATACATAAATTCGTATCAGCTAAAGCATTCAGAAAAAATCTAGTATTGTATATATTATCAATACCCACATGGACGTTTTATGTTAGACAATGTTGTATAGGGTTCTCCGTCCAACTTTTTTTTGCTATTAACATGTTTATAATTATGTACTGCATGACCAGCCAGGGAATCACTTGAATGAAATTATTTTCAAATAAAAAGAGAACATTGAGAATATATTCAGTTTTTTTTTATTATTATGTCATTTTCAAAAAGAAGTTATTTGGCGGACCTTATTATATATATATTACAAACTTACCGAAGGATTAATTCGTTTACGTCAGAAAATACCATTTGCTAATTTTGTTCTCCTTTCATGTCATTTTCAATCGTTTGACTCCAAAATTGGGAGCAAAGTGTGTATATGTATCTGTATGTGGGTCAAAATTTGATTTTTTGTCGAATTTTGTCAAAACGACTGCACCATAATCGAACTCAACAAGGACCAGCGTTAATTATTTCACGATCGGACGAGTCGTTTCTTTATAAATAGCAGTTAAGGGGGCGTCCAATAATCACGTGAGTCTTAAAAAGGGAGGAGGGATTTAAAAAAATATTACGAATAATCACGTAGAGGAAGGGGGACTCACGTGTATTTATTTTGTAGCAGAATTAAAAAAAATCCAAAATTTTTCAAAAATATTTTTAAAAAATTACGATTTTTTCTAGGTACTGAAAATTTACGTGGTGCTTGGCGGGGGAGGGAAGCTAACTTTAATTATCATCAAGGGGGAGGGAGGGATCCAAAAATCTTGAAAAGACGATCACGTCCATTAACGGACGCCTTTTAAGTGCAAGATTATATAATTTTGTCAAAAATCCTGAGCTGATTTTGAAAACTGTATTGAAGATATCAGTATATATGTTGATTAAAGATCAACTGTGCCGCTTCTTAGCAATTACTTATAAATTTTTAGATATCACGTGTATTTATTTTTCACCTGATTTTTAAAAGTAATTATCTACACATTTTCAATAAATAACAAAAATTTTACAATTTTTTCTCCTACTAAACTAAAAATACACGTGATGTTTAGAGATGGAATGGGGGGGGGGGGGTAATTTTGAATATCACCAAGGGGGATGGGAGTCCAAAAATCGATCACGTGATTCATGGATGCCCCCTAAGCACGTGTTCATATATCATTCGATCATAGTGTTTTTATTATGTCGATTATTTACACACTTATGGAAAGTACATGCACCTTTCTTTGAGGTAAAATGCCACTTACGCCTTATAGTTTTAAATTATTCAAAATTCTTATCTTTATCAGAAAAATCGTTAAAATGTTGTTCAATATGTATGAAAATGATCCAAACTGAAACAAGACGGAGCGGACTTAAATGTAAAACATTTGAGTGATGTGTTATTAGAAAATGTTTTAAATTATGCAATTTTGTTCAAGTTTGCAAAATATTTTATTATTATTAGTCGAACTACGATTGATGTATTCAATTCAATTGTAATTTCGTACATATATGTCCCCAATTTAATTAAATTTAATTATAATGATTATAATCAGAGTATACTCAAAATATTTCATTATTTATCTCATAACTCGGAATCTTTCATTATTCGGTGAAACTATGACCTGATTTTCTGTGATTTTGGGGAGGTTTTTTCAATGAGAAATTTTCATTGATTTTTAGGCTCTACAACAAATCAGGAAGCAATTTAATTTTATTTTGAACAACCTTTTAGTTCGAAGCTTACCTTTAAATATCATGGGCTTGAAAATGTAGAGACCATAAGGAGTGTACTCTGGAGGCATACATTTTGTGCGATTTTTGAAAGGCTATAAAAAATTGGCAAACAATATTTTCACTATATTTAAGAAGTTATTATTTATTGTTTTGAAAATTTGGGGAAAAAATAGAAATTAAAAATAGTCATAAAGTTTTCTAGTTGACCCTCCAGTGAAGGGTCTCAAAAAAATTGGCACATGACTATCCGCCTGATTTTTAGTTCTCCAAATAATGTAATAGAATAATGTCGCAATCGTATGAATTACAGATGAGGTTAAAAAATTTTTGTCGCAAATAGCGACTGTTTGAATAAAATATTTTTTTTACAACTTTATTTTGAAATCTCGAATTTTTCAAAAAGTTGTAAAATTTGGAATTTAAGGATGAACGTAGTTCTAATTGAAAAAGTCTGTGGAAAAGATTCTGTAGATGTTTCAAGTAAATCGGTCCGTTCAAGTAGAAGTTGGGAAATCGTGGGTATCGCATCGAAATAGACGGTTTAGAGTTATAACTTTTACTGGGTTTATAAACGCTTTGGTGACGTCCATTAATCACGTGAGCGATTTCTAAGGATTTTTGGACCCGCCCTTCGAGATACTTGGTGATATTTAAAATTACCCTCTCTCACTTACCAAACATCACGTGTATTTTTAGTATCTAGAAAAAAAATCGTATATATTTTTTTTAATTTTTAGATTTTTTATTAATTGAGGTAAAAGAATAAATACACGTGATATTTTGCTAGACCCTCGCCTCTCCCACGTGATATTTTGTCGAACCCCCCCTCACGTGATTAATGGACGCACGCCTCTTTGAAGTTTCGCGGAAGAGGATTATCATGGTCAAGCAGCTATATCTCAGAAAATATATATAATTAAAATATAATTTAAATTTCGAAAAATACTCTTGTACACATATTCTTGAATAGTTTAAAAATGCAAAAAAAAACAAAATCGTTTTTTTTTTATACTGAACTGAAATACCCTTAAACATGTGCGTGTCTTCGGTAATTTTGTTGCAAAAGCCATTCAGCGCTCTCTGATGAGACGTTACAAGAAAAAATTAAAATCACTGAATAACAATATATTATATGTATAATAATGTTGAGCAGATCTTTGGCTTCTAATCAATTCTGGATTTGTTTTTTTCGTTCCAACACCTTTATTCTAACACTATACGTAGTTTTATTCAAACACTATATGAACTATGCTTCCACACGCGAAGGGTAGTAGTGGTAGCCAAAAGCGTTTTTTTTTCAGGTCGCTTTCGTGTTAATTAATCTACTGTTGAATAACAGACTCGGACATAATAAAATGAATGTAATATATCCCAGAGGATTATGGATTCAACTAAAGAGTTGTATCTTTTGATATAACTGAATTGGGAGTTAACAGAAATGTTCGGCGTAGCATATTATGGCACTGGAATGATTGTCCTTATAGACTGACAAATATTCTATAGAATTTTTATTTTAAAATAAATACATCTACCTTATAAATTTAATCCTCATATAAAATCTCGGAATTCGCGAGTGCAAAGGGTTAATAGTTTACCCTATGCCCTATAGTGAGTTATAATTAAATTTGGACGAATCAGTTAGTCCAACTTGTAATTTATAAGTCCGGGTTCAAATCAAGCAGTTGCTACGCTATATATAAAACATATAATCAGTATTAGAATACTGGGTAGTTGTTTAATGTAAAAAAATATCAAATTGATAGCACAATTATTAGGTTGCCTTCTAAAAAGCCATGTAGTTAAGTAGAAGCCACCTCACAACAAATTATAGAACTCTCAGCTCTGATTGCTGTTCAAAGGAATCCATTTCGTTTCTTTATTTATTAACTTCCCATAGGGTAAGTTATAGTAATGGGCCGAAAATCGAAAATGAAAATTTTTGCATATCTTCACGTTTTAGAGGTTTCTGAACATTTTGGCATACCTCAGAAAAAATCGATGTGTGTGTATGGAGACAATTTTTCGTCGACGATTTCGGGCGTATGGATCAACCGATGTGAATGCTTCAAAAACATTCGATGTGCTAATTAGATTTTGGAAAAGGCAGGTTCAACCGTTACGAAGTTACGGAGCAAAGAGTGCAGGAAATAGAATCGAGTTTTTGAGAGAACAGAGTATCCGATTTGAATGATCCAAAAAACGATTTTAAATTGATATATTTCGAAAACACTTATAATATCTGTAATTATATGAATTACATTAATTTGTTCAACACATTTTATTTCATCTTCTTCGTCTTCTGAAAATGTACAGTGGTACCTCGTTTTACGAGCTGGTCATAAGTGTTTTTCGAGATACGAGCAAAATTTTTGATACGAGCGTGCGAGTGAGAGACATAACGTAAACTTATGGCGGTGCGAATGAAACAGAATAATCTATTAGCAATTATAACAAGGAATTTCGTATGTGAAGTCGCATTTATCTATCATACAAATATTAAAAGTAAATTATTTTGAAGTTATAAAATTTAATTCATTAATTTTAATGTTATGCATTTGTTTGTGCAATGTGGATCAAATCTGAAAAGTTCGTGGATAAAAATTACCTCGAAAAAAATGTAGCTGGAGTTTTTGACGAGATAAGTCCAGCTCATTTTTGCAATATGAGTTGAAGAAAATAATGCTCATTCGATAGTTTTCTTGAACTCAAAAACGAGTATAATGATAATTTAGTAATTTCTTATTCAGAAATATGCTAAGTTTTTGCAGAGTATGTATTTGATCTTAGCAATAAATATTTTATTTATTTTTATTATTAATAAAAACACTCTGCTGGAACGAATTAATAGCATTTCAATGTATTTATATGGAAAAAATTGCTTCGAGATACGAACAGTTCGACATGCGAGCGTGCTTACGGAACAAGCTCGTAAGGCGGGGCACCTCTGTATTTTGATGGACGCCAGTAATCAGTAGCTATTAACGAAATACCACAGAACGTACAGATGCTTCAACATAGATTCTGATTAGAATCGCTTAACCACCCAGCAAAATTCTGAACTTCGATGAATTTTACCGCTTATCGTATGGTTCTCATATTTTAGTATAATAAAAAATAACGTGTATATCGATATCAGTTCTTAATTCTATTATGTTATATTATATATTATTAAAAAATATTTTGGTTACAGCGCGAAAGAAAACAACGAAAATTGTATTCAGATGACTGGGCGCTCGGAGATGAAGACATCGAAGGGGCGCGAGTTTTCAGCGTCTATGAAAAATTGGAATCTTGTAAGTATAGCTAATTTTTATAAATGATATTGCACTTTCCATTTCTTCAATCTCATTTAATCAATAAACGAAAATATATTTGGTATACGAAAATTAATAAAAAAAAAGAGTGCGCGTAAGGATCACACGCGATTGAAGTAAAACTTACATGAGTAGGCAATTAAGATAAAAATAAAAAAAACATCATATTTGAATTTTAAAAATCATTTATTAAGAATCACATAACATCAATAACACAGTTTAAAACAACAGCGATAGATTAATTGCTATCATATTTCATATATGATATAAAAGGTGATGACTGAAATGAGAGACATAAATTTTGCTTTGTAAACTATGTACATTTCTGGAGAAAACTGCATCAATAGTCGCGCCATATCTTGTGGTTGATTCAAATGGAGAATTATTCATTGTTAAATTAAATTTATTATTTAAAAAATCAATTAATGGTTGAGATTCTTCTGAACGAAAATTGACATTGAAATCTCCAGCAAGAATTAATGGTATCTCGTTGTGATTAGTGTTTAAAAGTTTTGCACCCTCATTAGAAAAATGAAGTAAATGCTGATGAAGAAATTTAATAATATTTGATATGTTTTTATTGGGAGAAATTTAAAGAACGACTATAATTAATGTTTGATTCTGAGTGTTCACACAGCGGACAACTGCAATATCACCTACTTGTGTAATTTCATTAGGAATATCCAGTAATATCGTTGGCGCAAGAAACTGCATAGGAGTCGCATTATGAAGAGTATCTGAACATGAATGATAGACAGCTACACCACCTGCTCTTGAGTTTGATCGTTTGTATTGAGTAACGCAGTAATAGTTCTGAATATCAATTCGTTCTTCATTATTAATCCAAGTTTCCGAAAATAACAAAAACGTACAACGTTGTAGCACTTTATCTTACAGATCAGGCAAATGAGCTCGTAAACTTTGGCAGTTAAAGGAAAACATTAAAATGTCGTTCAAACTTATTATCTCACTCAATTTTTCTTCTTATGTTATTAATTTACAAGTTGAAAGTCTTTGGAATTCAGTTTGTAAGTCCATTAATCCTGCTGGCCGTTTTCTTCCATGATAAAAATTTTTGTCGTTGTTTTAGCAATGATGAACAATCCATTAATGCTGGTAACTCGTGATAATGCAACATATAGAAGCTGCTGATTATGTGTTTTATTGTATTCATATACAATTTCATCAAAAGTACCACCTTGTGATTTGTTTATTGTGAGTGCACAAGCAGACACTAAAGGAAAATGATTTCTTTTGGCAAATATGATTTTATTTCTATTCATTGGAATAGATGAATTTCTCCTGAGAATCGGCACAGCTGTCCTACTGATATTAAGAGTTTGAATATGATGTGCAGCTTTCTTCCTAATTTTGTTACCTATCTTACCAGGAAATTCAAACCATAAACGTAGAAGTTCATCATTATCGCCACGTTCTATGTACACTAATTTTCCTACACAACCATTAGCTAAGCCATTACTTACATCAATATTAGTTGTTATTATGTAAAATTTATTCAGAACTAAAATTATTTCATACGGCAAACCCCCGGTATCAATAACCGATTTTTGTGAAACTGCTGACGAATGTATGGTTGTTGATCTGTCGCATGGCAACCTACATAAATATCCGTGGCAGTAGATATTATTAACTTCCCGTAGGGTAAGTTATTGTAATGGGCCGAAAATCGGAATTGAAATTTTTTACATTTCTCGACGTTTTGAAGGTTTCTGAACATTTTGGGATACTTCAGAAAAAATGGATGTGTGTGTGTGTGTGTGTGTGTATGTATGTATGGATACAAATTTTCGCCCACGTTTTCGGGCGCACGGATCAACCGGTTTGAATGGTTCAAAAAACATTCGATTCCTATTGATAGGGAAAAGAGCTGATTAGTTTTTGGCAAAGGCAGGTCCAGCCGTTTCGGAGATACGGAGCAAAGAGTGCAGAAAATAGAAATCGAATTTTTGAGAGAACGGAGTATCCGATTTGAATTATCTAAAAAACATTCAATTAGTAATGATTGGGAGAAGTGTTTATTAGTTTTTGGCAAAGGCAGGTCTAGCCATTTTGAAGATACGGAGCTAAATATGTAAAAAATGGCAATTTTTGAGAGAACTAAGCGTCCAATTTAAATGATTCAAAGAACATTCTGCTTGTCTTAACAAAATAATTGATTCTGGAAAAAAAAATTTTTGTTCAAAATTTTTTTTTTTTTTAGTTTTTTGTATATCGAAAATATTTCAGATTTTTTAAATCTGACTATAGTTTTAATATACTTTACAAATAATTTCAACTCTGCAATACAGTTTATATAATTCTTATAAATATTAGACAATGTTACAATATTTAGAATAATCTATTTGAAAACATTCAGTATTCCACGAACATTTCGTTACGGTACGGGAAGTTCCAGCAACTTGCCTGAAGGCACGATGCCATAATTGCCTCAAGACAGAATTCCACTTACAGCTAGTATATAATTTTTTTTGGGTTCCGTACCAAGATTTTTAATTACGGTACGGGAATTGCCAGCAATTTGCCTTAAGGCACGATGCCATGCACTCCACTAGTTTTGTCTTCAACGAGATTCAGTATAAATTTATTATATTCATGACACATTTATTCTCTAAGAAAAGTCTTATTCCATGAGGACATAATACAGCAACCTCTTCTTTTGTAAAAAAACGTGATTCATTCGACTTACGCATGACATGACGGGAGTGGATCGCGACTCGCGACTCGCGACATCAGCGCTTACAGCGTCGTAGTGCTCAACTTCACGTTGGCGTTTTCGTTGCATTTGTACGGATTTACACCCGTGTCGCGCCCATGAAATTTTTACACCCATATCGCGCCTAAAGAAGTTTTACTTCAAAAAAAATGATGTAAAACATCTTCCCGAGTACATACATGGATAAAATCTTACAAAGCATAACGTTCAGTTAACAAGGAAATGATTTTAAAGCATTTTTATTTTTCCATATACATTTCGACATATAATTTTATGCCATTATCAGTAGATTTGAACAATTTGGGGAACAATCATAAAATAATAAAACTCGTAACACTAAAGCTATCAGTAATTATTCGGATTATTTAATGACTATAGTAATAGCTTTAGTACTATTAACATTTAACTACTCTAAACGCAACCGAAGCAAAATCGAAATGTTTAATCTTCAATATATGTATATATTAGGCATAGATATTAGAGCCGTTCGATTTGTATGGGTAAAAATTTCGCATAGGCACATACGATTTTCGGATACTAGGGATCAAAATAAGATACTTTGCTGAAGGAACCATACCTCTAAAATGAATTTCTGATGTCCCGTGCATTGATCCAAAAATAAGGGTTGAATTTTGAAAAAAATCGTTTTGGCTCATTTAGAGTGACCCAATCGCGTCCAAATGCAAGACTGACCCCCACTAACTTCGAAAGGCCAATCCACCCATATGCCCATCGTTCACCACTTAAAGGTCTGCCATACAAAAATTGCAAAAATTCATTTTTTTTTTTGTATTATACTCAGCAAAAACTGTTTTTTCGGTTATTAATTCATACATACACAAAAGAACTTTTTCACAAAAACAATATTAAATTCTTTTTATCAATTTGTCCAATGCATTTCGTCTATAGATAAGTATATACGTCGAATTAAAAAGTATACATTTAACCCTCCTATAACGCGGTAAATTCGTACCACGTGTGATATGGAAACCGTGTTACAGCAATGTCGGATTTTACATACAAACCAGGCTAATTTGTAGTGCGTTGTTCTATGGAATCCGGCTATCGCGTTATATGGGAACCAGTAAGAAACTCAGATTTTCAATTATTGTTTTTATTGAATTGAAGAGTTCATATAAAGATATGATAAAAATATAAATTGTTTTTTATTGAATTGAATAGTTTATATAAAGATGTGATGATGAATATAAAAAAATAAATTGTTGTATTCATACCAGGATATGTTAAAAAACGAAACAAAAGCTAAACTATAAAAGATAGGTATTAATGTAGTATATTTATGTAATGTACTTTTTTTATATAAAATGAAATAAAAAAAAACTGAAACAAAAACAAACTAAAACCGATGTAGTGCACAGCTATGATGTAAACTGGCATGTTTATATAAATATATTTTCAAATTTCATCGTAGGGTAAGTTATTGTAATCGTTCAAAAATCGAAATTGAAAATTTTTACATTTCTTCACGTTTTGAAGGTTTCTGAACATTTTGGCATACCTCAGAAAAAATGTATGTGTGTGTGTATGTATGGATACAATTTTTCGTCTGCGTTTTCGGGCGCACAGATCAACCGATTTGATTGGTTCGAAAAACATTCAATTCGTAATGACAGGGAGAAGTGGTGTTTAGTTTTTGACAAAAGCAGGCCCAGCCGCCTTGAAGATACCGAGCTAAATGTGCAAAAAATGACAGTTTTTGAGAGAACTAAGCAACCGATTTGAATGATTCAAAAAACTTTCTCCTTGTTTTGACAAAATAATTGCTTTTGGGAGTGTTTTTTTATTTCAAAAAATTTTTTTTTTCAAAAAAAAATTTTATATTATATATCGAAAATAATTCAGATTTTAATTTTAATTATGGCTAAAGTTCTAAAGCTCACTTATATACTTTAAATAAATAATTTTAACTTTGTAATTCAGTTTATATAATTCTTATAAATATTGGACAGTGTTACAATATTTATATTAATCTATTTCAAAACATTTAATATTCTCCGAACATTTCGTGACGGTACGGGAAGTTCCAGCAATTTTCTTTAAAGCACGATGCCATACACAACTAGTTCTGATGGGCTGATAAACAGAATTCGTGCTATAGGAGTACCGTGTTATTGGAGGGCTGTCGCAATTTTACCTCTGCGTAACATGGGAACCGCGTTTTCAGAATACCACTTTATATTAGTTATTCATTGCTCTTCACTTCAACTGAATGATGTCACGTATCAAATGCTGAAACGTATAAATAAATAAAATTGTCTTCATTTTTTTTATTGGCCATTTAATTAATGCTAATATATTTAATAAATATTGATCGTTTGACTTAAATTTCATTCATTTATAATTTCTATCCTTTTTAAGCTAAATTCGATAAACCAGACATGATCCTGGAGATGCACGGCAGCGATCTGACTGTGGAATATCTTCAGAGACACGGTTTCAACACACCTCTGTTGTTTCGCGAAAAGACAGGTCTAGGACTTCGGGTGCCCACGAAGAATTTCACAATCAACGATGTCAGAATGTGCGTCGGAAGTCGCAGGGTCCTCGAAGTTATGGACGTCAATACGCAGAAGAATATACAGATGACCATGAAAGAGTGGCAGAAGTCAGTAAATATGATAATAATCATAAATGTAATATAAAGTTAGATTATTGTCTACCAATTCTCGGGTAAAATAGGTATAACGAAAATACCTATATTATCAATAATTAATATATTATAATAAAATATATAGTTGTAATTCTATGTTACGGGTCTATATTCGTATGAGTTGGTAGTAACGAACTCTGAAAAAGCAATGTGTCTGCTGTGCGATCAGGCGTTTTACACATAAAACTTAACCTACAAAACGTACAAACGGCGAATAACAATTTGTTCGTAAATGCAACTTTCTGATGTCCATTGGATAACACATACGTGAAGTTAAGTTCTAAGTGTAAAACGCCTGATCGCACAGCAAATACATACAGCTTGTTGTCAGTTTGTTACTCTCGATTCATACGAAGATCGACCCATAAGGGGGCGTCCATTAATCACGTGTGGCTTTTAGGGGGATGGAGGGGGTTTGACAAAAAATCACGTAAGGGAGCGAGGGGTCTAGTAAGATATCACGTTTATTTTTTTTAACCTAGATTTTAAAAAAAAAACAAGTTTTACATTTTTTCGTAAACTCGAAAAATTTGTTCGGAAAATTTTACGTAACTAAAAATACACGTGATGTTTGTCGGGGGAGGGGGGGGTTTAATTCTCAATATCATGACGTATCCCCAAGAGGGAGGAGGGGTCCAAAATCCCTAAAAAATCGATCATGTGATTAATGGACGCCTCCTAAAATAGTATTACTATAACATACCTTTTATCAAAGAATTGGCTACTCAATTTTAAATTTATAACAATATTCTTAATTGTTATTGAAATCGAACATGAAATTTTAAAATCAAATAGATTTTTGCTACCTTACAACTGTGGATGTTTGTTTAGTAGCATGTATGTGTATCTATGTATGATTGGATCATGGATTTTTCAAGGCAATGGATGAATCTATTGGAATTTAAAAAAAAATCATTAAACGACCTGCAGATTTTTTTGGTTTTTGAGAAAGGCAGGTCTACAGTCGTTTTGCCAGAGATGGCAAAAAAGTGGATATCGTACATAAGAATCAAATTAATAATTATGATACATTTTCTTTATAGTATACACCTGCAATTAGTCCAGTCATTGAAGCTTAAATTAGGTAAGATTCTCGGAATTCGGGATACCCAGCTGTAAGTCTGTAAATACTTGTACATTGACACTCTAAAGTTGTCTCAAAACCTACATATGGTAGGGTGTCAATACCATATGTAGGTTTTGAGACAACTTTACGATGTCAATTACAAGTATTTACAGACTTACAGCTGGGTATCTCGAATTCCGAGGGGAGCTTACTATAATGACTGGACTGCATAGTGAATTGAAACTCGCCAATGTGTTCTTTCTATCATAATTTGCAAAGTTTTGCTGTCACATTTAATCAAAATATTTTCAAATATTCAGAAACATCGAAAGATATTGGGAATAGTTTTTGATAATTTGGGATCGATCGGAATTCGATTTTTCACTTGATTCAATTTTCAAAATCAACTCCGTGAATTTTAACGATAACCAAGTATTTCTTCCACAAAAATAACAAGTAGATATAGTATTTTTCGAAAAAAAAAAGGGAAAATGTTGGGTGCTTCCAAAAAAGATATTTATTTTTATGTCCAAACATGGCCCATTTTTGACTCTAAAGGTGGCGTCGGGGTCCAGTAGACACCTAATGTACGAAAAGGGTTAATTTAAGGGGGATTCTGCTTTAGTCTTAAAAAAGCGATTTTTTTGCAAAAATGTCCTCCAAAGCTAGCCAAGAATATATCCCTAAAATTTCAGGAACAAATTTAAATTATTTTTGGAACTACAGAAGAAATAGTGAGCAAGCGCCAAGCATGTATACGAGCGGAATGAAAACTTCAACGCACGATTTTTCGGTTTTTAATGTTTTCTTGCTAATTGGCGGGAAAGATAGGAAAAAAACTGATCGTCCTATCGAAACGAGACAAAATTTATTGTATTCAGGATTAAATTCTATTCTAGTTGAACCTAAAAAAACTTTAAAAATGTTATAATTAATCCACTTTTTAAACAGCCTAAAGTGAAATTTTTAATCAAAAAACATGATTTTTTTTCAAGTTGCGAAAAATTGGTGTATTTAATACTTTTTTCTCGATTTTTTAGGTTCAACTAGAATCTATACTGTTGAAAATATATATTTGTTTTGATTTTTTTTTTGTTTCGGATGGAAATTATGACCTGCATCTTTCCCGCCAAATGACACTCGCATGCTCGTTGCGCATCGGCAAAATCTTTGTACCTGGCACATCGCATCGACATATATTTTAATGAAAAAAATTGAGAATAATGTTAAAATATATAACAATAAAATCCAAAAGTTTCGTTTCGAATGAATATTTATTTCCTTCCCTAAAATTTTTTAAAAAAGCGTTTTTTTGAAGCCTCTAAAGCGGGATTATCCCCCCTTAATTCATTGTAGTGAAACTCATTATTAATTTTATTCATCTATCTTTAATTAAGAAACGATATAGATTTCATTTGTAGAAATGTTGTTTTTTGTATATTCTACAGATATTACGAAGATCCAGACAAGAAAGAACTCTTAAATGTAATTTCCCTGGAATTCTCTCACACCAAATTAGAGAATTACATTCAATCGCCGACCGTTGTTCGGCAAATTGATTGGGTCGATGTGGTTTGGCCTAGAAGATTAAAAGAGAGCCAAACAGAATCTACAAATCTCATAGACGAAATGATGTATCCAAAAGTTCAAAAATATTGTCTGATGTCTGTGAAGAATTGTTACACCGATTTTCATGTCGATTTTGGCGGCACGTCTGTGTGGTACCATATTTTAAAAGGTCAGTAAGATTTATTTAATAGTTAGTGGTTATTTGTTGAAAGTAGTAATTGTTATATATATTTTTAACTATCAGAATAGAATAATACATCCGGATCTCGTTTTGCGTTTTTTTCTAACTTGCGTCGTTGGATCTTCGAAGTTGTCTTATTTTAGAGAATAAAATTTTTCAAAGAACGAAATTTAACCTGCAAACAAATATCCAAATTGATGTGTTCGATTGATAAATCAGTAATGAATTTTTTTTTCAAATCTTCATGCAGAAGAAGTTTTAACCCTTTCCACTCGCTAATTCCGAGATTCATATGAATTTTTCTTGCATCCGAGTGGAAAGGGTTAAAGTGTCTCAGGCGTTAGTTACGAATATCAACTGCTAAAAGGACATTTCTTTTACATTCAGAAGAACATTGCTCCAATTTTTTGTGAAGGAGCGATGATTTACAACAGCCGCAATGGATTTATCAGACGGTCAATAATAATTATAGGTCTATTTTTCATATTATTAATTTATTTTTGATCAGGTTAGTATCTTTTAGACGTTTGCTTTATCAAATATTCTTTTTGAAATGTATTATTTTTGTAACCATGGAACCATGTCTTTGATCTTTTCCTTTTTTTTCTTGGAACGTAACCACGACGCAAAACAAGATATGGCTGTACTTAAGTTTTTATCTTTTATCATATTGCCTTTAATTTAATTCGTCATCTTGATTTTTATTATAGGCAGTAAAGTATTTTGGCTAATACCCCCAACAGAAGACAATCTACAGAAATATGAAAAATGGGTATTATCAGGAAAACAATCCGACGTATTTTTTGGCGACCAAGTAGAAAAATGCGGACGTGTAAAGGTAAATTTGGAACAGTAATTGATTTTTTGGGTGATATGTAAATCAATTAACAGTTTATAATTGCAGTTAACAGAAGGTAACACATTTTTTATACCTACCGGCTGGATTCATGCCGTCTACACGCCATGCGATTCTTTGGTGTTCGGTGGTAATTTTTTGCATTCATATGGAATAGTAAAACAGCTGAAAATAGCACAAGTTGAAGATTCTACAAAGGTTAGTTTCTTTTTATTCATACTCTTATCAAAGTGATTCACTAGAAATGATTGTTTTTTGATGTTCACAAAACTGTGCCTCAAGGCACCTCTGGCTAAAATGCTATTACTACTTATTATTAATAATTTATGATACATTTTAATAAAATTGTATTTAAAAACATGTATATTATTTATTGTACAATAGGTTCCGCAAAAGTTTCGTTACCCATTTTTCACGGAAATGTTGTGGTATGTATTGGCGCGTTATGTGCACATTCTCTTAGGGAAAGATCATCTCTATGATGAAAAAAATGAAAATGATATGGAAGAAGAGGAAGATAGACATGATTCTAGTGCATTTTTAAATGGAAAACCTCATGTCCATTTAACAAAAATGGAATTGCATGGACTTAAGGTTCGATTTTAATAATAATATGAAAAAACAGTTGCAATAATGATTTAAAAATTTTAAGTCTTTTTTCTTGTTGATATTTAACTAATTTTCTTTGTTTCAGGAAATTGTTACATTCCTTCATTTACTACCAAATCATAAGAAATCTCTTCCAGAATTACTACGTAATGCAGTAGCTTTAATAAGGGACGTCAGGAAAGTTGTTGAATTACATTTTTGTGATAATGCCGAATTGGCAATTACTGGTAGACCAGTACTCACACGTAAGTTTGTTAAAAAAAATGTATGAAGATAATTTATTTCGGATTTTTCAGTTTTATTTAGTTTAGATCATTTTTTATAATATTATATTTATATTATACCATATTTTAGCTCTAGATTCTCCTTATGGAAATAATCTACAACATCCATCTGGAGGTAGTTACGTAAGCAATCATTATCTTCATGAGAAAAGACTTCATAACAATTTAACTCCGGTCAGAAGCGTCGGTAGACCGCCAAAAATTACATACGATAGTGAAGGAAATCCTATTCCACATAGAGGGCCAGGAAGGCCGCCAGGTTCTAAAAAGAATCCTAATAATTCATCTTCGTCTTCAATTGGTCATCATAATAATTCTGGTTCTAGTCCAAATATGGATAAGAATGGCGGACCTAGGAGACGTAGAACGAGGTAAATTAACATATCTTATAGTTTATCATGTTATTATAGTTTTAATTTTTTTTTAACTATCTAAAGGAGTAGTTTCTTTTCGCCAGAAATCCGGCTTGCTAATTTTTTCTTGGCGTTTTGTCCTTCTGAATCGTACGCGACCAAAATCGGATAATGTTGCGTTTGTGTTGTGTGCCCGCATTTTTTCGTTCACGTTTCTGGGCGCATGGATCAACGATTTGAATGGTTTCATTCAAACATTCGATTCCTATTGATAGGGAGATGTGCAGATTAGTTTTTGGCAAAGGCAGGTTCAGCCGTTACGGAGATACTAAGCAAAGAGCGCAGAAAATAGAAATCGAGTTTTTTAGAGAACGGATCATCAGATTTGAATAATTTAAAAAGCATTCAATTTGTAATGATGGGGAGAAGCGGTGATTAGTTTTTGGCAAAAGCAGGCCCAGCCGTTTTGGAGATATAGAGCTAAATGTATAAAAATAGCAGTTTTTAAGACAAATAAGCATCCGATTTGAATGATTCAAAAAACTTTCTGCTTGTGTTTACGAAACAATTGCTTTTGGGGAAAAAATTCTTTCATTTAACCACTTGATTTAGCCGATTTTTTTTTAATTATTAGGAAGTTCATTCAGCTAGCCTTAAGGCAAAATGATACTTACACCTACTTAGATTTGTGTTTTGTTCATTATTTGCAGTTATTTGACATAAAAAAATTATAAGCATTACTTTTATGTTTCAGGTGCAAAAAGTGTGAGGCTTGTCAACGTTCCGATTGCGGCGAATGTACTTTCTGTTTGGACATGGTGAAATTTGGTGGTCCAGGTCGCGCTAAGCAGACTTGCAATATGCGCCAATGTTTACAACCGATGTTGCCTGTTACCGCCGCTTGCGCACTTTGCGGCCTGGACGGATGGGGAAGACCTCCGGTCGCAACGTCGCAGCAGGTCAGTCTAGTTTAAATGTATCTTCTTACAGATTTCTTGCACTAAATTGAAACTGACTATAGCGATACCCCGACATGCGATTTTAAATTATTCCGTAATTGAGCTTCTGTACCTCTTATCCAATAAATTTAAGAATTTAGACCAGTGATTTCCAAAGTGGGTCCATTACACCTCCAATTATCATATTTGATGTGTCATTTTAGGTCAGACCCCTACCCCATCGAGATGGTGCTCTAACAGCTTCCGCATTGATGGAATGTTGCATTTGCTATGAAATTGCGCATCCATCTTGTGTACGAAAGACAATGTCACCAAATTCAATGGGATCGGAAAACGCGGAAGGAGTTGTTAATGAAGATTTACCCAACAGTTGGGAGTGTCCACTGTGTTGCCGTTCTGGTAAAAATGCAGATTACAGGGTAATTTATTTTTATTTTAGTACTCTTATAATAAAATGATTTGTCATATTTTAAAACATATTTTATTCCTTAGCCTCGTCATTTCCGTGCGCGACAAAAGTCTTCTGACATTCGAAGAATGTCAATAAGTAGTGATGCATCTTCTGCAATTGAGCACAAACATATGATTGATAATGATGGTTGCAATAGCAATGGCTCTGAAGACGAAGAAGAAGATGTTAAACCTACTCTACCTATCAAGCAAGAACATGATGATACTGAAATACTCAATTTGGATACCAAAAAAAGAAAAAGTGAAGAAGGTGTTACCATTACAAGCGCTAAAGAAGAACAATCAGAGCCCCCTAGAAAATTAGCTGTACGAATGCAGTTTGCACACCACCTCAGTAGTAATTCAACTAAGGTACTAAAGAAACCCATGTACCCCGTTAGGCCTGGACCTTTAACCCAACCTGTGATATCTCATGGAAATCATTATGCTTTGGACACAAATTGCCTTCTGAAGATATTTGAATATTTGCCACAAAGCGAACTGTTGAGGTGTGCATTGGTTTGCAAAACATGGGCAAAAGTTTCCATAGACCCATCACTATGGAAAGTAATGACAATCAAACAGTGTCGTTTAAGTGCTTCATTACTTTCGGGAATAATTAGACGTCAACCGGAGCATCTAATTCTAGATTGGACTACCATAGCTAAAAGACAATTAATATGGTTGTTGGCTAGGTTACCTACTTTGAAAATTTTAAGCTTACAGGGCAATCCTGCATCAGGAGTCATAGGTTTAAGGACTTGTTATTGTCCTCCAATTCACGATCTAGATTTGAGTTTCGTACAAAGTTTTAATGATGCTGCTTTACGTGATATCTTATCTCCACCTCTTGATTCAAGACCAGGTTTGGCTGATAGCAAAACTCGGTTAAGACATTTACGAATTTTAAAATTAGCTGGTACAGACATAAGTGACATTTCTTTAAGGTACATCACTCAAAATCTCCAACAAATAACTAATTTAGATCTTAGTTCTTGTCAGAGAATTACGGACGCGGGGATTGCACAACTTGCTACAACAGAATGTACAATAGTGAATCTTAAAAATTTAAATTTAAGTGGTTGTAAGTTAATCACAGAGTTGACATTAGAACATTTATCTAGATGTCAACAATTATCTTGCCTCGATCTCAGGCACGCCCCACAAGTGTCAACACAAGCAGTAATCAAATTTGCTGCAAAGTCAAAATTAGATTTGCAATGTTTAGATGTGAAACTAGTCGACAAAAGACGCAATAAGCAGACGTAAAGTTTATTCTGATAGGCCATGTTAGTTTTAAGCTAAAAAAGATATATCAACTAAGTTGTTTTAACTAATTGTCGAGTATTCATTATGATAATGCACTATCATAAGATGTATGATTTGATAGATGTATATTTTAATTTTATTTGAAGTATATTATTTTCATATTTTAACCAAAGACGACAAACTGAACAAATTTAATGAAATGCATATATATCACTCCTTTATATATTTCTACACATCAAAAGTAAAAAAATTATGAACTTGAAAAAATAATTGTATATAACTTATAAATATCTTAAATAAACATCATACTTTATATATATATATATATTACCATCTTCCTAATTTTTCTCATATTCTTGTTTTAATTCAGGTACATATGCAGAAAAAAATTATGTGAAGGAAGTAAGATTTTAACCCTTTGCGCCTAGCTGTCTCCTTTTGGGGGCAACGTAAGTCTAGCATAACACGCGGCTGCCTCCTCTGAGGCACTCGGCAGTTTAAGCCTCGAATAGATCAAGGATGGGCAACATGCGGCCCGCCAATATTTTAGTTAAAGAATTTTATTCATTTATTTTAATTTTGTATTTTTAACTTCCCGAAGGAGAAGTTTGTTTTCTTAAAAAAAAATCGATTCGCCAATTTTATGTTTTCTCGGCGTATGAAGCCATTCTGAATCGAATAAGACCGAATTTGGAAAAAGTATGTGCGTGAACAAATTTTTTGCCGTAAATCGACGTTTTCTCAAAAACGACTGAACTGGGCCGAATTCTTATTTTTTTTGGTATGTATCATGGTCTTATAGAAATTACTGAAATATTACGGCCTTACGATAAGTAGTTTTTTTTTTTAAATTCAGCAAAGTTTGAGAAAATAAGTAGTTTTTTTTGAGGTTTGTTAAAATTAAAAATAAACGATTTACTTGGTATAACGACAGAGTACTTGGTCTTAATGAACATACTAAACTATTGAAGTCCTACGGAAACTGGTTCAATTATAAAAAATTTCGATTTGTGAAAATTCGCTTTTAGAAAATTATGTGTAATGAATCCACTCGGAAAACTTTTAATGGCTCATATATATATATATATATATATATATATATATATATATATATATATATATTTTATTAAGTCGATTATTTACACATATCGGGAAGTTCATATAACTTGCCTCAAGGCGAAATACCAATACCAACTAGTCAAATTTTTATTTCCGTTGCTATAATTATGCACTATTTTAGGTTTTTCAATCCTGTATTAAACGTATTTTGTCGCGGATTATGATTGGATATTACCTAGGATTCCTAGGATATTCCTAGTATAACGCCATCTTTTATTGGTAATGCCTACAGTAAAATACATTATAGTTTATAAATTATTAAATTACAGAACAATTCGAGAAACTAAATTTTGTAAACTGTCAAATGTTGAGTAAATGATTTTATAATTTTATATATCATAATAAATTAATAAGCCGTAATTGTCATTTTACTTTTTTTTTTTTTTTTTGAAAATCATCACTTTTGCACAATCACGGTCATTAGTGAGTTTGAGAACCATTCTTAATACAAAAAATATCAACATGGTACCTTAAATTTGACATTTGCGAAAAATGGAGTTGGCTAGGATTACTAAAAGGCAAATCTGTGATTTTAAATTTCTTATTCGCTTATTTTCTACGCAGGATACAAGATTTTCAAGGTATTAATTAATAAAATGTTGTATATTTGATATTAAGTTTTAGGTTAAGTGTTGCGCAACTGTCATAGGATGGATTTGGAAGCAAAATTTACAAGAAATAATGAAGGATTTTGTTAGTACTGGTTTTTGGCTGTTTATTCTTGTATCAGAGAGTCTATTGTGAGATTATACGTTAATAACTGATATGCGTTTTGCATAAATTACCCATTAACCTTATTGTTGGAACAACAATAAACATGCGCCGTATTAAACAGAAGCACATTACAGTTAGTGATGTCTTATATTAGTCATTAAATCATGTTGCCACTTTGTGTTCAATTGCCTCTTTATTATTATTAATTTATCTCAACGTCCAGGTAAGAAAATGTCTCTTATAATAGCTACAAGTCTTGTATTAGAATTGCACAAGCCATTTTTCATATACAGTAATACCCCGTTTAACGCAGTATTGTTTAGCGCTGTTTCGGTTTAGCGCTCTTTTATTTCGACCCAGGTTTTGAAGGAATAAATGAGAAAGATGTCGAAGAAATAATTCAAGAAGCAGCGCAGTCTTTCTAATGGTGAGCTCAAGGAATTAACTGAACAAGAAGAAAACAACAAATGTTGACATCAAGATTCAGCGGAAGAGTAAAAAGTACTTTCGATGGTGTTTGTAAAAAGCACTTTGTCTACCATAAATGAAATAATTGATCAATTCATTCAAAATGATCTGAATTTTGACAGGAGCTCTAAAGTAAGGCGTGGTGTAGAGATGCTTTATCCGTTTATCAAGAGCTTTTAAGAGAAAAGCGCAGAAGAAAAACAACATTAGATGCTTTTGTCACAAAAAGGCAAAACACTGAAAACGCGGAAGACTAACTGAATATGACTGACTTAGAATGTTATTCGTTCGTTTTGTTGTTTATATTTCAATAGTGCCACAGAATCATAAGAGTCATCAACAATACCTTCGAGGCCAAACAATTCTGTTCTGCAGTCTTTATAGATGAGAGCCAGACTTTTGATAAGGTGTGGCACAACGGACTTTTATCGAAAATTAGATCTCTACCTCCAAGTGGTTATTATAATATCCTAGAATCTTATCTTGCCAATAAGAAATTCAAAGTACATGTCAACACTGAAACTTCAACATCTCATCAGATTGAGGCAGGAGTTCCACAAGGCAGTATTTTGGCGCCATTTCTATGATGACATAGCAGTTCTTTCGACACATGCTGATGCCTCTAAAGCTTTGCTAATTTTGCAAAGGCATCTAAATGTTATAGAGTATTGGTCAAAAAAATGGAGAATAAAAATAAATGAGTCTAATTATATAACATTTACACTGGACAAGATAGCATGCCCAGGAGTGAATTTTTATGGCCAAACAATTTCAAGCACTGAATGGGTCAAATCATTAGGTATGCATCTAGATTGAAGGCTGACGTAGAAGGACCATATTTGCACAAAATTAAATACTATAAAAATTCCAACCGCTGAACTATACTGGCTTCGGAGACGCAAGTCAATTCTATTTATTGACAATAAATTTCTAATTTACAAGTAATAAAACCAATGGATTTATGGCATAGAATTGTGGGGCTGTGCGAGCAAATCCAACATAGTGCTAATCAGAATAATTTACATGTGTGTTTGAAAGTGTGTGTATATGTATGTGAGTGAATGATGACATAAGCCAAATAGCTCATAGAATTGTCCTATATTCTGATTGCTATTGAAATATATATATATATATATATATATATATATATATATATATATATTTGCATATGATGCTCATTATTAATTGTAAATCTTTTTCCCTTTAGACTTGCAGAAGTAGGCAAGCTCGAAACACCAAAACTTCAAGGGAAGTATGACACTGGACAATTAATTTTACACCGTGTTTTTGGATATAGAGGCGTTGTATTATTTCCATGGCTTGCCAGGGTCTATGACAGAGATCTGCCAAATCAGCACCCAACTGCCACCGGGCCTGATGATAGCAATAATGTGGGGAAAGAAGTTAAAGGAAAAACACATACGTTTTATCAAGTTCTTATTGATTCTAGGGATTGTCCGTATATAGTAAGTGAAGGAAAAATGTTTTTTATGTTATTAATTAAGTATTACCTGTTTCTATTTGATCTTAAAATCTTGTCATTTGCAAGTATTTAAATTAAATAAAAATTTACAGTGGTGTTATTCCTTAAGTTTTAATTATTTATATTTGTTTCATTCCATTATTTTCTATTTAACTCTTAAATACATTTTTAAATACTGGACAAAATGTTCAAATGGTAATTAATAATTTATATATACAATTACAAACCTAATCTGTATTAAACAATTTATAGCTAAGAATCTTAACACTAATGGACAAAATGATGTTATTTATGCTGACTTCAGTAAAACTTTCGACAAAATTGATCATAACATCTTTCTTACTAAATTATCTAAGATTGGTCCTATTTCTTTACTTATTTATTTTTTTTTAAGAGTAATCATAATCGTGAACAATTTGTCTATCTTAACGGATTCTTGAGCAATATTGAAAATGTCAGTTCAGGAGTGCTCAAGGATCCATTCTTGGTCCACTACTATTTATTATTTTTATTAATGACATATCTGAAATTATTAGGTGTCCACATTTATTGTTTGCAGATTCAAATTATATCTCAAAATAAATTCTATTCATGACTACTTGTTATTGCAATCTCAACTTGACTCTTTCCACTGTTGGTGTGTCTATAACAAACTACATTTAAATATCTTAAAGTGCATGATTCTTACTTTTTCACATAAGTGCGTTCCATTACATATTGAATATGAAATCATAGCTGATATTTGTAATAGAGCACATAAATCTTTAGGAATGATACTGAGAAGTTGTAAAGAATTCAATTCAAATAATGCACTGCTTTGCATGTACTATGCAAATGTACATTCCAAGTTAGAATATGGATCAATCATTTGGTATCCTCATCAGATCAACAGCTCCGATGCTATAGAGAAAGTCCAGCGAAAATTTCTAAAATATCTTTATTATAAAATATACAAAATTTACCGTAAATGTGGCTTTGACTACAACACTTTGTTAAAAGAGTTTGGTTTACCTTCTCTTGCCACACGTCGATTTATCTCTACTATTATGTTCTTATTTAAACTTTGCAATAATGCCATATACTGTCCTCTTATTCTTAACCAACTCTCCTTTAATGTTCCTAGGATATCTTCGCATTTGCAAGTATTTTTTAATTATCCTACTCCCAAATCTCATTCTCTCTTAAATTTGCCTATTCTACTTATGTCCTCTAAATTTAACTTAATTAATAATGAAACAGATATTCATAACACTTCATCTAATAAAATAATATCCATCTGCTCATGTCAACCTTTTTATTTCTTTTCAAAAATCTTTTATTATGTAATTTTGTATTAAGTGCATAATTAATTTTACTATATATTGTAATTTATCCATATTGTATAATATTTGTATATATATTAATTGTTATCCCTTATGTAAAATAATTGTATTTTTAAGTCCTCTTGGAAAAAATCTGTGGGCTATATATTTAAAAAATTAATATATATATATATATATATATATATATATATATATATATATATAATAGACTATATATATATTAATATAAATGATGATTACTTAATATATTCTATATTGTAAGTTATCTTTTTCATTAATTTTTATTAGAGAGCCCAAACAGAAGCTGTTACATTTTTGGGAAATCAAGAATCTAGTCGCAGTCTGTATGCAATACCAGGGCTCGATTATGTAGCTCATGAAGATATAATACCCTACACATCAGCAGAAAGAACTCCATTACAGCATGAATTGTTTGATAAATTTTTGGCACATCATCCAGAGAAAGGCTAGATATAATTAATTATATTTCTTTTTTTTATAATGAATATTCAGTTTATAATTTTTTATGTTGTGGGATTTCAGATCCCCCTTTTGAAGCTCAAGATACTTTGCGAGCATGGCAAAAAAAGAATCATCCTTGGCTTGAACTATCAGATGTGCATAAGGAAACAACTGAAAATGTTCGAGTTACTGTAATACCTTTTTATATGGGCTGCAGAGAAGCACCTGCAGCTTCTGTATATTGGGTAATGTATAAAATTTAAATTCAACTAAATATCTTACAATGTAAAATATCATAAGTTATACACTTTGGTGAAAAGTTCGAATATTGTACTATATTTACTATATTCCTTATGTTACAATATTAACTTAATTTGAACTCTTTTTTTTTCTGAATAATGTTCATTCAATAGTCAATAATTAAAATGTATATTATTTATATGCATTCTAATTAACTTCCCATAGGGTAAGTTATAGTAATCGCAAAAAATTTAAAATGTAAGTTTTTATATATCTTTACGTTTCAAAGGTTTTTGAACATTTTGGCATTCCTTAAAAAAAATGGATGTATGTGTGCGGATACAAATTTTCGTCGACGATTTTGGGAACACGGATCAACTGATTTGAATAATTCAAACAGCGTTTGATTCGTATTGATAAGGAGACGTGCTGATTAGTTTTTGGAGAAGTCAAGTTTGGCCGTTCTGATGATACGGGGCAAAAAGTGCCAAAAACGACAACTCAGTTTTTAAGAGAACGGAGCGTTCGATTTTAATAATTTAAAAAAACATTTTACTTATATTGACAAAATGAAGAACTGATTAAATTTTTGGGAAAGCAGGTCCAGCGGTTATGGACTCTCAATAAAAATAGTAATTAATAATGTGTACACATTTTGTGTAATTTGTTTTTGGGTTCCGTACCAAGATTTTCAATTACGATACGGGAAGTTCCAGCAATTTGTCTTAAGGCACAATGCCATGCACCCCACTAGTTATTAATACATTATTATATCTTTAATATTCTGGACATATTATTTTTCATTTAGAAATGTTTGAACTGTTGTTTACATAATTAACTATTGAATTCATTATATAATTATAATTAATTTTGTACAATTAGAACTAATTTTCTAAAAATAATTATCATTTAATAATTAATATGGAATATGTTCTTAATAATTACATTATTTATTTCAGTGGAGGTATTGCATAAGGCTGGAAAACTTAGGAGAATTGAGTGTCCAATTACGAGAAAGACATTGGCGTATATTTTCTCTGTCTGGTACTTTAGAAACTGTTAGAGGCCGCGGTGTAGTTGGGCAAGAACCAATTCTTAGTCCAAGATTACCAGCTTTTCAATATAGCAGTCATGTTAGTCTACAAGCTCCAAGTGGTCATATGTGGTAAGTAATTTTCTGTTTTAGTTATCTTGTTTCTGAATAGGCCTGAATTATTTTAATATTTATTGATACTAAGTTTTCAAAATGAAACTGCTAATCTGTTTTTATTTATGTAGGGGCACTTTTAGATTAGAAAGAGAAGATGGTCATACATTCGATTGCAGAATTCCTCCATTTTCCCTTGAAAGCAAACCTGATGAAGGTCCCCCAACACCTCCTGATCATACCCCAGAACCACCAGAAGTATCTAACAATACAGCCACAAGTGCGGGAGCTGCTGTCTGATTTAGTATTGGTTTTCCTATCGTTTATGTATAATCTAAATTTATTTTGATGACTCGTTAATTTTAGTGTAATTGTGACAAAAAGTAAATGTAATGATTGTCCAGTGTTTTGAATGTGGTGAGAAGAAGCCATCTTGTCAGAGAATCAGCTTTGTATAAATCGAATGTAAAATTAATATCTGCTGTTATAATAGACAATATAAACCTATTTTAATACCTTCTCGTTTCTGAAATAACATTATTATGCTCTCTATATTGCAGCATCACATTAAATGTGAAATTAATGATAAATTAAATTTTTATAGAAAATATTACCGGCATCAATTAAACAACAATCTAGCACCTCGGCATTGCTTTCTGATTTTATATTATTCTAAAAACTAGTGGTGTATGGCATCTTGCCTTGAGGCAAATTGCTGAAACTTCCTGTACTGAAAATTAATTTTTTTTTAAATTAGTTTTTTGAGAAATTTTAAATTGTTGAAAAAATTTACTTTTTTGGAAAAATTAGCTTTTTAAACAAATGTTTATTTTTATTTTGAAATATTTTGGAAATTTTGAACTTCTTTTCAAAGCAATCACACTGCTTTAACTACATAGAGATGAAATATAGAAGCGCGTAAGCGCCGCGTCGTCGTCTAACGGACAAACGATGTTATGGAACCTTTAGAAATGTAAACAAAATTGATACGTATTATTAAAATCTTTGTAAAATATCTGATAATTTGATGATCATTTTTGACCGCTAAGTTTTATTTTTTTTTACTTTTTTCACTAGATCTCCAAAACCGCTATACCTACCTTCCCAAAAATTCAATCAGTTCTTAATTTTCTCAATACAAGTAAAATGTTTTTTGAATTATTCAAATCGGCCGCTCCGTTCTCTTAAATGTGAGTTACCGTTTTCGGCACTTTTTGCCTCGTATCTCCGAAACGGCTAGACCTGCCTTTACCAAAAACTAATCAGCACGTCTCCTTATCAAGACGAATCGAATGTTTTTTGAATTATCCAAATCGGTTGATCGGTGTTCCCAAAATCGTCGACGAAAATTTGTATCCGCACACACACACACGCATGTGCATCCATTTCTTCTAAGGTATGCCAAAAGTTCAGAAACCTTTGAAACGTAAAGATATATAAAATATTTCATTTTCGATTTTTTTGCGATTACTATACCTTACCCTACGGGAAGTTATAAAGCTACCTTTTTGACTCATAGGCCGCAATTACTTTTTAAAATTTTATGTCGTGATTGATATATACTAATAAACATTATAATATAAAAATACTAATTTTAAAGAAGTAAATATTTCATTAATTAATGCAACAAGAGAAGAATGCTTTATAATGAATTTATTGAAGGAAGAAAGTTGATGGAATAAATAAAATTCTACTTCTAATATTTAAAGGGCCGCGTCTTGCTCATCCTTGACCTATTTTATTTGACGCTTCAATACTAACTGAGTCATTTGTATGTATAAACAAACTGCTAGACTTATGTTGTACCTTATGGGGGCAGCCGAGCGGAAAAGGTTAATAATAAACAAACATTCAAATTAAAAATACTTTATTAACATTTAATTTAATTCATAATCAGTCGATACAAATAATTAGTCTTATACATAGTTCATTTACCATCTTATGAACAGTCGTAGAGGTAAATTAATTGTCCCATGGCTTACTCTCAAACATTAGTAGTATATCCAAAATATCGATTACATATTTTTTTAGCACACGGCTTCAATTCAATCATAACTAGGATTTTATTTAATTCATAATCAGTTGACAGATAATTAGTCTTATACTTAGTCTTACAATCTTAATAAACATTCCAGATTCATTCCATTGTTTATCTCAAACTTCTGTGGTGAAAGAATTGAATCAAGAGAAAAAAATACTAAAATAATAATACGATGGTTTCAATTCAGTCATAACTCTAACATTTAATTTAATTCATAATCAATTGAAAGATAATTAGTCTTATACATAATTCACCATATTACAAATGGTTGCAGAGGAAGATTAATTGCCCAATGATTTACTCTCAAATCTTTTGTGGTGTATCAAAAGAAAAAAGTTACATATTTCATTAGTACAACAGCTTCAATTCAGTCATGACTAACATTTAATTTAATTCATAATAATCAATTGATAGATAATTAGTCTTATACATAATTCACCATTTTGCAAATGTTTGCAGAGAAAGATTAATTGCCCAATGACTTACTCTCAAATCTTTTATGGTGTACCAAAAGAAAATAAAAAAAAGTTACATATTTCATTAGGACAACGGCTTCAATTCAGTCGTAACTAACATTTAATTTAATTCATAATCAGTTGATAGATAATTAGTCTTATACATAATCCACCATCTTACAAATGGTTGCAAAGGAAGATTAATTGTCCAATGACTTACTTACTTGGGGTATATTAAAAATATACACCAATTTTTCATTAATCATTTATCTTAAGTTTTTGTTATTGGATATAGATTCAATGTCCAATGGCTCACTCTTGAGATTTTATGGTATATACAATATATATATATATATATATATATATATATATATATATATATATAAGATTTTTTCATAATTTATAATTTAGTTTAAGTTTTTAATATTGAATGTAGATTCTATATCCAATAGCTCACTCTTCTGGCATATCCAAAATATATATATGAATTTATAATAATTTTTCATAATTCATAATTTTAAACCTAGAATAAAAAGAAACAAGTATAAGGAACTCACATAAAGTGCAATAAAAATTAGTAACAGAAATTAATTTCAAATGCAATATGAATGAATATACTAAATAACAATTTAAGTGAGAAAAAATTGTCACTTTTGTTGAAATAGTCATATTTGCATAATATAAATTTTGTAGTTGTTTGGATATTGCTAGTACGTATCTGTTTCTACATTTGTTTGGAATTTTAATGGTAAGTATTATTGTGGGACATGAACAAATGTATATATAAAATTCCATAACATAACAATATATATATACACTTACAGAAGTATCACATTAAATATATACATTTAATTACAACAGTACAATCTAAACTTTGTAATGCTGCATAGCATAAAAGAATGTCATATACTGTTACTAATTAATTTTAAAAACTATAATGTTAGTTTTGCAGGAATTCTAACAATACTAAGATGTGGATGATTTGGTAAGTCGGGCAGTATAGTTTCTTCATCAGAAGAGCACAAATCAATAAAGTCGCAAACACCCAATGGGGCCTTGAACATGTTTGTCACAGGTAAAAAACTTTCTACATCATCATTTTTGCATACAAGAGATAAAGGAATGATTTTGGCATAATCATCATTAGAATTGTTTAAAGGAAGTAATGGTGTAGGCTCTAAAGAAATAGGATCTTCCTGTTCCATTTCAATTTCTGCTAAATTATCTTCCTCATCTGAAGAACATAAATTTATGACGCAATCTACTTTTACTAACGGTTTTACTTCATTTGAATTATCATATGAATTATCTTCTATTTTATAAGCTGAGTCATCATCCATTTTATAAGCGAAGTTATCATGTATTTTAAAAGCTGAGTTATCATCTGTTTTATAAGCTGAGTTATCATCTATTTTATAAGCTGAGTTCTCATCCATTTTATAAGCGTAGTTATCATGTATTTTAAAAGCCGAGTTATCATCTGTTTTATAAGCTGAGTTATCATGTATTTTATAAGCTGAGTAATCATCAGCTTGATCATCTTTTCTATCAACTAACACTGGAGTGTCTACGAAATTATTAGACCGTTTTGTCCAAAAGGGACCGAAAGGAAATGTGTAATACCTTGAATGCATTTTAAGCTTTTCTCTGTATGAAACTTTGAAAGTTTTATTCTTAGTATTTGTTAAATACTTAGGAACTTCTTCATTAATGTTAGGCGCTGGACAACTTTTTTCTACTTTAGTTAATTTTTCATTCAATGTTGCTTTATCTATTCCAAGTTTTAATTTTTGGTGAAGAACTTTTCCAGCAGGAGATGAGAATGGAATATCTCGAAGTTGTTTCATTTCTGCCCGATTGCGTGTGCGATGAGTTAAAATTAAAGGTTGCTTTACAGGACTTGAAGAAACTTGAATGTTAGGTTTTTCAGCATCATTTATCGAGTGTAGTTTAAGATAGTTTAATAAGTTTGGATTACTTCTATCTGTTACACTGTTATACACATTAACTTCAATATCTTTGTTTTCGCAAACAAGTTCATGGGTATGTAAGTCACTCAAGCAATCTAATTCTGTATTGCAATTCTCACAAATGAATATATCAATGGCTTCTGTTGTTACCATTTCATCATCATTGTCATCATCCAAAATTTTTATGGCATTAATTATTCGAGGTTTCAAACATTTTCTTGAATCCTCTTCTTTCTTATCATACGTAATATTTTCATTCCTAAACGTGCATAGTAATCTTCCTTCACCCTTTACATACAAAGAGGTTGTGCCATTAAAGTTATTAATGTAACGTAAAGTTGACCTGGGATGACTTGTTAAGTTATTGCAAAAATGCAATAAATATTCACTATCGTGAAACTTGTAGCAGGAAATAACTAAATCTCTGAGAAATTTCAACCAATCATTTTCTTCCCAAACAGGTTCAAAATCTGGTGTAATCATTGGAAATGCTTCTGGCCACCACCTGGGCATTGTGAAGGATGGAGAATCACGCCCAACAGAACATTTCACCAAGAAAGGTATAAACCTCTGTAATTGACTTACTGTTGCATTTTCAATTGATGTTGGGAATCCATTTGCAAACAGCAAAGGCAAATTGGAATTCATGTTTCTAATTTTCTAAAAAACAGCTTAACCTAAAAGTGCATATATAAAATATTTATTAACTATCAAATAAGTTTTGTGAAGTTAATTAAAAATTAAGATAGTAAAAAAATGTGTACCAAAGTTTATGATCTTCTAATGATCCTAAAAATTCCGCCGAGCACTCCGCATGTTTCTTCAATTTTAAATTACATTTAACTCTCAGACGACAAAGACCAGTAATTTTTTGCACAAACTTACATATTATAGTAAAAAACTGATATCTGTTAGTTTATATAGAGAATGTATATATTTAAATATAGTTCTAAAGTATTATTCGAATTGAACTTGAACTTGAGTTATGCTACTAAAATTGAGTTAGTTTTGAAAATCCAAAGAATCCACTCTCGAACTTTTGTGAGTCATACTGAACATCGAGAAGTTAGCTTCAGTTTTGGCGTTTCTCTCATGTTTCTCTACATTTGGGTTGACTTGCGCAAAAAGTTCTCAAAGGTGTCAAAGTTTGCGAACATGCGGAATGATAAATGTTTCTGAAACGGTTCAAGTTAATGCAGCTAGGCGCAAAGTTCAAATAATTCAAATAACACAATTTTTTTATATGAAATAAAATTAGTTCTATTAGTATGTTTGGTTTTTGGATGGTACCCGTGTATATATTATAAACGTATACAAACTATAGAAAGACTAAATTTACATGCAACTAGTAGTGTATGGCATCGTGCCTTGAGGCAAATTGCTGAAACTTACCGTACCGTAACGAAATGTTGAGGAATGTTTTCAAACGAAAATTTTTTTTATCCAAAAGCAATTATTTTGTCAAAACAAGCACATTTAGCTCAATATCTCCAAAACGGCTGGACCTGCCTTTGCCAAAATCTAATTACCACTTGTCCTCGTCATTACGAATTGAATGTTTTTTAGATCATTCAAATGGGATTCTCCGTTCTCTCAAAAACTTGATATCCATTTTCTGCACTTTTTGCTTTGTATCTCTAAAATGGCTAGACCTGCTTTTTCCAAAAACTAATCAGCACGTCTCCCTATCAATAGGAATCGAATGTTTTTTTAACCATTCAAATCGGTTAATCCATGCGCCGAAAAACGTGAACAAAAAATTGTGTCCATACATATATACGCACATACACACACATTCATTATTTCTGAGGTATGCCAAAATGTTCAGAAACTTTTAAAACGTGAAAAAATGTAAGAAATTTTAATTTTGATTTTTGGCCAATTACAATAACTTACCCTACGGAAAGTTAAATGGACATTCGATTCTTATTGGTAAGGAGACGTGCTGATTAGTTTTTGCCAAAGGGAGGTCCAGCCGTTTCGAAAATACGGGGCAAAAAGTGCCAAAAATGATAATTAAATTTTTGAGAGTACGGAGCGTATGATTTTAATATTTCAAAAACATTTTACTTCTATTGACAAAATAAAGAACTAATAACTTTATTGCGAATGCAAGTCTAGCGGTTTTGGAGATCGAGTGAAAAAGTTTTAAAAAAAATGCCATTTGACGGTCAAAAATGATCATAAGATATAGACACATCAGATTATCAAATATTTTATGAAGATTTTAATAATAAGTACAAATTTTGTTTACATTTCTATGGATTTTCCGTACCAATGTTTATCTGTAAGGTTTCGATATTTTTTCCTAAATATTTCAAAATATAAAAAATTCCTAAAAAGTTCCTAAAATTTCCTAAATATTTCCAAATATGAAAAAATTCAAATTTTTCAAAGAATTAACTTTTTTGAAAAATTTCAAAGTTCTCAAAAATCTATTTTTTTTCAAAGTTTTCAAAAATTTTAAAGCTTTTTCAGAAGTTTTTGTACGGGAAGTTCTAGCAATTTGCCTTAAGGCACAATGCCATGCATAGATAAATAAGCCACTAACTTGAAGTAGCATTAGTAAATCGCTTACCAGCGCTCTTCTCATTTTTATTTATCTATGACTCTTCTTTTTCTTACCTATCTATGAAAAATATACAAATGTCAATTTCTATTTATTGCGGTTATGTTCAACTGATTTTCAAATTGCGTTGTTAATTGATTAAAAATCGAATTACGTTTTATTAATAATCGTTTAATAATTTATTGTATTATTTAAAATGAGGTACGGCCAATTGGTCATGGGTCCTGCGGGTAGCGGTAAGGTGAGAATATTGTGGAAGAATATTATTTTATGAACATAACCTTAAAACATATAATGCTTTATTATTTTTATTTAATAATAAAACAATAAATGTTATAAAAATAATAACACATTTTATGAACAATATTGTAAATTACAAAACACCTTTATTTAAATAAGTACAATTTTTTGGTTTTAAGTTGTATAAAGCAATCCGTAATCTCTTATACCAGGCACCCCTGCCCTGACTGAAATATAGATATGTATATATTGCTAAATAAATAAAAAAAAGTTTTGTCAATGAGTATTATGTATAGTTTTTATTATTATTCAAGTTTTGGTCATTTTACAGTCTACTTACTGCTCTGCAATGGTTCGGCATGCTGCAGATGAAGGTAGAACTATTCATGTTGTTAATTTGGATCCTGCAGCTGAACATTTTGACTACGAACCGATTGCTGACATAAGAGAATTAATTTGTTTAAGTGATGCTATGGAGGATGAAGAACTGAAATTTGGACCTAATGGAGGACTCGTCTTTTGCATAGAGTATGGTTCAATTGATTTATTAATTTATGTGTAAATTACTTAAAATAACTTTTTGATAGCAGTAGATTTTTTGTATAGTTTATCATATATTTTTGAGTTAATACTTTGTAGTGTTAATATAATATATATATACATATATATATATATATATATATATATATATATATATATATATTATAGAATATTGTAATATGAGTGGAACGAATATTAACTCTTTCCACTCGAATGCCACCGCTCCGGCGCCAAAATACATATAAATCTCGCAATTTGTGAGTGGAAAGGGTAAATGTTAAATATGAACAATACAACACTCAGATTTTTAACACACACTTTATTTAATAATTACAATTTTTTTGAGACCATGGTATGCCTCATCTTCAGTGTTATATCAAAAACTGTTACTTATTTACTACACATTCTTTAATATTTTATTTAGATTACATTTAATTTTTGAAAAACAAAAAAGACCAACTATCTCTTACAATGCTTGACGAATTGACTTACACAACTCTTATATAAACATCATTAATAATTTATAATTTTATATGTTTACTATTTTCATTCATTTATCTTATTCTCTTCAATAAATTAATCTGTTTTCACATTTGTTGATTTTAGTATGCGATCGCGCACTCCTTTTTGTTTACATAATAATGTCCATCCTTGTCCCTTCATCTTCCACACTTAAGATTTGTTTTCAAATATTTGCATGTTTAGTACTGTGTCAAGCATTGTAAGAGATAGTTGTTTTTCTTTTGTTTTTCAAAAATTAAATATAATTTAAATAAAATAATAAATAATGTATTAGTATATAATTTTTACTGTTTTGAAATTACATTGAAGATGAGGAATAGCATGGTCTCGAAACGTCTGTAATTATTAAATAGTGTGTCTTAAAAATCTGAGTGTTGTATTGTTCACAATTAACATTTACCAGATTATATATATATATATATATATATATATATATATATATATATATATATATATTTGGATTGGTACATTTTTTTCTTTCAATTTATTAATTGTAGATATCTTGTCCAAAATTGTTCATGGCTTGAAGAAGAATTATCTGGTGAGGAAGGTGATCCAGAAGACGATTATATATTATTTGATTTACCAGGCCAAATCGAGTTGTATACACACCTACCATCTGTTCGACAATTAATTCATATTTTAGAACAATGGAATTTCAGATTATGCAGTGTATTTTTGGTGGATTCACAATTTATGATAGATGGGCCAAAATTTTTGTCAGGTTGGGTATTTATTTTGATCTTTCTTATATAAAAATACATACAAATGAAGTAAGAACAGATAAATAGTTTTCAAAAATTTATTTATAAACATCGTGTTAATGAAATACAGTAAATCTTATATTAGCAATTTAAACATTAACACAAATTGAGTGTATTAGTAAACAAAATATACTATTCACGTATAAAAATCTAATTTCTAAAACATACTTATCATTTTACTTACAAAACACTCAGTACATTGATTGCATATTATATTATATATTATATTTGGCTAAATGGCACAACTTGAATACATTTGATATTACATATATTAAATCAACAATACCTAAACATTAAAATGAAAGAAAATGAACCTGAAGATAGTGATTTAAGTATAAATTCAAGGCTAGTAAAAAAAGATCCAAAAAGATCTAATAATGGTAATTTTACCGCTCCAACTAAACATCCAAAAATCCAGTAGAATTTGTAATGTAAATATTGATTTTGATGAACTGAAATCACCTGTAAAAAAGATTTCAAGAAGTTCTAATAATGGTAATTTTACCACTCCAATTCAAATATCCTAAGTTCCAGCAGAATTTACAATTTAAATATTGATTCTGATGAACTGGAATCACCTTCGAGTATTACTTCAAATTTCAAGAAAAATGAATTCTATGGCTAGAAAATTAACTTTAGGTTATTTTTTAAAAAAATTTGATAGCTTTTAGCAAGAATGATTCAGTAAAATTATCTTGCATTTGTAGACAGTGTAGGAAAAAAGCAGTATCAAATGATCAGGAAAGTGATGAAAGAAATAATACCAAAGACTTATTCCAGGCAGAGAATCACCAATAACAATTCTGTTCCAATAGTTAATTTGAAACAAAAAACACCGATCACTGCCTATCCTAGATAAAAAATTTGAACAAAAACACGAATCTATCTCTCCCCGATCAATCTTTAATCTTTACTAATGTCAGCTGCACTACAGTCTTGAAAACCCATGCACCTACTTAAGGAATATAAATGCCGCTGCAAGAGAAGATTTGACTAATTTTAAACAAAATTCTTTATTTAGGGGTCAAAACAAGCAACAAAAAAAGGCTTGATATATCCCCATCGAAATAAGCGATCAGCAATTCAAGTAGATAATTGTGCTAATTTGTTGATTGTTCTTTATTTTTGTATGATTGTTTTATATATTGTTAATAATTAAGTTTTTATTAAAGCATTTTGATATACATTGATTATACATTTAAACATCAGTTCGACTCCAAAAAAAAAAAAAATTGGAACAAAATTCCATAACAGCAGCTCAGTTTCAAATCATGTTGGGTCAATGAAGTAAATAAAAATAAAATAGTCTAGATGAAGTGAATAGGACACAAATTAATTCCATTAAAACATCAAAAAAGGAGGTGCATCGAATATAAATAATAATAGTAGTGCTTCGGATTGAAATCCGATGAAAAAATCAGGTTCATAAAATCCCCATCGTATTTCATAAATCAAACTGTAAACATAAGTTTAACTCAAAAAAATGTTAAACCTTCAAAAATCCACAATTCTCAGCTCAAATTCTTACTATCCCTACGTAAGAACTTTTGTTTGTAATAAACTTGAAATTAACACTTTCGACTCGGGAGTCGGACTGCCAGTCGGTACGCTGCGCTCGGAATATTATAGTGCTATACTTATCTCTCAACTCGGAATTTTTTTTTGTATCGGATTTTTTTAAAATGTGGTTATATTGCTTTTAAATATAGTTATTATGATAATAAAATAGAAAATTTTGAAAATTAAAAAAATTGCACTCAAAACCATGCTATATTGTTTAAAAAATCATTTGTTCACAGATCTTTATTAGAATTATGGGGATCATGAGCTAATAAATTAATTTTGTTATATATTTATTTATAAAATTAATGAATCAATCAATAAATGAATGTAATAGTAAATTAATTTTTAAAAAATAAAAAAAAATTAAATGTAAGTTTAGTTTGCAACGAGTCGTCGCCGACACGATTTGCCGCCGGAGCGGCGGCATCCGAGCTTAACGGTAAAACATATAATGCCGCCGGAGCGGCGGCATCCGAGCGCAACGGTAAAATGAACATGCCGCCGGAGCGGCGGCATCCGAGTCGAAAGGGTTAAAAGTACAAAAGAATAAGGAATTTCTGCTGTAATTTTATAGATAATTATATCAATATCTAATCACTTATTTTGCTAATATTTGCAGGTACAATGGCAGCTTTAAGTGTAATGGTTAATGTAGAATTACCACATTTGAATATATTAAGTAAAATGGATTTACTTGGAAAAACTTCTAGAAATCAACTAGAAAAGTAAGTTGATCGCAAAACATATCAATTACATTTTTAAAAAATATTATGTTTGTAGATATTTGGAGCCTGATCCCCACAGCCTACTTTGTGAAGTAACTGGTGCATCAGTTTGGGGAGAAAAACATTTCAGGTTGTCTGAAGCAATTGGGAAATTAATTGAAGATTACAGTCTTGTTCGATTCACACCATTAAATATCCAAGATGAAGAAAATTTAGCGGATGTTTTGATAACATTAGATAACATGTTACAGTTTGGGGAAGATGCTGATGTGAAAACTAAAGACTTTGATCAACCTGATGATGATGAATAATTTGGCCATTCAGTGTTTAATTTATTGTTGAATTTATAATTGGAGTTATGGTTAATATATTTTTATATCTTATATATTTGTTCCAAATGAAAGATAATTATTCTATATGAAAAATAATTTTTTATAAATTTTTTTACATAAATTAAATAATTCTCATAATTTAAATATCAGCTTCCATGTGCTGCTTGATTTTCTTCACAGATCTTTCAGCGGGTCTAATCATTAGGTTTTTTCCAAATACTGTGAATTCAAGATTTTCTAGGTGGAATTTGAAGACAGAGTTTTCTTTGGGTATAACTGCAAATAAAGTACAAGTAAGTCAAAAGAAAAAAAAAACTAATGTGTAATCTTGCCATACTTCTTGTTATATTATCTGTAGAGACAATTTTAAAGGTATTCTTTGTGTCCATTATACAAATTCCTTTTTTTCCTACTAGACCTGGACATCGAGATCTAACTATCGTCATTAATGCACCATGAAAGTCTGCTTTAACTAATAATAAACTAAAATTTTCCCATGATTTTTCTCCTATTGAAGGCACTCTGAAATCTGGAGTTATGTTTAAATACTTCGTCATGTATTGTTTCCACAAGCCATGTATAACTTCCATATCTTCATATTTAATTGATTTCTTAGGTATGGAATAGAAACCTAATGCTTTTTTCTGTTTACGATTCAAAGTTTTTTTCTGCTTAGTTTGTTTTTTAGGAACACTTGCTTTGTATTTGCCAAATATGAAACTTCTTTTTAATTCTTGTTCTATTTGGTTGGTGTCTGAGGATGGCATTGAAGCGACCAGCATATCCTTAATGTAACTGTTTTCTAAAATAAAAGAAACAAATACAGTTTTTATCAAGATAATATTAATGTCTATTATAAAACATACATATTGAGCCCATTTAATTTTTTTAATTTTATTTTTATTCTGTAATCTATAAAAATAATTACATTTAGCAGAGAATGCTGGCAAGTTGTTTACAATTAATTATCTACAAATTAGTAGATAGCCCCCAATGGCAAATCTACTATAATAAAAAAAACTAAAGACAAATGGGGAGCAAAAAAACAATAAAATGTAGTAAAATGAAAATATTATAGTTAATTAAACTATATTAGATCTCCAGGTATTTTTCTTTTGAGCCTGGTCGGCTGGCCTTCCTGGTATAAATGACTTGCTAGTTGGTTAGGATAGATGTCAATTCTGTTCTTATAATTAATGGCAACCATTGATATGTTCTTGAATTGTAGGTATGCCCGTGTCTTTGTGGAGGATTCCTGTTGGCGTGTAAGGAGGAGTGTTTAATATTTGCCACAGGAATTTGTTTAAATTGCTCTTTTTAGCAGTACCCCAAAGTTGTATTCTGTAGGTCCACACGGGTTTAATCACCGCCTTATATATAAGTAATTTGTTGTAAGTTGATAATCCTGAATTTCTATTTAGGAGCCAATTTTTGAAGATTAGATCTATTTGTTGTCTTTTGTTCTTTATGTGTATTTTCCAGTTAAGTTTGCTGTCTAAGTGAATGCCGAGATACTTTATCCATTTAAAATTTAAATCATGAAATGTTGCACAAAAAAATCTATAAATAATTTTCCAAGTATGTAACTGAATTGAACCATTCGAGACGGCGATTTTTTTCGAACGCGGTCCCCAGGAGCGAAAAGTTTTTTTTGTTTATATTGTTCATTTTTAATAAAAAAAAAACTTATTTGCTACAGAAGTCATCCAATTCGTAAGCAAATTTGCATAAATAAGATGATTGCACACCGTGTGATAAATTTTTAGAAAAATATCTTAAAGTAATGAAGAAATGTAACGCAGTGATGAAAAATAAAATACAATTTGTGAATACATTTTTAAGAAACACCACACTCATCTTGAAATAATTATACAATCTATTATACAATCTTTTTTTTTTTTTTTTTAATTTCAATAATTATTACAACTGCTAATCTATTAACATCAAGTAATATTGATAAATAATAATATAAATTTAAATAAATAAAAGAGCAAAGGATAAAATTTACATGAAAATAATATCCGTAATATGATTTTATGTAAAATATAAGCAAATAATAATAAAAATAAGATTAATAAATAATATAAATAAAATTTCAGAATAATAAAATAATACTAAAAAAATAATAAAATGTAACAAAATAACAATAATAGAAATAGTAAGATAATAATAATAATAATAATAAAAATAATAATAATAATATAATAATAACAATAATAATAATAATAATTTACAAATTTATAAGATCATTTGGAATTTTTCGTTTTAGTCTTGTTGGGCGCGCTTCTGAGTATACTTTGTTGGCCAAGTAATTTGGGTGCTCGTCTTATTATACAATCTAAACGTTAATTTTACATTAAAAGCAATGCCAAATTTTGTTTTTCTATACTTTACAAATACTATTTACGACGACTATTTTAGTCAAAATAACCGATAATTGCTCATTATTATTATTGCACACACGGTGTGCAACCGGTCTCGAATGGGTTAATCGTTTCAAATGTTTTTTAGGTTAGAATAATCATGTTTTAATTTTGAAGTGCAATTGGTTGATTTTAGTTTTAGGATACCTGTTGTCATTGTCTTACCTGAATCCATGTTTGTTGAATCTAATTAAACTAGTGATTCTACTTTACTTGACTTAAATTCGAGTTTATTTCACTAATGAAACAACCATGTGTTTTCATCTTTCATTCATCCCCTCCTTTAATTTTGACTTTGACAGTAGAAGAACAGGCCGTGGATTGTGGATCGTTGTTCGTTGCTTTTATTTTCTTATTTTTTTATAAACCTGTAATTGGACACGTTCTTAATATTAAACACCTGAATTGATTGTTATATCATCTTTTCAAAATGTGGCCAGAAGTCGAGGCTGCGAAAGCCGACAAAAAACGGGAGCTATCAATTACCGGTAAAGGCTTCGCCGAAAAAATCAAAAAGGACGGGCTAGATCCAATTATTTTCAGTTTACAACATTTGAATTTTCTAAATGTTAGCGACGTTTCATTGGAAATTTTGCCCGATGACATTGCTAACTTGGAAAACTTGCAAAGTCTTTTACTATTCGGAAATAAATTAACCACACTCCCAAACGCCGTGTTTAAACTGATAAATTTAAAAATGTTAGATGTATCGCGAAATGCTCTCAATGAGTTCCCTGAAAATATGAATTCTCTAAACAAATTAGTCAGTATTAACATGTCGAACAATAACATCGAATCAGTGCCCAAGTGTTCTATTCCAACTTTAAAGTCACTCGATATATCAAATAATAAATTAACAAGTTTTCCAGATATTTGCTACAGTGAGATGAATCAGTTATCAGAGGTAAGAATATATTATTTGCTTCAAACAACAGAGGAATGTACACATTTATATTCATAGTTACAACTACATGGCAACAAAATTGAAAATGTTCCAGAGAATATTTCTGACTTGCCGGCTTTGAAGTCTCTTGATTTGTCTTCTAATGCCATTAAAATTCTTCCAAAAACACTGGCAAATGTTTCCAAGTTGAAAGGTATTTAAGAGTACTTGTTTAAGGCTTTAAAGAATTAAACTTTTATAGTTGCACCAATTTTAAAGGAATAATAATATATTTGCATGGTTTCTTATTATATTATAGTATATTTCAAGGAGTACTATTGTAACAGCATGAAAAATATGTTTTTTAACTTCCCGTAGGGCAAGTTATAGTAATCGCAAAGAAATCGAAAATGAAAATTCTTATATATCTTTACGTTTCAAAGGTTTCTGAACATTTTGGCATACCTTAGAAAAAATGGATGTATGTGTGTGTGTGTGTGTGTGTGTATGTGTGTATGTACGTGTGTGTATTTATGTGCGGATACAAATTTTCGTCGACGATTTCGGGAACACGGATCAACCGATTTCAATAATTCAAAAAAAAATCGATTTGTATTGATAAGGAGACGTGCTGATTAGTTTTTGGCGAAGGCAGGTCTAGCCGTTCCGAAGATACGGGGCAAAAAGTGCCAAAAACGGTACCTCCGTTTTTAAGAGAACGGAGCGTCCGATTTGAAAAATTCAAACAACATTTTATTTGTATTGACAAGATGAAGAATCGATACAATTTTCATGAAGGTAGGTCCAGCGGTTTTGGAGATATAGAGGAAAAACTAAATAAATGAGCCATTTGGCGGTCAAAAATGATCATTAGACATATGCACATCAAATTATCAGATATTTTATAGAGATTTTAACAATAAGTATACATTTTGTTAACATTCCTATGGGTTCCGTACCAATGCTTATGCGTTAGACAGCGACGCGGCGCTTACGCGCTTTATATTTTGTCCTTATGCAGTTAAAGCAGTACGATTGCTCTGAATAAAAAGTTCAGATCTTCCACAATATGTCAAAATAAAGAAAAAAATTTTTTTTTTTCAAAAAAAAACTAATTTTTTGTCCAATTTATAGTTTCTCAAAAATCTTATTTTTTCAAAGTAATTTTTTTTCAAAAATATTAATCGTTTTTAAAAAAATAATAATTTTTGGTACGGGAAGTTCCAGCAATTTGCCTTAAGGCACGATGCCCTAATTGCCTTAAGACAGAATTCCATTTACAGCTAGTTTGTATTTTGTTTGGGTGGGTTACGTTCCAAGAATTTTAAAAAACATGCTACATATCATAATTTTATAATAAATATTGTTATATTTATTAATTTTTTAGTAATTAATATACATTGCATGAACTATATGATTTTTTTTGTCATAACTAACTGGTACATGCTATCGAACACAATCCTTTTTTTTCATTTTCTGTAGTACTTCCAGATTTGTGCATTATTTTTTGCAATTATTTAGCGATTAGTTAATTTTAGCGAAAAGATATTTATATATTTACCACATGCAAAGTTATCTTTAATAAAAATTTTGTGCGTATTTTATTCGAAGGATCTTTATTTAAGACTGATTGATTAATCATTCGGATAAGCCTAGAGTTTTTTATCTATGAAACTTATAGTTATCTTTTGCATTATTGTTATTTTTTGCATTAGTTCCATCACATTTATTGAGCGATTGTACTTCGATTTTACTAATGTTTGATTTTCATAGATTTTACTATATTTTCTATTTTATTAGGGTTTTGCTCAATGCTGAAACAGTGTTAGAGCAAACCCGTGCTTTAAAAGTACTGTGTTATGAGAGGGATGGTATCAATTCTTGAACTGTGTTAGGGAGAATTCGTGTTATAGAAGCACCGTGTTCTGCGGGGCTTAGCTGTAGTATATATGTATCATTTAACGGATACAAATTTTTGTCCACGATTTTGTGAACACGGATCAACCAATTTGAATAATTCAACAAGACATTCAATTCCTTTGATGGGGTGACGTGCTGATTAGTTTTTGGCAGAAGCAGATTCAGTGGTTCAGGAGATCTGATATAAAAAGTAACAAAAAATAGAAATTAGATATATTCACATCAAATTATCAGATATTTTATAGAGATTTTAATAATAACACTTTTTGTTTACTTTTTTATGGGTTAATCGATACAAATTGTTTTGAAAAAACGTTCAAAATTTTCAAAATATTTCAAAATACATACAAAACAAATTCGAATTTTTTAAAAGTCTATTTTTTATCAATATTCTCAAAAATTTCATTTTTTCAAAGTTCAAATTAATATTTTTCAAAAAAATTAATTTTCGATACAGAAAATTCCAGGAATTTGCTATGCACCACTAGTTTGTATAATAATTCATTATGAAATAGATAAGAATATAATGGATGTATGTGTGTGTGTGTGTGTGCGGATACAAATTTTCGTCGACGATTTCGGGAACACCGATCAACCGATTTGAATAATTCAAAAAACATTCGATTTGTACTGATAAGGAGACATGCTGATTAGTTTTTGGCGAAGGCAGGTCTAGCCGTTCCGAAGATACGGGGCAAAAAGTGCCAAAAACGGTAGCTCAGTTTTTAAGAGAACGGAACGTTTGAATTTAATTATTCAGAAAACATTTTACTTGTATTGACAAGATGAAGATCTGATTAAATTTTTGGGAAGGCAGGTCCAGCGGTTAGGGACTCTCAATAAAAATAAATTTAAAAAAATATCAATTGGCAGTCTAAAATGTTTATACATATGCACATCAAATTATCAGATATTTTATAGAGATTTCAATAATGTGTACACATTTTGTGTAAATTTTTTTGGGTTTCGTACCAAGATTTTTAATTACGGTACCGGAAGTTCCAGCAATTTGCCTTAAGGTACGATGCCTTGCACCACACTAGTTTAAAATTTAGTTTATAGATGCTTTTGCTTAACTAGGGATTTATGGTTTCCAGAAATATTTGTATGGTTTCTTAAGGGGCACCACTACTGTAGTAAGCCTAAACAATAATGTTTTTTTTGTATTTTTTTTGGATTGGAGGAAAGGCAACAAAATTATATTATTGAAAATTTTTTTGATTGTATATTTAAGTAATAAAATAGAAAATTAACAAAAAATCATGGCAACCACACTTAGTTTTGTATTTATTGTTGTAACTAGAGAAAATTTAGGGGATTTTAAAAATATTAATTCAATGTGATTGGCAAGATTGATTATTATGTGACTGTGATCATAATAGTTATGAAATTGAAACAATTGATGTTAATTTTTATGTCTTAATAATACAATCGCGTTTTTTCTGTATTCAACATTTGTTCTTAATTTGCAAGTAAAACTATCATTGTTGGCTCATTATGTTAGATTTAATTATTCTAATATGTATTTATGTAGTGTATATTTGGTTGATAATTGTGGTAATTTATTTATTCTATCTAGTTAATACTAAAATAGTTACTGATACAAATTATATATAGTCCAGTCATTTAAACTTAAATTAGGTAAGAATCTCATAATTCAAGATACCCAGCTGTAAGTCTGTAAATACTTGTATATTGACACCTTAAAGTTGTCTCAAAACCTACATGGTATACGCAACATATGTAGGTTTTGAGACAACTTTTAGGGTGCAAAATATAAATATTTACAGGCTTACAGCTGGGTATCTTGAATTCCGAGGTGAACTTACAACTAGTTTAATTATTCTATTTTATTGTTACTAAAATGGTTAAATGATACAAATGATTTAATTTTGCCTATTACATACATCATTATTATATATTAAGTTTTGACTGAGGAATTCAATAATTTTAATTTTTATTTTAGATCTAAACTTGAAAGAAAATCCATTAAGTGATAAAAGATTGTTCAAACTCGTGGAACAATGTCGTACCAAACAAATACTGGATTATGTTAAACAACATGGGTATGTTTCTAAAGATGATTCAAAAGCCTCGACTGGTAATAAAAATCAACCAAGTAAAACAAACAAATCAGAACAACCGGAAAAAAATATAAATACCAAAGCACATAGAATTAAAGTATTTAGGGCTCAAGATGATGGAATAAAAGTACAATATTGCGAAGAAGTAAGTTCATTATTTTAAAGTTGTTGGAAATATACTTTTTACTCAAAAATATTTATGAACTTTGTTCATTTCTAGGTCCGACAACTAAGACCTTTCATATTTTGTTGTGTTGTTAAAAATATAAATCTAAAAGGTGAAAATAGACTACGCAGATTTTTGCAAGCTCAAACTAGATTGCACGATACTGTATGTCTAAAACGAGAAGGAGCTACCATTGCCACTCATGACGCTAGCAAAATCAAAGGTATGCATGGTTATTTGTTTATTTATTTTTAACTTGAAGTTAATGTTTTTGCCACAAAATCCAATTTGTAAATTTTACGTTTTCTCGACGTTTTTTAAGCCATTCTGAATCGAATGAAACTAAATTTGGTAAAAGTATATGTGTGTATGTGAGACATTAATTGACCTTTCATCATCATTATATATATATATATATATATATATATATATATATATATATATATATATATATATATATATATATATATATATATATATATATATATATATATATATATATATTAACAAGGTCTAGTAATCAGGAATAACATCAATAAAAACACAGTTTTACTAGACCTTGTTAATACATATGTCAACATCAAATTCAGAATCATACAATATATATATATATATATATATATATATATATATATATATACGAGTATGTATATATATATATATATATATATATATATATATATTAGGGTGGTCCTTTAAATGGTCATTTTCGAATTTTCTTGCTCCCAGGGGCTCAAATAGTTCCAAATAGATAAAAAACAATTCTCTGAAAGTTCTAGCTCTTAATATTAATGTTTAGATAGAGCGCAATTCAATCAAAGTTTTGTATGGAAATAGCATAAAAAAATTGCAGGGTTTCGAATTTTCAATAAAAAATGGCACAAATTTTCACTTTTAATTCATTTGTCGCAAAGTAATACCTAAAATTTTTTTTTTAATTTTCAAAATTTTCTCCATGCTATTTCCATACGAAGTTTGATTCAATTGCGCTCTATCTAAACGTTAATATTAAGAGCTAAAACTTTCAGAGAATTGTTTTTTATCTATTTGGAACCATTTGAGCCCCTGGGAGCAAGGAAATTCGAAAATGACTATTTTAAGGACCACCCTAATATATATATATATATATATATATATAATATGTAATTTTAAAGCCATTTGATATATCTGGATAAAGACTACTATTGTTAGTCAGTTCTGCGCGATGATTGGTCAAGCCATTTCTTTGTAATAAGCAGAAAAGTGTTAAGTTTTTCGTACACGTTTTAGCCCACAATTTCAATCGATCTCAAAAATTCAAAAATCTGATCAAAAGATATTGGTTGGGAATCGCGTTGATTAATTTTTGGTAAAGATCAGCCATGTCGTTTCTTTGTAATTAAATGTTGAGTTTTTTTTTTTGACGATTTTGATAAAACTTTGTATAACGATAGAATTCGTAGTCTGAAATAACATACTAAAATATTAGAGGCCTACGATAAATGGTTGTACTATAAAAATTCATCAAAGTTTAAAATTTGCGCGCGCTTTAGCGATTCTAGTCAGAGTCTATACCAAAGCAGATGTATGATCTGTGGTGGTTTGCAGGCAACTACTGATTACAGTTTACGTCCACACTTAAATAAAATACATTTTTGGAGCACGAAAAGATAATTAACACACATTTCATCTCAAAATGTTTTAAACAAATTAATTTTATTTATACAATTAAAGGTATAAGTATAATGTTTCAAAGATATCAAATAAAGAAGAGTGCATGTAAGGTTGAAGTAAAACTTATTTGCTACTGTACAAAATGGCATTTAAGTATAAATAAATACATCATATGAAAATTTTGAATAATGTTTATTATATATGATAACACTCGTAATGCACACATTTATTAGTGTCAGCCATTATAAACATCTATGTAATGATAAATTATAAATTATATTTATAATAGCATTAAAAATATGTATAATATTTAAAAACAATAATGTAATTAAAGTCATACTTCAAATATGACATGATCGGTTTATCATTGTAATTACCATTTAGAAATGAACCTTCATCAGAGAAATGAAGTAATTGCTGATTAATAAATTCTATAATATTTGTTCACACAGTGGATTGTGTTAAATAACATCTAAACAAATATTATTTCCGCAACTTCACTCATCATGTAATTGTGTTTGAAGAACTTCATGTAATTAAAATTAACATACATTCATTGATTGCTTGTATTTTTTTTACTTTTTCTCTAGCTATATAATCTCATTCTTTAAATAGCTGTAATATCTGTCTTGTCTAAAAATATTTTCTATTTTAATAACTTTAAAGATTTATAGAAACTATGAATAATATAGAAATAATTTCTAATCAATAAACTTACGTTTAGTACATGGCACAAATGTTTAATTTGTTTTATTATTTTTAAGGAACAGGGTAAAATATTCTTCTGATTCAGGCAGTTTTCATTAAATCAAGATTTGTACTACGATGTAACCTTAAAATGTTTATCTATGCCGATTTCCTTGTTGATATCGATACGCATACATCGTTGATGCCGGTACGCATACAACGATAGAAATGATCTCATCGAGAGCGAATGACGAACAGTTCGGGCAACGCTATTTCCGTTGCATTTGTATGGATTTACACCCTTGTCGCGCCTAAATAAGTTTTAATTGCAAAATCTTTATTTTTGGACTGAACAGTTGAATATTTTATCTAAATAACTAATTATAATTTTTGTTGATCAAGTCGATTATTTACACATCTTGAGAAGTTCATGCAACTTGCCTTAAAGAAAATGCCACTTACAAGTAAAAAATTAATATTCTATTATATCACTTAGGAAATCTACTAGACTACACTGCATTACCACCTGGAAAACTTTTCGTAACACCATTAGGTCAGTCTAATGCAATTACAGTTACAGATATTTATACTTATTGGAAGGTAAAGATAAATTTCCCTGTATGATGAATTCTGCAGAAGAAGTTATTAGTGTTCCTCCATTGACTAACAGTGACATCACAAAGGTGGGTAAATGACTAGATTTTAATGGACAAGTAATGTTTTCAAATTCAAAAAAAAAAAAAATAGCCATGTCCATATATAATAAGTGGCCATGTCCTTGCACAATCTTTGTATAAAATTACAAAGGGTTAAATATGTTACAAAAACTAAATTGATAAACTAAAACTTCATTCAGTTTATCAATTTTATTTATGTTATGCAGTGAATCACCTTATCAATTTATTTTTAAAATATGTCATAAAAATTATCTAACTCTAATTATCTATTATCATTTTCAGATGACTGAAGATACTGTCGAATTGTTTTTAGAAGTTACAAGCAGTAATTCTGTGAATGCATGTAGACAGGCTATGCAAGCTTTAATAAAAGAAATATTGATGTTGGGAATAGCAGATATTGATATAAGCGATGAACATTTCCATAATATGGTTATACATCAAGTGAAAGTTGTGGATCCTGAAGGCAATTTGCGTAATGTTTATCCTTCACGGACAGATTTGATATTTGAGGATGACAATACTATTGTAGTGGAAAGGGAGTAAAAATTCAAGATACGCTATAAAATAGCATTAAAAATGTGCTTCTGTATTTACTAAATATTAAATATATTCTTGGAATTTTATAACATTATTTTTTTGTAGAAGAATTTTTTTTATTAAATTTAGTTTTCGCAGGCACTTGTCGTCCGGCACAAAGCTTCTCCATAACTTCATGGTTATAGGTTGAATGCAACATCAATCCTAGAACTCCAGCTCTTGACATAAGGGCATTTCTGACCTAGTAACACAATAGTGAGTTATATTTGGTTAAGTCGATTATACAATAATTATATTTATAATATTGATAAATACCTGGCGTTCTTGTTCTAAGAGTTCATCCATTTTTAACCACTGTCGCACTCTTTCTAAATCAATTTCAGCACGGCGAATTTTTTCCCAAACGTAATGCTTTACACAAGATTTCTTAGGGGCCCTGAAATTTTGTTTAATTATATTTATAATATTGATAAATACCTGGCGTTCTTGTTCTAAGAGTTCATCCATTTTTAACCACTGTCGCACTCTTTCTAAATCAATTTCAGCACGGCGAATTTTTTCCCAAACGTAATGCTTTACACAAGATTTCTTAGGGGCCCTGAAATTTTGTTTAATGTGCATTAAATATGTTGAGCAAGTCCAAAACAATAATTCTAATGGATTGTGGTCATTACCTGCAAAATTCTCCAGTTAAACTGAACACATTGGTAACTAAAGGACAACCACAAACATCAGTATCCAAAACTTTGGGATCCTTGCAATGTTCAGGACACAAAACACGCAGGCGTTTGCAATATGTGTGATTACTTGAATTATAGTAATCACAGAACATAACATTTCCCTCTATACGTGTTTTAAAAACACTACCGAAACTTGATTGACTTTCGTATTTATTGAAGCACTTCTCCATGTGCCTGATAGCAGTCCTTGAATGAATTTCATGACCGCAAGTAATACAATAACTGTGGAAAAAACCTTGATTAGAAATTTTCTTAACATGAAGTACTATAATATTCACTTACATAGATGAGTCATCTTCTTCTTCAGGTTCTGGATCAACAGGTGAATACAATTTAGCACGATCTACTAAGAGATCTAATTCCTTATGTCGTTTGTCCAATTGCAGCAGTGTACCTTGAACAGCAATCTGCTGAGATCTTATTTGTTCTAAAGCCTTCTTATTAGCTTCTTCAGCACTGCAAGGCGATAAAGACCATTCCTGCAATCGTTGAGGTAATACTTGATAAATTCTGTTACTTGCAAGCTTCATGCCACATGCATCTGAACAATATTTAGAATGTTGACGAGCTCCTTTCGTACAGCCAGGTCCATAACATTGTCTTGGCCCTGTCAGATGCTCAGTTCCACTAGATAATATTCCTTCAGGAGAACTATCTCTTCGTCGTCTCCTACATAAAACAAAGGAACAAAAAATAAAATGAAATATTATTTCGATTATATAACAGTATCTAAATTAAATGCAAATCAAACTTACTTTGTCCGTGGGCCTGAAGTCCCCAGACATGTTCTTTGTAAACATCTTAACTTCTTATCTTTAAAGTCAGGATCCGTACAAATTTCACATCTATGAAAAACCAATTTTCATTGCATTGGTGTAATAGGTTTAAAAAAAAAAAAAACAATTTTCTATAATCTAAACTTACTTTCCACAATTTGGTGCCAAACATCCTTTACATTGTCCACACTTTGGGCCATGAGCGCTGTCTTTGCTTTTTTCTGAACGTTCCTTTCTTTTTCGTGGTTTACGTTCATCTGGTGATGAAATTTCAATTATAATTCACATTAGTTGAAAATATAAAAATATGTGATACATTCTTAATGTTACCTGTTGTAGTTGTTAATTAATACTGTACTTATACAATAATAAAGTATGAAATAAAAATAATTCAAGGTACAAATAAACATTAACAAACACCTGGTGCAGCTGGAGCGGCCCGAAATCTTGTTTGTAAAGTTGGATCTTCTTTTTGGCAACGAGAACAGAAATATTGCTTGATGTATTTTGCTTCTTTTTCAGATATGTTTATACAGTCACCGTGGAACCATTCCTCACATGAGTCACATCCACTAAATTATAAAAAAAATAAATTACTTATTAACAACTAAATAAATTTTAATCATAAGTACAATGAGTTGCCAAAATAGATTCTATGAGGAGCTTTTTTACCATACAAAATACAAAGGATATTTCAATTTTCATACATCATAAATCTTGAACTATCAGAAGAACGGCATATGCAGTATGCTTGACCATCTTGCTTGAGCAGAGTAGCGATTTTACTTTTACGCTCAGGCAAATCAAACAGTTTGGCAATTTCTTCTTTCTGAAAATAACAACATATATTAACCGGTTTTTAATAATGGATAGTTCTAGTTTCTATTAATGAATAACGTTATACCGATTGCTTGGACCGTTTACGATCAGCCATGTCGACTTCGAACTAAGTTTAAATTCTATACACAATTGATTAGTAGAATTGATTAGTGTTTACATCTTCTGAGACGTTTGGCGATGGAATAACAAATGAAATGATAGTTTGACAAGTTTTAATTCCAACATTCGCCGTCTTAAGATGATAGCGTGTCAGTCTATTATTATTTTTGGCTCTGTTCTACACCAGCGCTTTTGTTGTGCAACACAGAACAAATATTTTGGCGGGTTTTATTTTATTGTCAAAATATAAGTCGATATCTATGGCGAAAAATATCTACTGAGGCTGTCATCTTTGTTGTCATTTTGTCGTTCTCTGGTGTCAAAGTTCGAAAAAATCATTATGCAAATCAGGCAACATTCAAATCAATTCAAATGAAGTAGGCGGTTTTAGTTTTAATGGCACTTAGTTACCTAGGTTATATAAAGATCTCATTTAAAACAAATTAATAAAATGACACAATTGACAGCTGTATATTATATCCGTTTAGCAGTTGTTTATGTTTTAAGATACTGAGTAAACATTGTGCAATAATTAAAATATTGAAATTGTTTAATATTTATTTTAATCAAACTGTTATTTGGATCATATATTCAATAATATGACATATAACTATAAATAATACATTTAAAAGTTATATACAAGTTGTTCGAATAAGTTGTGTTTCGTTTATTCTAACCCTAAAGTTAGCTAGTAAACATGTCCCGAATTCAGCACGTGCAGGAGGCGAATAGTATTGTAATAGAACGCCGTCTTCGACCCATATATGGTAATTGATACTTTGTACTCTTAAATTATTCTTTCCAGTAATAATATCTCCAATTAATTATTTTAACGTGCTTTAACAGATTCATTAGATTTTGGGAATTACAAAAAAGCCCTTCAAGAAGTAGAGAAGGTTTTGAAGAAATCTCCAGCAATACAATGTGCTCGGGCTTTGAAGGCATTGGCTCTTATTCGCTTAGGAAAAGAATCTGAGTCTGAAATAATATTAAGAAGCTTATTGAATGAAAAGCCGTATGATGAATCTACTTTGCAAGTTATGACTATTTGCTATAGAGAATTAAATCAAGGTATTTTGCTATCACATAATTTTATGGTGTTAAACTTAAATCAAGTTAAGGTATTTAAATGAATTATTATTTTTGATATTGCATGAAGAGATATTTTAAGAAAATACTTTTGATATTAATTTGATAATATCTTTAGCAATGTTATGTTCAATATCATTATGAAAGCTATCTTCGATTGTCTAATTTATTTTATCAGTATTTATATAATTGTATTGGAAATATAGTGATAATTTTATTGATTTCTGTAGTACATTTATAACATAACTTTCTGTATTTTTGTATATTTTTTATTGTTTAATTTACTTTATCACTATTTATATAATTGTATTGGAAGTATAGTGATAATTTGATTGAATTCTGTAGTACATTTATAACATAACTTTCTGTATTTTTTGTACATTTAAAATTAAATTTTATTGTATTAGGAGAAAATATATGCATAGCTTATGATAATGCAGTAAAACAATGCCCATCAAATGAAGAACTATTAAGCCATCTCTTCATGGCTTATGCAAGAGTTTCTGAATATAAAGCGCAACAAAACACGGCACTAGCTTTATATAAATTAACGCCAAAAAATCCCTATTACTTTTGGGCTGTAATGAGTGTTGTTTTGCAGGTATGAGAACTTCAAATAAATTAAAGTCTCTAGATTTTATGTTCATTGATCCCTGTTTTCACAGATATTATTCTATTTTGTTTTAGGCAACAAGGGGACAAGAAAAAGACAACCCAACAAAGAGATCTCTTTTATTAGCTCTTTCTGAGAGAATGGTCTACAAAATAATTGTAGAGGATAAAATAGAAGCAGAACAGGAATGTCAGCTGTATTTAATGATTTTGGAGGTAAGTACCTATAAAATTATGATTTGCGAGTATTATTCGTCAATTTTCTGTTTCATTTGTAGCTTCAGGGAAAATATAAGGAAGCTCTAGATTTTCTTGATGGCCCTCTTTCAGCAAATTATATTACTGAGAATACAGTGAGATACCGCATTAGTTTGATGAAGAAACTTAATATGTGGGCTGAATTGCTCAATATTTGCGAAGATAATTTAGTGCAAAAGTAGGTGCATCTTTGTTCTATTCATTAGCCTAGTATAATCATTGTACGTTTAACTTATTAAGGGGTTATATACAGTTACAAGGCTGAAAAAAGCGGTAATTCTAGATTTTTAAAAGTATAAGCAAAACAATATTTTTTGACAAGATGGTTATTTCTTGAAAAAAAAAAAGATTTTTGCCAAAATTTTTGCCTTCATTGTTTATAAAAACGAAAGCATTTATCAGAGAGAAAAAAATTTTTCATTACTAAAAGATAGATATATTTAAGAATATTGTGTTAAAATTTGAGATCAATCGGTTAGCCATTTTTGAGTTATGGTGGCCACCGACCAATCATCATAGTGGATTTTTGATATGTTAATTTATTCATCATTTATTAAGAAATTACTACCCTTTTCTTTCGTTGAACTTGCCAAACAAACAAAAATCGATATTTCTAAATTTTGCTATAATGGTTGGTTTTAAATGTTATTTTAAATATACTATAAAAAATTTGAATGAAAGAAATATAAGTTGTTGTAGTTATTTTGTGTGCCGCGGGGTGCCTCCAATTTGATGCGCCTCACCAAAATGACTATGGTGCTGTAATTTTTTTATTTTTTTACAAAAATAGTTTATTTTGTTACTATAAAGTATAATAAATAGCTACCTTCAATATCATGGTTGTATTACTTTTTTTCTGTCTGAAAAAAATGTCAAAAATATATGTTTTTAGGCCGTTACAGTGAAATTATTCAGATTTTTTCATTACTATAATGTATGTAGTACTAATCATACAAACTTAGTGTGACAAAATTTCTTTGAGTTAGGTATTTATTTTAGTGTAATAAAAATGGCAGGAAATTTGAGAATTATAATAGTCTTTCTTTTAAAATAATCAACTATATGTTTGCTTTAGCTACATATTCGCTTTTAGTTTATAACTATAAAATTTTATTTAAATAACATTTATATTTTTAGTGTGGATGATTGGGAAATGTATTTAGACTACTTTGCTTCATCTTTCAAATTGAACAATGATTTTGATATTACTAAAATAAATAACACTGGAGATGAATCAAACATGCAAAATAGCTCAAAACTAAAACAAACAATGCAAAAATGTCTTAATTTTTTACTGTCTTTGATAAAAGCAATCGAAAAGAGTAAAACTAGAGGTCCATATTTGGCTCGACTAGAACTTTACCGAACAGTGTTTGAACATGGTTGTGTAGATCAGGAGCTAGAGGAGCAGTATATAAATTTAATAGTCGAATATTTCAGGTAATTTTGCAGTTATTATATTTTTTTTTGCTGGGTTTTCAATAACATTTAGTTCCTGATAGAAAATTTGGTGACCGAGGCTGTTGTGTAGGTGATTTAAGGGCTTCAATTGCTATTATACCTTCTGGTTATATTGAAACAGAGGATTCAAATAAATCTAAATTTAACACCAAATATCTGGCAAAATTGTTAATTCAGGAGGTGGGATCTGATCCCACAGTTTTGCCTGAAAACGTGAGTATATGAAATAGGCTTTGTAGTAATAAAGAAATTCTATATACATTATTTTGTTTGCAGAAAGAACAGATGCTGAAACATATTTCATTAATTCAACTTACAAGATTATGTGGAGGTCACACTATTCTAGAACCTGAACATGTTGATTCCCTTTTCACAGCCCTGACAGTTCATTATGAACATGGACGGAGAAACTATGGTCAAGGATTATTAACAACTGATTTTGGACCATCAGATCGTTATGCTTTGATAGCCACCCATCTAATGTTTGATTTGGCTAAGAAAACTAAAAGTTCTGGCCCTTTAACAAAAGCCTTAACATTATTAAATTATGTGCTGTTAAAAAGTCCTAGTAATTTCCATGTGAAGTTATTATGTTTGCAAATATACCATTTGTTAGGTAATTATGAATCAAGTATTAAATACGATATTATTGCCGGTCTATGTTCAATATTATGGATGATATGACTTTTACTGCACATTGTTCTAGGTTGTGCAACTGGTGCTAATGAGATCTATGAATTACTTGAAGTAAAACATCTGCAATTAGATTCAATGGGATATTTACATTGTGAGCCTTTGAGTCTTTGTGGATCACCTTCAAATGTTCAAAAATTATATGATGTAACTTTAAACTTTTTTACAAATAACTATAAAGACGTAAGTTAATTTCTATTCCAAAGTTAAATGGCATCTGTTATGAAAACAATTTTTTATACATGATAAGCAAAAAAAAAACATGTGAAAATGTTTGCATATCTTTAAGTTTCAAAGCCTTTTGAACATTTTGGCTTCTGAATCTTTTGTTGGTGTTTTCGAGAGCAAAGATCAACCGATTTGAATGATTCAGAAAACATTAGATTCCTATTGATGGAAAGCATGCTGGAAAAGGTAGTTCCAGCCCTTTCAGAAATACAGACCAATAAATGGAAAAATGGCAATTCAGTTTTTGAGAATTGATTATCCAATTATCTGAATTAAAACAAACATTTCAATTGCATTGATTAAATGAAGAATTGTTTACATTTTTGCGAGGACCGTTCCAGCAGTTTCTAGGATACAGAATCATTACAAATCATTAATATTGATTGATATACAATTAGAATTATTAGTAAACAGGAAAACAATAGACAGGTAAAGAGTATAGTCAGATAGACAGGTGAACAGGTAAGCAGATAAATAGTTGGAAAAGTAGATAGACAGTAGATATGTAGACTGATAGGTCAATGGACTGGTATACAAGGAGACAGGTAGGCACGTAGACATATAGACTAGTATATCATATACAAATCACTTCATTATTGATTATTCATACATAAATCACCTAAGGCAAAATATCCACTTGCATCTAGTCTAATATAGTCTTACCTCATGTTAACTGTTTTTTTGTAAAATAACACATGCCATTTAAATAAATAATAATAACAGAGTTCTCTTAACAGAATTATTTATATGAATATATTTTTTATTACAGAGCATAGAACATTTAATATTATCTTTCAAATTTGGATCTTTTTCAAAACTTTTTGAATTCCTGGATTTTCGGCAAAGACTTTCAGGAAGTTTACATTATACAGCTGTTACTATCAATAGAATATTGTTTGATTTCATACGCCACTCAACATCTCAAAATGATATTAATAATGTGGTGAAGAATATGCCTTCTGTTATAGATGATGAAAATATTGAATGGGATATTTCATGGTAAGAAAAAAAGGAGTGGATTAGAGTTTTAAAATATATTATACATACATGTTGTATTTTGAAGTTTACATTATTATCTAGAACTAGATGGGACTAGAAATTTTTGATTTACGATAGTTTATTTTGGTGGAATAAGAAGTATAGACAAAATGGCATGGTATTTATTGATATTAATTTACTTAATGATAGATAACCTTGTTCATATATACCATTTTGTCTATCTTACTCCTTCTTTAAAAAAGTTCAAATTGCTCATTGCTTCTTTCTTACAGTGACAATAGAGATTTTAAAGTAATAACTGAATGGGAGCCACAGGAGAATGATTGTGAAATGAAAAATAGTAAGGAAAGCAAAAAAAGTTATCAGCAATTATCGTTTGAACAGAATTTAGACTGTACTCGATTAAGATCTCAGTTACTGAAGATCATTACTGTAATTGGAGAAATTTCTTTAGAAAGTGTTAATGAAAGACAAGAAAAAGTTGAATCATTGTTAAAAGCTAGGAGCAATTTTCAAGCCATGTATAGTGAAATTCGTAATAAAAAACATACAAAACTTCATATGTGTAAATTGAGTCTACCAATGCCATCAAGGTTGCATTGGATGCTAGAACTGCCTTATGAACAGGTAAAAATGTTAATAAAAATATTTAATACTTTTGAGATGCTTAATTAGTTATTTTTACAGGCATTTGGAGATATGTGTTTATATGTGGCTTGGATTGCTGGTCAAGAAATTGATGATATAGTTGATCCAAAAAGTTGGAAATGGCCAAATGAGCTGGCATCAAACCTAGCACAGTTAATCAAAGAACAAAATACTTGTGATGATCCATTTTGGAATCACAGATACGCTAGGGGAGTAGTAATTAGCACTATTGAGGTAACTTTTATAATATTCGTTAAAATTTGTTGTTTTATCTTGTGTGGTAGCTAAAAGCCTAGAAGTTTTAATATTGTTTTTTTTTGTTTTTGATATTTTCAAAGTTTAATTATTCAAGAATGCACAAGAGAATTGAAACTGTATTTTTCAATATATCCACGGTTTCTCAACGTTGTTTGGACCGATTTATTTGTCTTTAATAACCTTTTTTCTTTTTTTTTTATCTTCTGATTATTTGGAGGGCTAAAATCATGGGTATGCTCAGGTGCCAATTTTTTGAGACTCTCCCACATTATCATCTTGTAGAATTAAATCTTTAAAATTATATTTCATCATTATTTTTTTTTATATGTTAACAAAATATGAACTAATAACTTGAAAGAAAAATATTTTTTGCCTTTTTCTCAAGGCCTTTTCAACGTGACATAAAATTAATGCCTCTGGATAAGAATACTCCCATAACTGAAAATTTACTTGCTTACTGTTTACGCTTCCCATATACTTTTTGCTATTCGCGGCCAAAAAAATTGTGACCCAATGTTTATATTCGCGGCTAAAAATTTCGTTATTTGTGGATTCCATATGTATCGAGCCCAAAATCCTTTGTAAATGTCATCATTTTGAACTGATGAAGAAATCTCCGACTTAAGCCGCCTCCGTTGCCTTGTCCGTCTTCACCGCTATCGGTGTTTCTGAGAACGTAAAGTAATAGAATGAAAACAACCTTAATGAAACAAAATAGGTTTTTAGTAAAATTTGACTCAAATCGAATCAAATTTAATTTGAAAAATCTTAGTGAAGAATTAAAGTGAACTGTGCAATTTCTATTTGGGCATTGATCCGTATATGGAAAGTGTTATTTCAAAGAGGCAATTTACTGATGTGACTTTCAGTTTGAATTAAAGAACCAAAACAATATTACAAAGTTCTTCAAATTATTGCCTTAGCCTCAACAAAACATAATCAAATAGTACAAAAACTATAATTAAAAATGATTAATGTTAGATTGATACTAAACTTATTACTAATTTTAATAATCAAATTCTGTTTTGAGAATAATTTTTTATGACTAATTGTAATTTTTTTCAGATTCTTATATTGTGTACATTGTGTTGTGGTGTATGTTGTGAGATAAAAAAAGTGCCAGAAAATAAAATGAAGAAGTCTAGAAAAAAATCAGCACCATTTATAAACTCTAGTGCAAACCCGGTTTCGGACCTTGTTTCACATTTAAAACAGACTTTAGAAAGTGTATCAACAAGTTTAGAAAGTTGGACGTGTCCAAAAATATCACAAGATGTTACTGAAAAATTAGCAGCGCTGTCACTAAATGATCCAAATCTACTAAAAAGCAATAAGTTTACTGAAGATTTCTCTATATTCGTCAAAGAATATCAAGCACTGATTAAAGACAACATAAAATACCTACATAAAATGAATGTTTAATATCTAGAAAGAGTTGCTGTACATTTTGTTCATTATAATAATATAATTTTACAAAATAATATCAAGATGTATTGAACAGCAACACCAATAAAGGATTGATTTAGTGAAGTTATTTTCAGTATATTTTATGGCACTGTTCTCCAACACAGTGTTTCATATGATCAATCACATTTGTGTATTTAACACGAATATCAGGTAGTATTTCATATGCTATGTTTTTCAATTCAAGTGGGTCTTTTACTAAGTTGTAGGCTTCTTCGAAGTAATCATTATCTCGAAAACGACAAAACATGAAATTCATATCACTGGCCATGTGTCGTATACAAGTATAAGTGTTATTGCCAACATCTTGGCATCGGCAATCAACAATTGGGTCACATCTCTGAAAGAAAATCAAAGGTTTGAAAAATATCTACAATATCTTAACCCTTACTACTCGGCACTGATTTAAAAACAATCTATTAGCAATTCGGTGCTGCATTAGACCGACGGAAGCTTACATGATGTAAACTTGATATTATTGTATATGTTATGCAATTTGTTTAATATGAATTCGTGGACATTGAAGAGCATGCATTTACAATAATATCTGAATTCATTTTCTGCAGTTTAAAGTTTAAAAGGATTTCCAAAAGGCATATTAATAATTTACAAAACTTGATATATACTAGTAAACTTTATGATATAAAAATATTAAATTAAAAGTAAATATTTCATAAATTATAGCAACAAGAAAAGAATACATTATAATTAATTAATTAATTTATTGATGGCAGGAAGTTGATGAAATAAATAAAAGTTGAAGTAAATACAACTTCAGAAATGCTTGTTGGTTGGGCCGCAGAAAAATATTTATTGGCCCACTTGAAGGTCACGGACCATGGGTCAATATGAATTAAGTCATTGTATATACAAACTGCCGAGTGCCTCAAAAGAGGCAACCGAGTCGAAAGGCATAATATAAAACCATGCTTACTGCTAAATGTTTATCTCCATGCCACTGTGAACATTTTTCAGATATCGTATGCGGATTTTCTTCACCCCAATATTCAAACAAAATTTGTCGTTCTTGAAAGCCTTTTTTATTCATATTATCGGACTCCTTTAGAAAAGCAGCTGAAAATGATTTGCCATCCATATGATCAGGCACATTCAATCCTGCCAAATCTAGTAGTGTCGGAGCTAAATCTATGTTAGCCACAGGATTCGATATTAATTTCTTTTTTGGCACCCCCGGACCTCTTATTAAAAGAGGTACTTTGATATCAGTTTCATAAGGTTGCCTTTTGTCATAAGCTTGAGCAAATTGACCTGTTGTAGAAAGGTAGAATATGTACGTTGTTTTCGCTCTGTATGAAATTCAAACCATGTGTATTTGCTAGTAATACAAATTGTATTTGATAACATATTTACCTATATGGTACCCGTTGTCAGAAGTATAAATAATATATGTGTTGTCTAAAATTTTCAAATTATCTAAAGTTTGAATTATTGCTTCAACCATATCATCAACGGCCAATAGGCATTCCCATCGTGTTCTATAAATTCTGTCTAATTCATCAACAGCAGTCTGGAAAGCAAATAAATAAAATTGGGGTAAATAATCTTCACATGATAACTACGCTATAGATAAATTTATTACTTGAGATAAAACTTTTGGAGGCATATTCAGAAGCCAATGCTTATCTTCAAAATGTTTGTTAAAATTCTCAGTTCTAGGAGCAGTAACATTTTTATATTTCCCAATATGTCTTAGAGCTGGAGTAGAAGGGCTATGAGGAGAAGGAGTTGACAAAACCATTAAAAAAGGTTGTGTATCACCAATTGTGTCAAGGAAATTTAAAGCATGTTCCTTCATAAGATCAGGTAGATATTCATCATTGAAATGCTTGACTGAGCCATTGATGGATAAATCGTAATCATAATATCTTGAATTTTCTTTTAAACCGATCCACCAGTCCCAACCTTTAGGTACATAGTTAGCTTTATACTGAAAAATATGTGAATTTAGTATAAATTTATTTATGGGAGTATTCTGGTTTAGAGGCATGATTTTTATGTGATTTTTTTGAAGTCCTTAAAAAAAAGGCAAACAATATATTTACATACATTGTTTACACTGATATTTAATATTCATATATATATATATATATATATATATATATATATATATATATATATATATATATATATATATATATAATGAGCACAGTTCAGACTGAAGTCTATAAAGAAGTTGAGAGATTGTGGGTATAGTATCCAAACAGTCATTTTCCAGAAAAACGCGTTTAAAGTTTCACTGAAGAAGAAAAACAAAGGAGGATTATCATGATCAAACAGCTATATCTCCGAAAATAATTTAAATTGTGAAAAATCCTCTTGCACACATTCTCTAATAGTTAAGATTTGAAGGTATAAAAAAACCAATTATTTTAAAATTATAGACCAGAATACCCCCTTATTAGAATTTCGACGGTTCATCTTTAAATCAAACTACCTGATTTAGATATTTTTAATTACCTGATTTAGATATTTACCAGCATAAAACGTTTTATAATTATTACCGTGAAGATAGGCTCCAAATGTTTGATTTTCTAGATTTCTCCACGTTTCACCTGCACATCCGCCTTCTTCACTATTATTAAATGCTTTATGATTATGGGCATAAAGTCCTGTCAATATGGAACTACGACTTGGGCAACAGATTGGAGTGGTAACGAACTTAAAGGTAATAAATAAAAATATAATTGAAATATTCCATAGTTGAGATTATTCTCAGCAGATTGTTTATTTGTTACATTCTGCAATTATTTGGTTTAGTGAAGCATATTATTTACCAATGCATTGAGAAATTATGGAATATGAATTTATGGTGCATGATTAGAATTAAGTATATTGATTCTATTCCAGGATAAATTCATCAAAGTATGAATTTTCTATGATGATCTTTATTTAAACTTGATAAAGGGCTATGAAATGTTTGATAGCTTTTATATAGATTTCTCAAAATAGATTCTTTACCTTTATGTTCAAAAGGACTTAGACTGATACAGCATTTATTCCGTTTGTCTTACGATCACAACAAATGTAACAAGCATTTTCACAATAGTCCAGTCATTATAGTATGTTCACCTCGGAATTCGAGATACGCAGCTGTAAGTCTGTAAATACTTGTATATTGACAGCCCTAAATTTGTCCTAAAACTTACATATGGTATTGACACCCAACCATATGTAGGTTTTGAGACAACTGTAGGGTGTCAATATATGTTCATAGACTTACAGCTGGGTATCTTGAATTCCCAGATTCTTACCTAATTTAAGTTTAAATGACTGTACTACAATGGATTACTTCTAGGTCCTTAAAACTTTTTTTTTGTGACCTCTTAGGTTTTGCCTGGACACTATTTATCCGATACCTTTTTTTTCTTTTTAAATAAATTTCTAATTGCACTAAAGTTTATCCTTAAACTTTTCATGTAAAACTACATGCTAATTTTATCATTTATCGAATTGAATTTGAAATAATAATAAAATAAAGTAAGAGAAGAGTTAATGCTTAATTATCAATATTTGGCAACAATTTTGTAAGGCTTAATCTTACATCTCACAGCTAATGATGTCCAGTCTACATTTTTTTTGTTGTTAAGAGATAATCAATAACGCTAAACCTTCTTTTTACTGTTTAGTTTACAACTATTAAATTGTCTTATATCTTCAGTATCCAGAAAAATTTTGATGGTCTAAAAAAGCACAAACAATATTGCCAAGCCTTTTAATAGTCAGCAAATAGGGTCTTTACAAGCTCAACAATATTGCGACCACAAACTGAATGCCTACTTATTTTATATACTTCTTGGTTTTATTTATAAATATTGTATACGACTTGTTACTATCGAAATAGTAAATGGATATTAACATGGTGTATTATAAATCACTATTGTAGACCCCATTCTTATTTAATGGATTCCAAAATTTGTTTATGGCTGACATGGGAGTAAATTACTGACTGAGTATTGAGTTATTTGATCATTTTTGGTAATTAATTGCAATGGATTTATATGAATCTCATATTAATTTATAACCAATAGACTTACTTCATTTAAAAATGCAATGCCCTTGTTAGAATTACACTAACTATAAATAATGCTTGAATCTTAATTATTCATTACGTTCTTGAATTTATTGGATTATATAGAAATTAAGTCAAGTAAGCATATTATTAACATATGCAAAAGAAAATTAGGCAATATGAATTCATAAGAACTTAAATGTTATTATGGTACCTGTTCATGGAGCATAATACCAATGATTGATACATTTATCCAGGAATTGATTTAATTCTAAAAACTTTGTCCAAATTAAAGCTATGTATGATACCTCAATGCCATGATATTTATCTTTATGTTAAATGACTATGAGTCATCTATTTGTTACACGATCACAAATGTAACAAATAGATTACTACGAGTATTAACAGCGCTTTGATAATTGTTATAATCAAAAACTTGGTTATTATTATGGTATATGTTCATGGCACATATTTTAAATGATTGATACATTTATCCAGGAATTGATTTAATTCTAAAAGCTTTGTCCAAATTAAAGCTATGTATGATACCTCGATGATATTTATCTTTATGTTAAATGACTGAGTCGACTATTTGTTACACGATCACAATTGTAACAAATAGATTACTACAAGTATTAACAGCGTTTTAACCATTGATAGACTTACAAAAATTTAAATTTAATCAACTTACTGCATTTTCAAATGTGATGCCCTTGTTTGCTATTAATGACAAAGTTTTCGTCATAGGCATCTGCAATAAGAATATTTTAAGAGTAATTGAAATGCTATACAAAATTCCACAAAAAATTACCAGCCCATGCAATTCCAAATCTTGATCATCTGTCAGTATAAACACAATATTTTTCCTATCATCTGCATAACAGCTTATAAACAAGCTTATGAACAATACGAGCACTTTTACGCCAAAATAAAACATGTTGTTTTTGGGGTTATATAAATACTATATATTTCATTTAATCAATTTAACTTTCAAATGATAACGCTTAATTAATTTAACATATTATTGGGGCATCGACGGCATTATTTCAACCCCAACGAACGATTGCGCCACCTTAATCCCCAGCGCGAAGAAGCCGATGCTTTTTATGATGTCCCTGAAAATTAATTTAACATGAATCGATTTCATTTTGATAACAATACATGTGCAAGTACATAAAAAACAGAGGTGTGCAACATACCATTTGTAGGAATCACTGTAGAGACCTTTCAGGAAGCCTCCGACAGAAGATTGTCCGGAATGTTTGCCCATTTCGACTTGATATTTGATAGCTGTTGTAAATAGTGAAAATTAACCACAAAACCAGAATATCGCGTTGCTCGCGATATCGGGATTTGTGATACTTGAAAGTTGACGTGCGGTGTTGCCAGATGAACACTGTTTTTTGTTTTCGTGGGAAAATCGGATCATCCTTACCAGGCATATATTAAATACAAAAAGCTTTTTTTCTTATAATATAATAACTTATCATATAAAATATATTTTATAAACTTTTATAAATTTTTGTTCATAAAAAACTATTAGTACGTATTTATGATACTTATGTATGAAAGCTAGAACAATTAAATGTTTATTAGAGATTATAAATAAACAAAATTTTGTACTTTATATTTCAAAATTAATATTTAACTAATAATAAACACTTTTTTCAGTAATCAAAACAACACAATTAGATTAACTATATAACTCGAAATTTTTATTAAGCAAAGTAATTATGCTTATAATTAGTATTGAAAATACTATAAAGATAAATAACATTTCATTATTAATATAAGAGGATTCTAAAATTTGCTGTCAGATTCTGAACACAAGAATTTTGACGTTGTTCTAATGTTAAATAAATTAATTTATACGGCATTCACATCTGTCGTTTCAATCCTAGTGATTGGCCTAGCAGGCTTCACAGTCAAAATATGCGGTTCACATGAGGTGGTTCCTTCTTCACCACCTCCAACTTTCATACCAGAAAGGGATTCAATAATGGCGTCCACTCCAAGGGAGTTGACACCTGCAGGCTTCATCGCGAAGTGCAGGTAGCAAAAACCTTTCACTCCCCTCCAGGTGATGTCAAAAGGCTTGACACCCCTTTCTGCCAGAGCAGACTTAATGTCACGCACTCTATCCGTCTTCGCGATGTTGCCCACCTTCACGCTAAATTCGATCTGCGGCTTTGTTCTACGCGTGCGCCTCTTTCGCAAATGATTGCCTCTGGATTGGCCATTCTCATTAGATACGTCCAATGCGTCCAATACGTCGTTCTCCTCCTTCTCAGAGACACGTCGTCGTCTCAATCTACGGCCATTTCGTCTATGCTCTGATGCATCACCATCACCCTCATTTGGCTCGGATTCGCTATTCTTTGCTGACTTACGGGGCCTCCTTCTCTGTTGAAATTTATTAGGGACTCTCACTTTCTCCACGCTTTCATTATCAGTGTCTACCTCTTTCAGCATGATCTGCTTTCCAGCGCTAAGATAAAAAATAATATACTTTACATAATGATGTAAACTAATTATATATAAACACATGTATTCTAGCAAGCATTCAATGATTTTAAATACACTATTAAATACTTACGCTTCTTCCTCTTCTTTGATTTTTTTCAAGACATTTACAGTGTTTAAACGCCTTTCGGAGATCAAATTCCACATTATGTGAGTTGGCCGTGGTGGTCGTCCCGAGACCATTATTGTCTCAGTAGGTGTTATTATAATGTCAACTGGCACATCGTGAGCACCAAATAATGTGCTGGGCATATCGTCCTTCACCTGGCAGTCATGCACCAACGTGATAATAAGAGCATTCTGATTTAGGGCTTTGGCATGCTGCACAATGGCAAATTCAAGATCTGTGTATCCGCGACCCTTACCAATTCGCAAGCCATTGCGAGACACTGCCACCGATCCAATGATCAGTAAGTCAATGTTAATATCAGAGTTTAAATCAACAGTTGGAGCTTCATTTAATCCTTTACGAGTAATTGCACGGCGGACATGGTACTTGGAGTTGTTTTCAGGCATTACAATTTTGGTTAGTAACCCAGATTGTAGTCGAGGGACAGGGACTACTAATTGCTTACCTTCCTCCAATGCCAGTATTCTAACACATTCCAATGGCTTATCTGGATTTACTAAAACGGTCTTTGCTTGTTTGAAAACATCGAGTTCACTTAATCTCTGCGCGGCATCAAAGGCTCCCTTGAAGTTTGGGATCCGATTAAAAACTGGACGTGGAAACAGTGAAAGCCGGTTCTCATCCAAGTATTTCCAGACACCTCTACGGATTACTTGTTTCGTCACCCCAGCTTCAGCTTCCTTTGCTTCCTCTGTAAAATCCATTCTAGCTTTGTCCATTCTAATAATCGTCAAATTTCAATCAAGAAATACTATCGCGAAAACACGATCACGTTTATAAACACAATTCGACGAGAATTGTTGATTTGATTTGTTTTTGTTTGACGAAAGTCATCACTACTAGACTAGCATTTTTTTAATAAAAAAAACAAATGCTTTCAAAATTCTAAATTGATAAATGTCCGAAATATAATCGTTCGAAATAAAACCGTCGTTTAAAACGGTCATTTAAACCAAGACCGAGAGTATTGTTTATTGACGTAAAACTTACGAGTATAATGCCACTTCCAACAAAGTTTAATTAAATTGATAAATGAATTACTTTTATAGTTGTAATTCTAATTTGATTTGCAAAAGGCTGCGTTTAATTTTTGACATATAATATATGGAATTTATCATTTAACCCAGTGGTTTCCAACCTTTTTTGCACGGCGCCCCCTTGCTCTAATAATAAAAATTGTTGCGCTCCCTTTAATTTTTGCAACAATTTAATTTTAGAATTACTCAACTGATATTATCAGACTACAAATTAGTATGCATAAAAACTAATTATTTGTTGTTTATTTTTTAACATCAATTCAAAAGTTTTGGGTTATTTTCGGAAATAGTATTCTGAAAAGCCCCTCAGAACAGCCTGGTGCCCCTAATTAATATTACAATACTTATCATTATTTTAAATTTTAATTATTTTTTAACTTTCCGTAGATTATAGTAATCGCAAGAAAATAGAAAATGAAATGTTTTTTTACATCTTTACGTTTTAGAGGTTTCTGAAAATTTTGGCGTACCTTAGGAAAAATAGATGTATGTGTGTGTATGTGTGCGTGTGTGTATGCGGATACAAATTTTCGTTAACGATTTCCCGAACACGAATTTGAATATTTAAAAAAAATCGATTTCTACTGATAAGGAGACGTGCTGATTAGTTTTTGGTAAAGACAGTTCTGACCGTTTCGGAGACACGGGGCGAAATTGCCAAAAATGTTATTTCAGTTTTTGAGATTACGGAGCGTCCGATTTGAATAATTCAGAAAACTTTGCACTTGTATTGACGATATAAACAACTGATGAAATTTTTGTAAAAGCAGGTTCAGCGCCTCCGGAGATCCAATAAAAAATGTGAAAAATAATGCCATTTGGCGGTCAAAATGGAACATTAGACATATGTACATCGTATTATCAGATACTTTATAAAGATTATAATTATAAGTACAAATTTTGTGTACATTTATATGGGTTCCGTACCAATGCTTACACATTAGACGACTACGCGGCGCTTACGCGCTTTGATATTTTAAATAAAAATGTTCAAGATTTAAAAAAAAATCGAACTATAATAAAATTAAATTTTTCAAAAAAGTCAATTTTTTTCCAAAAATTCAAAAGTTCTCAAAAATCTAATTTTTTCAAAGTTTTGCAAAGTATTTTTTTAATGATTTAGTTTTCGGTACGGAAAGTTCCAGTAATTTGCCTTAAGGCACGATGCCATGCACCACTAGTTTTGTAATTAAATCACTTTTGATATTTTGAGAAATGTTTTCTGACCAGTGATTCCCAAAGTGGTCTGTATTTGACCCCCAGGGGTATGAAAACTTTCAGCGGGTCCATGTCAGCGAAAAAAAATTCGGGGTAGTGGATCACAATAGAAAGTGGTAATATCCATTTACTATCTTTAATAAAAAGTCATATAGAATATTTATAAATAGAACTAAAAAGTAATAAAAATATTGTTCTGTTTTTATAAAAATGTGTAAGTTGTGTCATAAGTAGGCATTCGATTTGTGGTCGCAATATCGTTGAGAGCTTGTAAAGACCCAATTTGCCGACTATTATTAGCAATATTTGATTTGGCAATATTATTTGAGCTTTTTGAGACTGTCATAGTATTTCTGGATACTGAAGATAAAAAACGATTTAATAATTATAAAATATAGTGACCTCGTAACAAAAATAAGATTTAAACTTTACATCATTAGCCGGAAGATGTAAGATTGAATTTTACAAAATTGTTTCGAAATGTTGATAATCAAACATTTACTCTTTGCTTACTTTTTTTATTATCACTTTAAATTCAGTTAATAATACAGTTAATATGAATTAACTGAAGTACATTTAAAAATTGTTAATAAATCGAAGATGGGCAAATAGAGGATCATGGCAAAGCCCAAGGGGTCGAAGCCACAAAAAAGTTTTAGAACCTGCGGTTTGGACCATAAATTTTATCCCTACGTAAAGTTTAATTAAACGTCGGTTTCAAACGATTCAGAATAACTTATAACGTCGAGGGAATACGAAATTAACAAATTGAATTTTCTGACGATATCAATAAATTATTTCGGGCTAATAATTTACTATTTTAAAATAAACGTCATAGTTTTTGTGGCCTTCCGATTTACACATGTCGTTAAACATATTAATCATAAATGTTTGAATGAACTGTAAATCGAATGGAGTATATGTACGATAGCGTCATATCAATACATACCAGATCGAAATTTATAATTAGAATATATTTATTGCCTTCAAATTGACACGTTCTAAGCGAGGTGCCAAATATTTTGCAATGTTTTCAATAGAATTTAATTTTTAACTTCCTAATTAAAAAAATACTTTGCAAAACTTTGAAAAAATTAGATTTTTGAGAAGTTTAATTTTATTATAGTTTGATTTTTTTTAAATCTTGAACATTTTTTAAGCAATCGCGCTGCGTAGCTAATTTGAAGGCAAAATATCAAAGCGCGTAAGCGCCGCGTAGTCGTCTAATGTGTAAGCATTGGTACGGAACCCATATAAATGTACACAAAATTTGTACTTATTATTATAATCTTTATAAAGTATCTGATAATACGATGTACATATGTCTAATGTTCCATTTTGACCGCCAAATAATATCAGTTGAGTAATTCTAAAATTAAATTGTTGCAAAAATTAAAGGGGCGCAACAATTTTTATTATTAGAGCAAGGGGGCGCCGTGCAAAAAAGGTTGGAAACCACTGGGTTAAATGATAAATTCCATATATTATATGTCAAAAATTAAACGCAGCCTTTTGCAAATCAAATTAGAATTACAACTATAAAAGTAATTCATTTATCAATTTAATTAAACTTTGTTGGAAGTGGCATTATACTCGTAAGTTTTACGTCAATAAACAATACTCTCGGTCTTGGTTTAAATGACCGTTTTAAACGACGGTTTTATTTCGAACGATTATATTTCGGACATTTATCAATTTAGAATTTTGAAAGCATTTGTTTTTTTTATTAAAAAAATGCTAGTCTAGTAGTGATGACTTTCGTCAAACAAAAACAAATCAAATCAACAATTCTCGTCGAATTGTGTTTATAAACGTGATCGTGTTTTCGCGATAGTATTTCTTGATTGAAATTTGACGATTATTAGAATGGACAAAGCTAGAATGGATTTTACAGAGGAAGCAAAGGAAGCTGAAGCTGGGGTGACGAAACAAGTAATCCGTAGAGGTGTCTGGAAATACTTGGATGAGAACCGGCTTTCACTGTTTCCACGTCCAGTTTTTAATCGGATCCCAAACTTCAAGGGAGCCTTTGATGCCGCGCAGAGATTAAGTGAACTCGATGTTTTCAAACAAGCAAAGACCGTTTTAGTAAATCCAGATAAGCCATTGGAATGTGTTAGAATACTGGCATTGGAGGAAGGTAAGCAATTAGTAGTCCCTGTCCCTCGACTACAATCTGGGTTACTAACCAAAATTGTAATGCCTGAAAACAACTCCAAGTACCATGTCCGCCGTGCAATTACTCGTAAAGGATTAAATGAAGCTCCAACTGTTGATTTAAACTCTGATATTAACATTGACTTACTGATCATTGGATCGGTGGCAGTGTCTCGCAATGGCTTGCGAATTGGTAAGGGTCGCGGATACACAGATCTTGAATTTGCCATTGTGCAGCATGCCAAAGCCCTAAATCAGAATGCTCTTATTATCACGTTGGTGCATGACTGCCAGGTGAAGGACGATATGCCCAGCACATTATTTGGTGCTCACGATGTGCCAGTTGACATTATAATAACACCTACTGAGACAATAATGGTCTCGGGACGACCACCACGGCCAACTCACATAATGTGGAATTTGATCTCCGAAAGGCGTTTAAACACTGTAAATGTCTTGAAAAAAATCAAAGAAGAGGAAGAAGCGTAAGTATTTAATAGTGTATTTAAAATCATTGAATGCTTGCTAGAATACATGTGTTTATATATAATTAGTTTACATCATTATGTAAAGTATATTATTTTTTATCTTAGCGCTGGAAAGCAGATCGTGCTAAAAGAGGTAGACACTGATAATGAAAGCGTGGAGAAAGTGAGAGTCCCTAATAAATTTCAACAGAGAAGGAGGCCCCGTAAGTCAGCAAAGAATAGCGAATCCGAGCCAAATGAGGGTGATGGTGATGCATCAGAGCATAGACGAAATGGCCGTAGATTGAGACGACGACGTGTCTCTGAGAAGGAGGAGAACGACGTATTGGACGCATTGGACGTATCTAATGAGAATGGCCAATCCAGAGGCAATCATTTGCGAAAGAGGCGCACGCGTAGAACAAAGCCGCAGATCGAATTTAGCGTGAAGGTGGGCAACATCGCGAAGACGGATAGAGTGCGTGACATTAAGTCTGCTCTGGCAGAAAGGGGTGTCAAGCCTTTTGACATCACCTGGAGGGGAGTGAAAGGTTTTTGCTACCTGCACTTCGCGATGAAGCCTGCAGGTGTCAACTCCCTTGGAGTGGACGCCATTATTGAATCCCTTTCTGGTATGAAAGTTGGAGGTGGTGAAGAAGGAACCACCTCATGTGAACCGCATATTTTGACTGTGAAGCCTGCTAGGCCAATCACTAGGATTGAAACGACAGATGTGAATGCCGTATAAATTAATTTATTTAACATTAGAACAACGTCAAAATTCTTGTGTTCAGAATCTGACAGCAAATTTTAGAATCCTCTTATATTAATAATGAAATGTTATTTATCTTTATAGTATTTTCAATACTAATTATAAGCATAATTACTTTGCTTAATAAAAATTTCGAGTTATATAGTTAATCTAATTGTGTTGTTTTGAATACTGAAAAAAGTGTTTATTATTAGTTAAATATTAATTTTGAAATATAAAGTACAAAATTTTGTTTATTTATAATCTCTAATAAACATTTAATTGTTCTAGCTTTCATACATAAGTATCATAAATACGTACTAATAGTTTTTTTATGAACAAAAATTTATAAAAGTTTATAAAATATATTTTATATAATAAGTTATTATATTATAAGAAAAAAAAGCTTTTTGTATTAAGAGTGTATGGTTTTTAACAAACATTCTTATATATTATAATTCTAAAATAATATAGGCCTGCTACAATTGGTTTAATTTTAACAAATTGTTTAAAACGTTTGGAATATTAGGGTACGCACTTTTAAAAAATACACCGCGTGTGTATTAAGCAGGTGTTCATTTTTTTTTCAATAATGTATAATCATTTTTTAAAAGTAAATTTTATTCAGAAGTGAATAATCTGCAATATTTTCTCGTATTATAATGCCATACAGCAACTTGGTATACCTATTGATCATTCATAAAGTAACCCCTCTCACTCGGATGCCGCCGCTTCGGCGGCAAAATTCATATTAATCTCACAATTCGCGAGTGGAAAGGGTTAATATAATGATTTCTTGTTGAGTCTATTATTTATACATGTAGGAAAGTTGGTGTTCCATGGTTAAGCGCACTGTTTTGTGTGGACGGAGTTGCGAGTTCGAACCCCTGCTCTGGATAACCTGATAACATGCAGTAGTGAAATTTTGAAAATATAGATAACTAGTGGTGCATGGCATTGTGCCTTAAGGAAAATTGCTGAAAATTTCCGTACCAAAAATTAAGGTTTTTAAAAAAGATTCAATTTTCTTTTAGAACTATGAGAAAAATCGATTTTTGAGTTTTGACCCAAAATTGACTTTTTTTGAAAAATTTCATTGTTCTGAAATATTGGCAATTTTGAAATTTTTTTCAAAGCAATTGAGATACGTTATCTGTGTAGCTGCGTAGAAACGAAATATAGAAGCGCGTGGGCGCCGCGTTGCAGGAACAAAATTTGTTTTTATATTGGATCTCCGAAACCGCTAGACCTGCCTTCCTAAATATTTCACCGGTTCTACATTTAGTCAATGCAAATATAATGTTTTATCAAATAAATCGGTCGCTTAAAAAATCAGTTACCATGTTTGGCACTTTTTTCCCCGTATCTTAGAAACCGCTCAACCTGCTTTTGCCAAAAACTAATCAGCATGTCTCCTTATGAATACGAATCGAATATTTTTTAAAGTATTCAAATCGCTTGACCCGTGTGACCCGAAATCGTCTAAGAAAACTTATATCCGCACACGCACACACACACATGCATATGTATAAACATGCATACACACGCACACACACATACATCAATTTTTTCTGAGGTATGTGTGAAACCTCTTAAACGTGAAGATATGCTAAAAGTTTCATTTTCGATTTTCGGCTCATTACTATAAATTACCCCAGGGGAAGTTAAAAATATATTTCCAATTGAAAATAGCCTATTTCCGGCACTGTGGTGTGAAATGGCAATGAAAAATCTCTCACACTATTGTTCCCTGAATCGACTGGGAGTTTAGCTCAGCTCACGGACCTGCCCTAGGGCAGTATTAACCATAGGGGAAAGTTTCTGCAACTAGCCTCCACACAATGCCACTCACCGCTAGTACTATTTTCATCTTCAACATTGTCGTACAATTGTGTTTTTTATCTCATGTTTTATCAGACCCTTCTTCTTAGCCAAGCTAAATTTACTCCATGGACAATTTCCAAAATTTCCAATGGAAGCTTAATTAAATCGAAATCAAAGTGACGTACACATATATATCTATATACAATAAAGGTTTTGAAGCCGTGCCAATCGCAGACAAAATAAAACATAATACAATTGTATTTTCTGTTATATTATATATTAGTATGTACCATTTGCTTTTGCGTATATAATGGATTATTTTTAGTTTTAAAAGTTGCCTCATGTTTTTGGATTGAACAGCTAGTATAGATTTGGACGTTCGTGTGATCTCTCTCTGTGAATTTTATAACCGATTTTATAAACAACTTTGATTATTTATTTGTGTAATAATATTTATTGATTAAACAGATTATTTTCATCATGAGGTTCGTAAATCATCAGTTGAAAGTGTGATATAATAATATATTTAATTTATATTCCAGTAAACACTCGGCACACTGTATAATAACTTCTACATGTACATACAAGTAGACATAACATTTATGATCATCACATTCTTTGGTTGTTTTTTTATAGATATTTACCGTACATAAATTAAACATACATAATATAATCTGTAAATATTAACCATGTAATTATTTTTTACATTTAACATAATAATTACCATATAAACTTCCATAGACCAAGCCCTAAAAATGACTTTGTCCGTCACAAGCAAAATAATAATTTCTGAAAAACATAATCGACTTTCAAAGGTTTTCAAAATTAAACAGTTTTTCCTTATCAAATTTATTCCATTTTTTATTCAATCATGTCGTTTAATTAAATAATAAATTTTTACCAGGTTTGTTCTTGTTTCCATTAATATGGGAGAACGCATATTTTAGATACAGAATTAAGGTTTGATTTAATACATAAACAAATTTTTAAAACATCGAAATTTTGTTTTGCCTTTCATTTTGTTGTGTAGGTCATTAATTAAATTATTCATTTTTTAATGAAGCCAGACAGAACAGTTCTAAGTCTAAATACGCACATAGAAAGAAACTTTTTTTTAATTATTAGATAATAACAATTAGATAATTAGATAATAATTTTTACAACCATCTAAAGTAGACTTAAATTAAAATCGGTATAAAAATAATTATCAAAAACTTCAAAAATACAAAAATATCTCTCCTAATGTTTAGTGGCCAGTTTTTTTTTCCAAAAATGACCCTTAAAAAGATATTGTTTTTCCAAATGTTTCTTCTCTTTTTTTTAACTTCCCGTAGGGTAAGTTATTATAATCGTCCAAAAATTGAAATTGTAAATTTTTGCATATCTTCATGTTTTGGAGGTTTCTGAACATTTTAGCATACCTCAGAAAAAATTTGTGTGTGAATAGAATTTTTCGTTTACGTTTTTGGACGCACGGATCAACCGATTTGGATGATTCAAAAAACTATCGATTTCTATTGATAGGGATATGTGCTAATTAGTTTTGGAAAAAGTCGGTCCAGTCGTTTTGGAGTTCCGGAGCAAAGAGTGCAGCAAATAGAAATCGAGTTTTTGAGAGAACAGAGTATCTGATTTGAATGATCCAAAAAACATTCAATTTGTAATGATGGGAAGAAGTGTTGATTAGTTTTTAGCAAATACAGGCCCAGCCGTTTCGGAGATACGAAGCTAAATGTGTAGAAAATGGTTGTTTTTGAGAGAACTAAGCATCCGATTTGAATGAACCAAAAGCTTTCTGCTTGTGTTGACGAAAAGATTTTTTTTTTATTTTTTTTTAATTTCCAAATAATTTTTTTTATTTGAATATTGAAAATAATTTTGATTTCCAAAATTTTAATTCTGTACGGGTAGTTCTAGCAATTTGCCTCAAGGCACGATGCCATACAACACCACTAGTTAAATAATTATACTAGATTAATACTTTTTTTATTGATTTAAAAGGCGTGATTTGTTATATAATGAGCATATTGCGAAGAAAAAATATTTTACTCCACTAAATAATTGGGCTAAAGTCCAAGCCAAAACATATGGCAATAAAAAATATATTGCTGCTTTATTATTAACTTTTTCAACAGCTCATAGAACTGTTAAGTTCTGATTGGTGTTCAAAAAATAAAAAAAAAATTAAAAAAAAATTGGTGTTATGTTCCATTATACACACACATGTACATATGCAGCATTACTCAATAATTACTCAATTTTATTATTTAATTTGGTTTAATTTATACATTATAGTAAGCTGGTTATTTTTACTGTGATTTTTATATTTTGATCTTGATCTGACTTTGTTTAGTGACGATATAGAAAGAATCCGAAATGAACACTTGGCAGAGTATGAGCGCGAAAAGCGCACTAATCCCAATGAGTGGAATTTATCACCTCCTCAAAGTAAGTAAATTAATCGAATTTGAAATATTTAATTTGCAAATTATAAAATTTATTTTAAATAATTTTATTAGGTAAAAATATTCACTATTTTTTACAGGCGCACAACCGGAATACGCCCAGAAAAAATGTTGGCATCCAATTATGTTAGAGACGGATGTGCCTCATAATGTTGAAACAGATTCCGATGGCAAGGTTTGGAATTCATATTTACATTTAGTTTAGAAATTCCAAGTAAAATAATTTAAAATAAACCAACGAACTTCAAAAGAAATTAATTTAATATTTTACATCTAATATTTAATAAGGGTTGGTTCTGATTATTAACTTTATAACCATGAGCATTTTCATATATAGTTAGAGAGATATACATTTTTTCGGTGTCAGGTTCTAGGATAAATGTTACAATTAAATACATATCTTCAAAATAATTTGTGATTACCTTTTATTACATAAAATTGCATAAAAATCCAGAAGCATCATTTTAAATATTAGTATTCGGGTCGATGCCAGACAGTCTATATTTTATTAATTTTAATCTGACTAAAAAGCTTAGTCATTCGTAATAGGGAAATTTTTGGAGAAGGTTTGTTCAAGTATTAAAATGCTGATTAGCAAAATTTGCAAATGTTAGTAAATTACGAGGCTGACTGGAAAATAAATTTGATCTATTTCTCATCACTTATAATATTGTTACTATTAAATTATATCAATTGTGAACAGCACCTCCGTCTCCAAAGTAGCGACTCCTGGCTCTATGGTAAAAACATACATAAAAAAATGAAAAATGCTAGAAAAATTCAAAAAAATAAATTGATTCTTTCCACTGGGATGCCGCTTAAATTCATATGTATCTCGGAATTCGCGAGTGGAAAGGGTTAAAAGATAAAAAAATGTATTAAATTAAAATCTGGTAACAAAAAGATTGAAGAAATGTATTAAATTTAACGACTTTTTACAAGATGTGTATATCCAAAAAATATATCCAAATATTATATGTACGAGGTGTGTTCAAAAAGTACCCGGAATTACTAATAATTAAATTTCGCGGGTCTGGAGTGTCTGATTGTCAAAATTTTTTTTTTATTGTGTTGGTATACATGCCCCTAAAGTATGATGAAATTTTCAGCTATATTCACTGTTTACTTTGTCTGTGGTAGTCGCTAAGGTTCGACGTGTTTTTCTGAGCTCGGCGATTTTTACAATGGAAGAATTGAAAAGTCAAAGAATTTGTATTAAATTTTGCGTAAAAAATGAAATAAAGTGTTGCAAAGTGCAAAAATTCACCAGATATGGCTCCGTGTGACTTTTTCCTATTCCCAAAGTTGAAGAGACCCATGAAAGGACGGCGGTTTTCCTCGATTGAAGAAAATCGCTGAGAGTGCTCAAGGACATATCAAAAAGTGAATATCAAGGGTGCTTCGAAAATTGGAAAAAACGCTGGCATAAGTGTATTATATCTGGGAGGGACTACTTTGAAGGGGACCACATTAATGTAGACGAATAAATAAATATTTTTTTGAAAAAACGAAAATTCCGGGTACTTTTTGAACAGACCTCGTATGTATGTATGTATGCATGTATGTATTTATGTATATATGTATATGCAGCTAATTTTACAAAATATGTATGGCATTACCGCTTTATAAAATTGCGAAATACTGCTTTTACAATACATCATACAACTATGGCATTTTTCCAAATTTAATAAGAATTGGCGAGTACAATTTCTAAAATTTGTCCTCGTTAATTTTTATTATTATAACGCTCTACAAAGTACATGAACAATATTCTAAATAATAAAAAATATAGGCCTTTGTATATTTTTATATCTAATATACAATTATTTCTTACCATTTTATAACTTATATTTTATCATCTGTTTCAGGTTAAAGATCACAAACAGATTATTTTAAATATGCGCCATGTCATGGGATTGGACAGGCCGAAGGTATTAATTTAATTCTTTTATCAATGAATTTAAATATTATATATTTTTCCAATCACTATTTTTTCCATTTAGGAGGAAAGTGCAGAAAAAAGGAAAGCAGCGGCTAAGATGATTCCAGAAATGTTGATGTATCTTTGTCAAACATCAGTGCAAAGTTTTCATAGGGAACCATCTGCTGGTGACAGAAATAGAAAAGTACCAGACACAATTTAAAAAAAATTAAATTTGAAAAAATCGTTTGAATGCGTGAAATTACATTTATGATTGTATTTATGTTTATATGTATATAAAAGTTATTTGTAAGCTTCAATAAAAATTATTATTTCTCTGTATTTTGCTCATTTTATTGGTAAAAAAAATCATCATTTCGTTTATAACTTTCCGTATGGTAAGTTACAGTAACCCCAAAAAAACGAGAATAAAAATATTTGCATATCTTTACGTTTCGAAGGTTTCTGAACATTTTGGCATACCTCAGAAAAAAATGGATGTGTGTATGCATGGATACAATTTTTCGTCTACGATTTCGGACGCACGGATCAGCATTTGATTCCTATTGATAAGGAGACGTGCTGATTAGTTTTTGGCAAAGGTTGGTGCAGCCGTTTCGGAGATATGGAGCAAAGAGAGCAGAAAATGGAAATTAAGTTTTTGAGAGAACGGAGCATCCGATTTGAATAATTCAAAAAACGTTCCACTTGTATTAACGTAATGAAGAATTAATTAAGTTTTTGCAAATGCAGGTTCAGCCGTTTCGGAAATCCACAAAAAAAGTTTTAAAAACACGTCATTTAGCGGTAGAAAATCAGATATCAGAGAGAATCAGTGTTTGCGTGTGTGTTTGTGTGTGTGTGTTTGTGAGGATACAATTTTTTGACAACGATTTCGAGAACACAGAACAACCAATTTGAATGATTCAAAAAACGTTCGATTTCTATTGATAAGGAGACGTGCTTATTAGTTTTTGGCAAAGGCAGGTCTAGCCGTTTCGAAAATACGGGGCAAAATGTGCCAAAAATCAAATTTCTCAAAAAAAATTATTGTTTTTCAATAATTTCAAAATTTTCAAAAAAAACGGATATTTTCAAAGTATTGAAAAAATTTTAAAACTTTTTAAAAAATTTAGTTTTCGATACGGGAAGTTTCAGCAATTTGTCTCAAGGCTGCTAATGATGCCATGCACCACTAGTTTCTAATTTGAATCAATTAAATAAAAAATTATAAAATTTTAATTTTCAAGAATTATCTGTATTTTTAAAAGAGGCATTTTTTCAATATTAAAATTTTTGTGCCATGCCATTACCAATGCCATGCACCACTAGTTTGTAATTTGAATCAATTAAAAAATAAATTATAAAAATTTAATTTTCAAGAATAATCTGTATTTTTAAAAGAGGCATTTTTTCAATATTAAAATTTTTCAAATGTTTTCAAAAATATTCAAAAAAAATCAGAATTTTCAAAAGAAATCTATTGTTTCTATTGTGAGCTTTTAAAAATTTTAAATTACGGTACGGGAGTTCCAGCAATTTGCCTTAGGGCACGATGCCATGTACCACCAGCTTTATATTTTGTTTATCTCAATCATTATGCTTATTATTATTATTATTATTATTATTTATCTATGATCTCAATCCTTATATCTTTTTATAATTCAAATGTTAACGGTCGTGATCCAACACCAACATTAAAAAATTGACTATATTATCAATATATGTAAAATATCGATATATATGTTCGATATCGAATTGCATTTGTCTTCCCTACGCCCATCCTGCCTAAACGTCAAATACAATGTTATCATGTTTATATTTATCTAATTAAATAATTGAATAACAATAAGATGGTTTGTGTTACGTAGCTGAAGTACAAATGTATATTAAAATAATTCATTACAATAATAAATTGTACAACAATATTGTTAGTTTGTCTAGGTGAATGGAATATGTCGAATATATTTAGTTGTGTTTATTATTTATATATTAGTTGCATTCCATAATTTGTGATGTTTGATATTGGTTAAATAACTCGTGTAGTTTGTTGTGTCTTAATAAAATCAGTTTTATAATATCTATTATTTCATGTGAGTTTTTGAATCATAAGTAGATTTGCGTCACATAATGTATTGTTATAAAGTTCATTAGTGCAATTTATTGGAAAGGCGGCTTTAACATTTAAGATTTACAAGAATTATAAAATCACTTTGATATGATGAATTTTATATTCTAAACTTTGAGCATTTATCATTATTATTGCCTAGCTTTTTCATGTTAGTTTTGATTTTCATAAGTCAAATTCTTGTGTAAACCATGTGTTTATAAACGAAATTCTATTTTTAGTGAATTAAGTGGCTATAAATAATCAATTATTCATTTCTACTATCTAGTGAAAAATAGTTGAAGATGGCAGGCGCTGATAAAGTATCTTTGCAAGATGCATTGTCGAATGTTGACGTATTAGATGAATTGACTTTGCCGGATGAACAACCATGTATTGAAGCTCAACCTTGTTCAGTTGTGTACCAGGCCAATTTTGATACAAATTTTGAAGATAGAAATGGTTTTGTCACTGGCATTGCAAAATATATTGAAGAAGCTACAGTACATGCTAGCTTGGTAAATAAAATTATTAATTGAATAACAAACTTAATTCTACATTATATTCATAAGGTTTACATTTACTTATATATTAGAAATATCTATTGGTAATATTAATTTATTATTTTTTAGAATGAATTACTAGAGGAAGGCCAACAACATGCTGTTATGCTTTATACATGGAGGTGCTGCTCTCGAGCAATTCCTCAACCCAAATCAAATGAACAACCTAATCGAGTTGAAATTTATGAAAAAACAGTTGAAGTCTTGGCTCCTGAAGTCAATAAACTCCTTAATTTTATGTATTTCCAGGTATTTTTTAAATAAATATGTTAGGTTTTGAGTAAGTTTTGCTAATATTTTTGATATTTTAGCATAAAGCTATTGAAGGGTTTAGTATGGAAGTTAAACGGCTTTGTCATTCAGAAAAACGCAAAGATTTTGTATCTGAAGCATATTTATTGACACTTGGTAAATTTATAAATATGTTTGCTGTTCTTGATGAATTGAAAAATATGAAGTCCAGCGTGAAGAATGATTATAGCACATATAGAAGGTAATAATATAATAAAAGTTGACTCATAACTTTTTACAATTTTTTTTTAATATATATTGGATGGCAACCAGAACAGTTACATTCTATAAGCCATTGGGCTATAATTTTGATCCCCATACTCATAATTGATGTTTGATATTTTGATATCACAATGAAAATCTTCCTTTTTTCAATTTTAGTTTATACTATTATTTAGCTTATGAATTTTCTATTCTAGGGCTGCTCAATTTTTAAAAGTTATGTCAGATTCTCAAACTTTACAAGAATCTCAAAACCTGTCCATGTTTCTTGCCACACAGAATAAAATCAGAGATAAGGTGAAGGAAACTTTAGAAAGAATTCCTGGATATGAAGAACTTTTATCAGATGTTGTGAATATATGTTTGCATATGTTTGAAACTAAAATGTATTTAACACCTGATGAGAAGCATATGCTGGTTAAGGTAAATATTACTTAAAATAGTAATTAAACAAGCAAATGCATTTTCTGTATGTTTTCTTAAAAATACATAAATTAATTTGTGATTTAAACATATTGAGGATTTAGTCCATACAGTTATTATATTATGAAACATGTTGTACATCAACGCAAAATTAGATATTGTTATAAATGACTATATTTCTACTAATGTAAAAAATAAAATATGTTTTCTGTTAGGTTATGGGTTTTGGTCTTTTCTTGATGGACAGCGAAGCATGTAATATCAATAAACTAGAACAAAAAAAGAAACTTCGACTGGATAGATTTGACAGAATATTCAAGGTAAGCCCAAATCATTAATAGCCCATGAACAAATTTCAATTTTTACATTACTATTATAATCAATGTTATAATATTTTTAACAGAATTTGGAAGTAGTTCCATTGTTTGGAGACATGCAGATAGCACCATTTAATTATGTAAAACGCAGTGCCCATTTTGATCCATCTAAATGGCCATTATCTTGTTCAACTACCATAAGCCCACAGGCAGATTTAATGGTACATTTACCTCAAATTAGGGAGGGACATGTGAAATACATATCAGAATTAGCAAGATATAGTAATGAGGTAAATTGAATTGAAAATGTAACTTAATTATAAGACTGTCATTAAATTTAATACTTGCAATACACATTTTTATCTTTTTCTTTATGCTTATACTTTCTATGAAAATTTTATCAATTAAGTGCTTCAGTTTATAATTTTATCTTTTAAGGTGACAACCACTTACAAAGAATCAGGCACAGATGCTGAGAACAGAGAAACAGCCGAACTTGCACTTAGAGGTCTCCAGCTACTTTCTGAGTGGACTTCTGTAGTAACTGAATTATATTCATGGAAACTTTTGCACCCTACTGATCATCACCAAAATAAAGACTGTCCTAAAGATGCTGAAGAATATGAGAGAGCTACTCGTTATAATTACACTGATGAGGAGAAATTTGCACTGATCGAAGTTATTGCAATGATCAAAGGCTTGCAGGTTCTTATGGCTCGAATGGAAACTGTTTTTACAGATGCTATAAGAAGAAATGTTTATGCGGAGTTACAAGATTTTGTACAGTTGTTATTGAGAGAACCATTAAGGAAAGCTATTAAGAATAAAAAGGATTTGATTAGAAGGTAAGATAAAGTTTTAGGTAATAATTAATATACTTGAGAATAATTCATTTTGGCAGAAATAATTAATTATATTACAAAAAATACAATTCTCTGAAATAAAATAAATATTTCATTAATAATGAAATATTTTCTATATATTAATATGTATTAATATATAAATAGAAGAATTATTTATAATGAAAATATTTTACTATATATAAATAAACTAATTTGTTATGAAATTATATTTATTTTTACAGTATTATAGTTTCTGTGCGGGAAACTTGTGCAGATTGGCAAACTGGCTCAGAGCCTCAAGCTGATCCTGTTTTGAAAGGAAAAAAAGATCCTGACAATGGATTTCCTATTAAAGTTCCTCGAAGAAATGTTGGTATGTTGAACAAAGTTTAAATTGAGTACTTTCAATTTAAGAAATAATATAATATTAAATTTATTTTGCAGGCCCATCATCAACACAGCTTTACATGGTACGAACTATGTTAGGTTCACTGATTTCAGACAAGTCTGGTGGAAAAAGAACCCTTCGGAAAGATATTGATGGGGGCTGTTTAGTTCAAATTGATCAGTTTCATAAGAATAGTTTTTATTGGAATTATTTATTAAGCTTCAGTGGTAAGATTATTTTATCTTTGTTACATCTTAATAATTAACTATATAGTTTAAACATATTTCTAAATGGTTTTTTTGTTATGTAATAGTATATATTTAATGTATTTATTGTCATGTTTTATATTTATACTAAATCATTGATATTTTCAGAATCTCTGCAAAAATGTTGTGATCTATCACAATTATGGTATCGAGAGTTCTATCTGGAAATGACCATGGGAAGGAAAATCCAGGTATATTTTGTACTTCATACTTTATTTTTATATTTATAGTTTACCAAACACTATTATAAAAAGAGGTCATAAAGACAAAATAAAATATATCATTAATAAATAAAACAATCAATTTAATTTAGATGAAACTGTTAATAATTTTTAAAAATTTTTTGTTTAGAAATGTACAGTAAGACATCAACACAATGAAGAGTGTTCCGACCTTATAACAATGGAGAAACGAATTCAATTTCCAATTGAGATGTCGATGCCCTGGATTTTAACAGACCATGTTTTGAGAACTAAAGAACCCAGTGTTATGGAAAGTGTTTTATATCCCTTGGACTTGTATAATGACAGTGCTCTATATGCTTTAACAGTCTTTAGAAAACAATTTCTTTATGATGAAGTGGAAGCTGAAGTTAATTTATGCTTTGATCAATTTGTATACAAACTTAGCGAACAAGTATTTGCGCACTACAAGCAGCTGGCTGCCAGGTAAAAATTAAGCATTCCTAAGAACATAATATTTAATAATTCAAAAATTAACTTGAATTGTGATTAAATAAGTCTAAATATTATTAGCAATTTTTATGTGTTTGTGCTTCTGTGATTTTTGGAATTAAATTTTACCTTCTGTTTTTATTTATTAGTATTCTGCTAGATAAACGATATCGTGCTGAGTGCACAGCCTTGGGCTCATGCATTTTAGCATTTCCAAAAGCAAACCGTTATGAAACCCTTTTAAGACAAAGGCATGTTCAGTTACTAGGAAGATCAGTAGATCTTAACAAATTAATAACTCAAAGAATAAATGCAGATATGCAAAAATCATTAGATTTAGCTGTTGCCAAATTTGAAGCCGGTGATATTACTGGTGTTGTGGTAAGTTTTATTACAAAAAACATTGATTTTAAAAGAGTAATAAAATTAATGGCAATGCTTTGCTTTTATTTTAGGAACTGGAAGGATTATTAAATGTTAATAGACTTTGTCACAAATTATTGAGCAAATGGCTGGCTCTGGATGAATTTGATGCCATGTTTCGTGAAGCAAATCATAATGTTTTAGCACCCTATGGTAGAATAACTCTCCACGTATTTTGGGAATTGAATTATGATTTTTTGCAAAATTATTGCTACAATGCAGCAACCAATAGGTATAATATTATATTGATTAATAACAAATAAACTATTGATGTGAAATTTTAAATAATATTTGTTATACAAATAGACCTTTAGATAAGCTATTAAAATTTCTTTCTCATTCAATTTAATAAATTTTCATAATGTAATTGCAGATTTGTAAGATGTCGTGGTATACAATTTGCACAACCAATTCACAGGGACAAACCTCCACAAATGTCATATGCATATCATTGGGGCTCAAAGCATCTAAGTACTGCTTATAATACTCAATATGGTCAATATGCAGGTAATTGGACAAAAATTAAAACTGTTATTAGAATATACCAACTTGAACTTATTATCAATAATTCTAAGTTAATCTTAATTTAGAATTATTAATAAGCGGTAATATTTGCGCAATGTATGCAAATATTCTACATCAAATTAATTTTATTTCAGGTTTTGTTGGAACACAGCATTTCCATGCTATGTGTAGATTGTTGGGCTATCAGGGTATTGCTGTTGTTATTGAAGAGTTATTAAAAACCGTTAGATCTTTAATTCAAGGAAGTCTCTTACAATTTACTCGTACCTTAATGGGAGCCATGCCAAAACAGTGCAAGCTCCCGCGGTATGATTATGGCTCACCTGGTGTTCTAGGTAATAACTTAAAAATTGATATGCTAAAGTTAAAGGTGATATTATGTACTTCATATTTTTAATTCAGGTTACTATCATGCACAGTTGACTGATATTGTGCAATATCCAGATGCAAAAACTGAATTGTTTCATAATTTTCGGGAATTTGGCAATACAATATTGTTTTGTTTGTTGATGGAACAAGCTTTGAGTCAGGAAGAAGTTTGTGATTTGTTACATGCAGCACCATTCCAAAATATACTGCCAAGGCCTTATTGTAAAGGTAATAAGAATCATTTCAAATAACTTATTTGTCATTTGAGTATTTTAAAATAAAATACTAAATAAATATTTTCTATTTTGTAGAAGGAGAGAAGCCAGAATCAAAGCAGAAAAGGCTTGAAATGAAATATGCAGCATTGCAAATTGTACCTAACATAGACAAGTTAGGAACTGCTAAGGTGTGTTTTATAAACTCTCTAAAGTACTCTTTTTATTAATAGTTAGTATAGTATTAATTAGGTAGTTATAAACAAAAGATAATTATTTTTGTATTTGATTGTTTTTTTATTATCTTATCCAGCAAGCATCAATAGCTCGTGAAGGTGATCTTCTAACTCGTGAGCGATTATGTTGTGGTTTAAGTATATTTGAAGTGGTTTTACTAAGACTTCGAGGATTTTTGGATGACCCCATTTGGTCTGGACCACCACCAACAAATGGTGTTCTTAATGTTGATGAATGTACAGAGTTTCATAGATTATGGAGTGCTCTGCAGTTTGTATATTGCATACCTGTTGGAGAAACTGAATTTACAGTGGAGTAAGTGTGGTTATTTTACTTAGCATAGTTTTGCACTGATCATACTGATGTTATAATTAATCTTCTACAGAGAATTATTTGGTGAAGGTCTGCATTGGGCCGGCTGCACTATGATTGTTTTGTTAGGTCAACAAAGGCGTTTTGAAGCTCTAGATTTTTGTTATCATATATTGAGAGTACAAAGAGTTGATGGAAAAGATGAAATGGTCAAAGGAATTGTAAGTTTAATGCTAATTTTTTTAATTAACATTAGAAATTTGTTTTTTTTCTACCACATTGGTTGATTATTGGTGTTGTTTTCAGAATTTAAAGAGAATGGTTGATCGAATAAGGCGTTTCCAAGTATTGAATTCACAAATATTTGCCACTTTGAACAAATTATTGAAGGGTGTTGAAGGTGACGGACAAAGTGTTGAACATGTAAGATGTTTCCCACCGCCTCTGCATTCCTCATTAGCAGCTCATTATCATGACCCCAAAATGCTGAGGCATCAACAACAGTAATCCACTATTTTCAAAATTGTATATGTTTTAAAAACAAAGTAAGTTTTTATATAAATTATTTTTTTTTCTTCTCTACTCTTCTTTTGAGTTTTATGATTTGAAATATATAGATATAAAAAATTGGTGTGGATGGACTTTCAAATCTCAACTGTGAGGGCTTGCATGTTATTTTCTTTAAATATTTAATATCTATTTTTTAATTGTTTTACAAACATTGTTAATTCTATAAGTCTTTTTGACATGAAATGATAATTATAAAGAATAAGAGTAATATAATAATTGCATATATTAAAGATAATATAATTTTAGCGCACCAGAATTTGAAGATTATTCTAAATCCTTACTTGCTTCTTAGTAGTTTTGATTAAAATGTAATCTCTGTCAGGACAAATTTATTTCGGTAAAAAACATTACTCCTTTACAATATGTACGTGTCATGAAGAAATCATATTATTACTCTCCGAAATTACTTTATTTTTAATTATTGTTTTATATATTGACTTGGCTATGTCATATGCTCAAGATGTATTTTGAACTCTTTGAGAACTACGCTTAAAAAATGAAATTTATTAATTATATTGCTAAATATTTAAACCTGCTTGATGTAATTATGAATTTTATTGCATTTATGAATTTCATTCCTTATATGAATCTTGAGATGGTTTATATTTTGAAATATAACATTAAAAAAACGTTACTTGTTTTGGGGCAAGTAGAATACGGATAATATTTTATATTATTATTTAAATACGCTCACCTGAAATATTTTTTGTTAAACGGTTAAATGTTAATTGAGTGAATCTAAATTAATTATCGAAGTCAATTGGGTTGTGTAATTGCTAATTATTAATTATAAATTGGATGTCATTTTAATATGATCATAGGAATATATGTACAAATTTTGTCAGCCTAATGTAACGAATTTGAACGGAGGATGGTTTTATCAAATAGCTCAGTAACTATGGGCCCGCTAGCTGAGTATTATTTCAAAGTATTGTTGTCGAAATTATAAAAGCATATTTCAATATAATTTCGTTCTTGCCAAGTAGAATAGTTATTTGAAAATCAAATTAATGAGATTATTATCAGTATATCAAATTGCATGTACAAATAAAATTGTTTTGGTACATGCTACTTTTTAAAGTGAAATGGCGTATTAACAGTTTTTTATACATTCAACTTTTAATCACAATGTAGTCAATAAAGTTTTTATTGAACTAGTTGAACATTTCAAAATTTCATAATTTACTACATGAAGTCATCACATTCTTCCAATCCAAGTTACTGAGCTAACGTGATCCAATCGGATTCATATTTATTATGTATTATTCAAATAGTTTATATTTTACTGGATAAACATTATTTTATACGAAATTTGATCAGTGGTAGTCAGAAATAAACAATAACAAATCTGCATACGCGATTTAATTGTAGTCTTGCATTTGTTATTCAAAATATTACAAACATTTTCTTACAAATATGACTTGTGATGGAATTATTATATTTTATTAAAAAACTTGCATAATTTTTTTCAATTAAACAATTATTTTTGCCATGCAGGAATAAAATAATTTTAAAATTAAATACGAATTTGTTGTTAACAAATATTTACTGAATTTAATGAAACATTCATATCGCCATCAGCAGCGGAGCTTGTTTTGTTTGGCTTTGACAATAATGAAATCAATAATTAAATTTTATTATTAAAAAAATATTGCAAGTTTATATATCCTTTTTTTAATACAAAAATACTACACATTTTTTCATAACAAAATATTATAAAAATAATGATATAAAGACTACGAATTTCCATAATCGCAAACTTGCCAAATACATAAAACAGTATATAGATTTTTTTTTTAGAAAATTAAGTATATATACGAGAATATTTATATATTCAATAAAGCAGCCAAATTATATTGGAAAAAGTATTTTTGGAATTGACGTTGCACATTCACAATTTGATCACATAGACACAAATGGTTACAAATTTGGATACGTAAAGATTTTATTCCATCAATTTCAGACTTTTAATTTAATAAGTAGGGTTTGTGGTCAATTCTACAATCCTAATAGATACGGAATGCATGTCAATGTCAAAAACATTTTTTTTGATCTGATTTGTCTATAATATATGTTCTAGTTTATAATATTTGTACTGAACTCCTAGTGTAGTCGTAATTCCAATAGCGCATAGGACAACATTTGCAATACAATTTTTCACGAAGTAATTATAAATAATTAAGCATCATAGAAATTAGTGACCTATAAAAATTATATATACGAACGTTTGCGTTCAATATATATTATATATTATGATAATGATGATAATTTTTTGCCTAAATAAAATTCAAATTATGAGGAAGTTGATTGTTGTGAACGAATTTGGTGTCCACAGGTCATAAATCTACTAGGTTATTATTTAGTTTGACTTAATCGAGATTTTTAAATATTAAACTGTTACTTTGTAGTGTTCAACAATGTTGAGAATTTATCATTTTTTGGGCTGAGAATTGACTTTTAAAATGGAAAATGCATGTTCTACAGTCTAAACCAGTGATTCCCAAAGTGATCGATGACAACTTTTAGGGGGTTCACGTAAGCGAAAAAAAATAATCGGGGAGCACAAAACGAATATGGGGGTCCACGGTAATTATTTAAGTATATCACTAAAATTAAGATTAATTAATAAATTTTTGAAATGTAAATAAATGTAGATATTCATTTAATTGGCGAAATGATTGAAAGATTCAAAGCTATTAATGAATAAAAAAAATAAGTCCTGCTAAATATTTCGAAAGCGTTTTAATAGTTTTTTTTGTCCGTTACGATGGTTACAATTGGCGAACCATAGTGGTTCCATGAATATTCATCTATGATAAGTCCTGCAAAATTTTTGAATGCGTTAATAGTTTTTTGGTTGGTTGCAATGGTTACAAATGGCCAACCATAAACATGGCGAACCATAAACATGGCGGCTCATTGCACAATATGGCGAATTTAGGTTTGTCATTTGAAAACAAAACGTGTTGTTAGTCTTCAGATATATTGAAAAAATGTAGTGCTATAAGTGTTATTATTTGTTTCTTGTGCTGTTGTGTGTTTGTGAAACGTGTTATTAATTTAAGCGAAATTAATAAATATGTGTTCGATATGAGGAAAGACCGATCTGAGAGTGAGTAATGTAATATTAATATTATTCTATATTATATATGACTTGACATATCTATATAGGTTATCTTGCTTAACAAATAAATGTTTACGCAAATAATAATGGCGCCGATTTGTTTGGGGGTCTTTCTATCATTTCACGTAAAACAAAAATAATATTTTTGTTATTTGTATTTTAGACTTTCTAATAGATATTTCGGAAATTATTTCAGCTGTATTTAACAGTCAACCTTATATAAAATTTTACTAAATAAAAAAATCTTTTTTATAAAACTTATATTTTTAATTATATAAATAATTTAACAATTACATTATCTAAAACCGCTCTTACAATATATCTTAATATATTAACTACTACAAAAATATACAATTTGGTTCTTTCAATTTTTGAAGTACTATGTCGGCTATTACGTTGTTTCAAAATATCAATAATTTTTATATTTAGACAAACTTTTTCTACATTAACAAAATTTATTATACAGCTATTTATATACATATATGAAATAGAAACAACAGTTCTTTATTGATAATATTGCAACATTTGAATTGGATTATTACAAATCACAGAATCCTATTTTTTCATAATAATACTTTATTTTGAATTTTTATTTATTTAATTTTTTTTTTTGCGGGATTGATAATAAAACGCAGACAATTTTTATAATTTGCGTATAATTTTTATACGCAACATATCATTAGCAAATATATAAATGCATTTTTTTTACAACCAGAAGGTAATATCACTATATAATATATCAATATTAATTCTTATGAACAAGAATTATTAAAAAATGTGGATAAATTTACTGTTACAGAAATTTTGACCTGTATTTACTGAATATGTATTAAAATATTTCTTAATACTTTTAACATTCGGAGTCAAGTATGGATACAAGGTGGTGAGAAATGATAATAAAAGATTTATTTTATTTATAACTATGATACACCAATATTATTCCAATAACTCTAATTTTTTCTTGGAAATTGTTGGTTACTTCTTCAACCAACTAAAGTTGTGCAATAACTTTAGTTAGCCTTTAGCCGATTGTTGGCACATCCTATTTCGAATTGTCATTGGAATTGCAAATCAGATCCGGTGCATAACACATTCTGTTCATAAGTTTCAATAAGTTTTCGCTTTTTTATGATAAAATATAAAGTATGTCTAAAATACTGACTTCATATTTGCAAGAGCACTTCGACGTGTGAATTAGAAAAAAAACTATATCACATTCCTAAGCATGGCTTAAAAATGTCAAGGAAGAAAGTATAGAAGACAATACTTCTGATAATTAGCTTGAAGTTTAAATTTAATAATCATTATAGATCATTTCCGACCACGTGTATCAAATTAAGGTAAGGCGATCGTCCTTAACCCTTCATCATCGTTATCATCAGTCTTTGATTGTTTCTTCAATCTTGGCGGAGCAAGTGGCGCGTCAGATACTTTTCCTGTATTCTCCAAATTACCAACATCTTTCTTCTGCTGGTCCTTGCCCAACATCAACAAATTCTTTATTCTTAAACCGCCTCCGCTCTTGTAGAAATACAAATAAACCATGGCTAAAGTTGCCAGAACTGCAAGCAGAGTGACCAGGACAATAATAATACTGGTGCTGTGAGATGAGGACTCGGAATCGGTTTGGTCGATTTTTGGTTTTTCTGTTTGGGTGGCGTTGGAAGTCTTTTCGGTGGTTGTGCTGTCTGGGTTGGTGATGGTAGGGACGTAGGATGTGACGTCTCCGATGGAGATGTCGGCGCATGCACGGAATTCTTCTTGAGGCCCGCAGCCCACTGCGCCTGTGCCATCTGGGAGAAATATTATTTGTAAGTTAGGAGGTCAAAATTGGTAAAATAATTTCACATCAAATCATTTCATTTAAATTCAATTTGTTGTAAAAAATTATCTTCATTTTTTGATATTGGTGGTATTTTGTTACACGTCCCTTGAGATTATGATAAATAGAAGCTATGGGTAAAATATGTAATTTAGAAAAGACTTATTATCTTAATTATATATTATTACCTGGACAAGTTCCCCAGTTGTTGCCAGCAACGTAACGCCATTGCAACATGCACCTCTCACATCGCAGTCCCTGTGGCAGCTGCGCCCGCATTTCGTATACCTTGCTTCCATTTCGTGGGAAGAATTTTATACCATCGTTTCCTTCACCTTGAGAAAAAACAGAAAATATTACTTTCAATACAATTTCTGTAATTGATTTTTAACATTATGTCGAAATGCAGAAACATTCAGACGCATAAAAAATCTGTGATTCTAACCCAGCGGTCGGGAAACTTTCTTTAATCATTACCAAAACATATTTTTGCCTGAGTTGATATTACCTCTATGGTGAAGAGAGATTGTCCCGTACAGACAACCACGTAGCAAGTACAGTAAATATCAATGAAAAATACATACATTTTACCTCTTAAAAATTCCATTTTTACCCCATTTGGGGTAATTTACCGCAGTTTCCCGACCACTAACAAGGGAAACCTCAGGCTTATTCTTCTGGGATTTTGATGGAAATTCGCATGACGATAGGGTTGATGGTCAAACCGAACCCCATAAAATATTATAGGCATAAAATATTATTAAGTAAGACGAAAATTGCCCCCCAGTCTCATCTAAGTATTTTTATATAATTTGCGTTTCTGTTTGGATGTAGGGGGAAGTCCCGTAACGCCGGACGGCACCAAGTACCTGACGGTCTGTTTAACACCTATTATTTAAGCAAGTATAAATCTTTTCATTTCAAAATACAAATGAAAGGGGCACTGGAGGCACACGGGTACAGGATCACGCGCCAAGCCTCGCCTGTGACGCACACGGCCACGGCGGGAGCAACCCTTTACTGTTTTAGACGCAAAATCACGGCGTCACCTAAATATCAATGAAAGTAATTCTAGCATATTTATGCATATGCAAAGATAAAAGTTGAACTTGATTGTTATCCGTAAAATGGTAGAATATTATTAGATCTCTTAACCAATTTTAGTAGGTGCGATCAAATGAACAAAAATGTCTGTTCCTTAGCATCGGACACTAAGTCGTCCCTTAGTGCCGAACAGTAAACATATTGATATTTCTTGTGAGAATATACGTAATTTATTCCAATTATTTAATTTTGTTCTGTATGAGTGCTAACGGTCACTACATACCCCCATTTTTCGTATTTCCTAGTCGAAGAATGAAAAGCTTATGGTGAATGCACCAGCTGAGAGCATCGGTGTGGCCCAGCGAAAAGGGTGGACGAATAGTGACTTTTTTTTTTTTGCAACATCTAAGAATATTCGTCAAAGACACATGTGCAGACATTACAGAGTGTGGAGATGGCTACATATGTGATCAATGCAGGTTATTTTGAAATGTCCGGTACTAGGTACTACTGTTTAAAATCATATTTTTTGATACCAAAGTTTGATTGATAGTATTAATTATTTTTTTAGCAAAAATTGCGGTTTTGTTAATTTAGTTTGATTTCTAACTTTGTTATCTAACATAAATCATAATTTAATAAACATTTCGTAAAATACCTTTTGATTTATTTATAAATAACCTTAGGTGTCCGCCACTAGGGCACTTCCGCCTAATTGTGTTTTGTAATGGATTTCTAGTGGATATTGTACTCGGTGCACCTACTATCATCATATTACATTACCCGGTATTTTTTATATTTTTCTAGCAATCTCTGCTCAATGTTTTTCATTTAAACAAATTGCAGCAATAAAGTTATTTAAGAAACATCTGGGCCAACATAAGTATACTCTTTAAGTTATAGTTGACTTACAGAAAAGTGAATTTTTTAGAAAAAAATAAATTTATGGAGGCCTATTTGCTTTTAGTAGTTTCGGTGATTTAAAGAAAAATAAGAAAAAAATACCATTTTGGGGATAAGAAACAAAATTTCTTCACTTATCTGTGCAAGTTTTAGGTTTAGTTTTTCATAAAGATGTACAATTTGCTTTTCTACTACAAACGTATAACTTTAACTTCTAAAACTTGATTTTTTTCATATAGCTAATTAGATTCTGTACCAATTATAATAAAAAAACCTAAATTAACTCGACGCTCTTGATCAACATTTGGTTGTACTATAAGTATCTTTTTAAACGTGTCTGTGATTTTACTCATCAGAATCAATCATTTTATTTTCTAAAATTTGAAGTTTTTATACAATTTGTGTACCATTCCATCCATTACGAAAGTGTTCAACTATCGTAACAACCACATGTTTTTATATTTGTGTCAAAGGGGGGGGGGGGGGAACTGTTAATCACGTGATTGATTTTTAAGGATTTTTGGACCCTTTTTTCTTTGGTTATATATAGTGATATTCAGTGGCGTCGGAACCGTGTGCGCGTGTGAAAAAAAAGAATAGTGCGAGAGCTTTCCCATTGCCATTTCTCACCGCAGAGTATATCAATAATTTTATTATACAACTATGTTAGTCCTTACCTCCGATCAGTTTGAGCGGATACCGATCTAGGCACGACTGGTCCCCCACGCTGTCTGGACAAAGACGAAATTCGAAGTATCCGTTGTGACTTGCCGTCAGTTCCACTCTCAGTAACATCACGCTATTCTCCTGAAAATTAATACAATGATATAGAATAATTGAACGATCGTTGATAATCAACTTCATATAAGAAATCTTTACACATTGCATTAAGTTTTCCGTAGGAAAAATTGTGTTTTTTGCACACAACTTTATACTAGCAAGGAACATAAGATTTAGGGGTGCGTACAAAACTAGTTTATTTTATGCTATAGTTTTTGATTGATGGTTTCTTCTTTCTGAGGTATGCCAAAATGTTCAGAAAGCTTCAAAACGTCGAGAAATGTAAAAATTTTCAATTTCGATTTTTGACCCATTACAATAACTTAATATTATTTTTCCACCTCACCTTATATTTTCGCACTATTACTCCCTGGCCCCACTTTCCGCCCAGTTCGTGTGGTCTTGGTCTGGGAGCGTCCCAGGCGTCACCACATTCTCCACACTTTCCGGCGTTTTTCTGCCACTGCCTGGCGAAGCCACCACAGAAAAGTTCATGGTCATTGTAGTTTGGCGGTGTATCGAAGCCATACCTGAGTAACAAAATAAATAATATCGTTTTATTTTTAATACAACAAGTACTCGCGAAATAATTATCAGTTTTACAATATATGGCATCAATAAATGGGTATTACTCACCTCCACGCTGTGGCTCTACTGGGGGGTTCTATAAGTCTTCCATGGCCATTTGCAGATCCTATGTGGTTTATCAAAACTATTAAACAGCTCGTGGCGACTATGTACGAAAATTGTGGAAGCATCTGTAAAGAATAAAGGGTTGATTAATAATGATAAGTAATTTCAAATATTTTGACTACAAAAAATTTTTTTTCGACGATTTTTATAATTATTTTTTTGACGGTAGATACCATAGCCTTATTATAGATCATACTAAAATATTACTGCCTTACGACACCTCGTTTAACTTTAAAAATTCATCAAAGTTTGCAAAAATTGGTGTCATTTTTTGGCATTTGTCAAAATTAGACGTTTCATCGACGTTTGATCAAAAACGCCTGAACCGATTGCAGAAATTTAAAAGCCATTTGATGTATCTCGATGAGGATTATCATTTCTCAGTTTCGTGCGACGATCGGCCGAGCCGTTTCTTTGTAATTTGGAAAAAAAGAGTGCGCGTAAGGATCACACGCGATTGAAGTAAAACTTTTAATATTGTATGAGTAGGCAATTAAGATAAAAATAAAAAAAACATCATATTTGAATTTTAAAAATCATCTTTTAATAATCATATAACATCAATAATAATAAGATCTCCTGAGCATCGGCACAGCTGTCCTACTGATATTAAGAGTTTGAATATGATGTGAAGCTTTCTTCCTAATTTTGTTACCTATCTTACCGGGAAATTCAAACCATAAACGTAGAAGTTCATCATTATCGCCACGTTCTATGTACACTAATTTTCCCACACAACCATTAGCTAAGCCATCACTTACATCAATATTAGTTGTTATTATGTAAAATTTATTCAGAACTAAAATTATTTCATACGGCAAAGCCCCGGTATCAATAACCGATTTTTTTGAAACTGCTGACGAATGTATGATTGTTGATCTGTCGCATGGCAACCTACATAAATATCCGTGGCAGTAGATATTATTTTGTCTTCAACGAGATTCAATATAAATTTATTATATTCCATGGCACATTTATTCTCTAAGAAAAGTCTTATTCCATGAGGACATAACATAAAAAACGTGATTCAATTAATGCAAGTTCATATAGGGTTTAGCGCTCGACTAAGGCATGACATGACGGGAGTGGATACTCGCGACATCAGCGCTTACGGCGTCGTAGTGTTCAACTACACGTTGGCATTTTCGTTGCATTTGTACGGATTTACACCCGTGTCGCGCCTAAAAATTTTTACACCCATATCGCGCCTAAAGAAGTTTTACTTCAAAAAAGTGTTAAACTTTTCGTCCACATTTAAGCTCTTACTACTTAATCAAAATTAAAAAATCAAAACTGTTCGAAAGATATTAGTTGGCAATGATACTGATTAATTTTAGGTGAAAGGTATCAAGCCGTTTTCTTGTAATTAACTGTTGAATAAAAAATTTAAGCAGATTTTTATGAAACTTTTTTTGTCGACATATATTATGGTCTTATAGAATTCACTGAAATACTACGGCCTTATGACAAGTAGTTTAATTTTAAAAATTCATCAAAGTTTGAGAAAATGAGTAGTTTTTTTTGACATTTGTTAATATGTATTTACAATTAGAGGATTTACTTGGTATAACGATAGTAGTGCTTGGTCTTAATGAACATACCTACCATTAAAGTCCTGCAAAAACTGAGTCAATTATATAAATTGTAGATTTTTGAAAATTTGCTTTTAGAAAATACTCCGAGTTAACGTGTTCGTTCGTTTTCAATGATGTGTAACAGATCCACTCGGAATACTTTTAATCGCTCATAAATTAATTTATTTTTTATTGATTAAGTCGATTATTTACACATCGGGAAGTTCATGTAACTTGCCTCAAGGCTAAATACCAATACCAACTAGTTTTAATATGTGTAGGGTCGGCATAAAACTCGCAATCATAAATGGGTCCCGAAGGACAAATGCTTAAGAAACTTCGATATATATATATATATATATATATATATATATATATATATATATATATATTGCTTAAGGAATGCTTAAGAAACTTCGATATATATATAATATATATATATATATATATATATATATATATATATATATAATTTATATAATTATTATTTTTATTTACTACTATATTCCTCGCTTCTCGTTCTGTTTTAATTAATCCAACTTTTGCAATAAATTAGAATGCAATTAACAATATTTCATGTGAATTCACTTTCGCATACAATATTTATGCATCAAATTTCCTGCAATTTTAGTGATTTCGAATCAACTGCATTCTTTGTGGCGTGATTCACAAATTCTGTATAAACACCTACTCACAATAAAGGATATTGTGATAAATTGTTTAAATTATTGCTGAATTGTTCAATTATTCGAAACAAACGGTGTATTTCGTCGTCGACCGAGACACCATGATGAAAAGCTAATTTTTATCCATTTTTTACTATCGATAAAAGTTGATATTCTATTTTCTTGAATTTTACTTTAACCATACCAGTCGAAACTGTCGCAATATTTTTTCGTTCAGAAATTTATTATTGGTGTTGAAATTGCCAAAAATTAATTTCGACAGTTGCGATTCCATGTTTTGAATTCATGCAACCGAAAGCTAAATAACTCTTCAAGGACCAATCCGAAACAATTGCGTGAGAATAATACTCATATCTTGTTTAGATATTTGTTAATATTTTCGCAATGAATATTCATAATTCAAATATTTTGATATTACAGCTGCATTTGTTTTGAATTTGAATATTTTCTGTGAATGTGTTTCTCATACTTCTTATAAATGCAAATATCTGTCACTTAAATGTAGAAAATAATGGGTATGAAGCATAACACGAAGTACATGGATTTATCATTAACGTATCTATGCATATACATATACACACACACATACGCACACACACACACATATATTATATATATATATATATATATATATATATATATATATATATATATGTATATATTAGAGATGGGTAACTCACTCCGGAGTTATCACCCCGATTCAACTCCTCTCTCGGTGTGAATCCGAGCGGAGTTGTGTCGGAGATTTTGTCATATCCGACTTTCCTAAACTGGTATTAAATCTGTTAACTCGTGCAGACAATTACTGTGTTTTTGTTTTGGGAAGGAAGCAGTCGCTTTCTCGTCTCACAGGCAGTTTTATAAATATTCTTATATATCATAATATTTGAGTGATGCTACAGATGGCGCACGAATTTACTTAATGTCACATTTTAGAAATAAATATATGAAACTTACTATATATAAAAATTGTTGTGCGCTCTATCTAAATGTTTATATAAAGGGCTAATACTATTAGAGAATCATTTTTTATTGATTTGGAAGCTTTTGCGCCCGTGGGAGCAAAGAAATTCGAAAATGTTCTTGTTAAGGACCACCCTAATATATATATATATATATATATATATATGTATATATATATGTATATATATATATATATACAGGGCCGGTCCTGGGGTCCTCAGCGCCCGCATGCAAGAATTGTTCTAGTGCCCCGCCCCCAATAATTTTAACTGTTTTAACATTTATCATTAAAATTATATGAATATTTACGTAAATTCACACCAAAAATTAGAAATAATCTAAAAGCGTATAAAATACATTGATTTTAATTTTATTTAGAAAATCGAAGCGATTTGCGGGTTGACCATGATTAAATATTTTATATTTTCAAGTATTTGTAACATATATGTAATATTAATATTTGGGTTTTGAAACATTTCACTTATTTCATCGAACTCATTTTTATTTTTAAACATAACATTCATTTTTCATGTTAGATTTTTAAAATTTCATTTTAATTGTTTTTCATTATTTACAATATCCAAAATTGCATCAGTAACTTATTAATATCGTAAAGCCAAATTGTATTCATGTTTACTTTCCCATCTGATTCAGAATATCAGATTGTTAAAGTTAAATTTTTAACGTATTTTAAAAGATGCAAAAAAATTACATATTTCCTGAACTATATCGAAAACAAAATTATTTCTGCTTAGTTAATAATTAAATTTATTTATTATTTAGTATGGACACCACTAGGTATAAAAAAGCTCACGAGTTTTGTTTCTAAGAACATTTTGCTTCAATTTTTCATACTTGCTCCATTTCCATAAATCTAACCACGCATGTCTTCAAAGTTCAAAGTTAATCAGATGCGAAACATTTTCAACAAATACAAAAGTTACAATTAAGTTTCTTGGTCTTATAGTCATTTTCTATGCACTGACTCTCATTTTCCATTTTTCTCTATTATAATTTGTATCTATTTTTTTTTAATTTCCGTTCAAACTAAATAACGTCGCAATTTTTTTTATCAATAATGCCCAATAATTTAAACTTTCGTAGGTTTGCACTTACGGTATTGAACACTAGATAATTTCTTTTTCAATTTCACATTAACTTCGATCGAAGAAAAATTTAATGAGTTCATTAAATAATAAACAGAAAAATAATTTACTAATTTGCATGAGTAATTAATTGTTTCTACAGATATCACATTGCAAACTGAATATGCTTTCTGTTTCTACGTATCCATAGTTAAGTTAGATTGTTTATTATAATCTGTTAAGTATTCTAGGTTTTATATTTAAAAAAAATACGAATAATATATTATAAATTTCTTTTCCGAATCTTGTTTTGGCGCCCCCTGAGGCGGCGTGTGCCCGCATTTTTTGCATGCATCGCATGCAAGGCAGGACCGGCCCTGTATATATATATATATATATATATATATATATATATATATATATATATATATAGGGTAGAGCGGAGCTTAAAGCTCCGCGGGTAAAAAGGAAAACTACCGATATCTCAAAACCAGTAGGCGGTAATGATTAGTTAATATTTACCCATAAAATAACTATACTACGTTAATTTTACTATTATATTTTTGATTAACTTTTGTTAATTAAGTGGTAGTCAGATGAAGATAAATCACAAACTTTCATTTTTACCTTACTGGTCTTTAGGCAGCACCCTTTTCATGCGTTCGACCCAATACTCCTCCTCTACCTTGTCCGCAGCGACTTGGAACAAATTTCCAAGTTTTCTGACTTGAACGGGAACGCGTTTCACGCTATTTGGTAATTTGTATATTACCCACTGGTCTTGGAATCTGTTTATAAGATTGTTATTTCCGAAGATTAATATTTTTAATAAGTTTTCCTCGGCAAAAGCTACAGCTTGCAGGGAATCACAAGACTCTATTTCTACCCAAAATTCAATTAGAATCTTATCTTCGATTTCATGGAACTTTTCATCTATAATCTTGATATCGGACATTTTTGAAAATATTTAGATGTTTTTTATTGGTCTTGGAATCTGTTTATAAGATTGTTATTTTCGAAGATTAATATTTTTATTAAGTTTTCCTCGGTAAAAGCTACAGCTTGCAGGGAATCACAAGACTTATTTTCTACCCAAAACTCAATCAAAATTTTATCTTCGATTTCATGGAACTTTTCATCTATAATCTTGATATCGGACATTTTTAAAAATATTTAGATGTTTTTTTATTTCAGGTTAGTTTAACCACCTACTATGACTTTAATTGCCGAACAAATGAATTATATTTCAATTCAACGATGAATTGATTATTGTAAATTTAAAAAAAATGATTCATGTGCGGCTCAAACCTCGGCGTCAACACTAAAAGTTCTGTACAAGTACTTATCACCGAAATTTAATCACATCTAACTGTTTAATATTGAAATATTGAAGAATTAGAATAAATATTCAAATGTTATGAAAAAATAGGGAGCTATGTGTAAGTGACATTTTGACTTAGTTAGGGTGGTTGCTAGAGTTTGTACAAAAACCGACATTTCAGAAAACCGGTTTTCGAACTTCAATTTTACTAAAAACCCGGTTTTAACCGGTTTTCGAATTTTATATAGAAAATAAATTTTTGCTCGAACATTCTGTAATTTATCCGCAAAATTAGTGTAATTTAGAGCAGTATTTGACTGAATTTATTTATTGTTTAATTTTATAGATAGTAAACAAATTTATTTTAATTTTAATTAGTAGAACTAAAAAATTATAGTTTATCGTGATTAAATAAATTTGAAAATAATTATTCGTATTCATCATTTTCACATCTAAGAATGAAAATATTTTTATGGTAGTGAAAGGAAAGTTTTCGAATAGATATAAAAATAATACATTTCTAAAAAAAATCATTAAATTAAAAAAAAAATAAATAAATAAAAAAATATTAGATACATTTTGATACATACTTCTTAATATCAATTTTAGTTCACGTCAATCGAATTACTACTGAGACGTGTCCTCTGTTTACTCACAAAATTTCCTGAAATAGAAAATACTCTCATACTTGCGACCAAATTATGATTAATTGTTTTTAAAGCCTGATATGATAATTCCAAGTTTTTTGTTCTTTAATTTGTGGCTTCTAGGGTTTAAAACTCTTTTTTTAAAGTTTGAGTAGAGGAAGTTACTTCTTCAAGAAGAAGTCTCACTGGTTTAAATTGATATATGCACTGGTATAAAAATCTAAATTAATATATACAATTTCTGGGAACCATTGCAGACTGATAAGATATCAAATGCTATAGAAATGATATGATTTCAAGAATCAAAATGCTTTCATCTATCTTTTATATTTGGCTATATTCGTCATTTTCCATTTATACAGTGAAAACCGACTTTTTTCACTAAAAACCGGTTTTCGAATTCCATAATTTTTGCCAAAAAACCGGTTTTTGAAAACCGACAAACCCTCTGGTTGCATAAACTTCGTGATAATCGTGTTACTCAGCTTTACTCCAGTCAATGGATCGTTTTGGGTCTGAATTATTTTACTGTGCTCCGATTTGCATGAAATTTTGGAATTAGGTTCAATGTTCAAGTTCAAAAGTGAAAACAATTTGAATTCCGCCACCACCGCCACCGCTGGGTCGACTTCAACAAATGTTCGAAAAGGTTCCTAAGCCCTATAAATCATTACACCGTCGACTGCAACAATATAGCAGCAATAATGTTGCACAATAAATATAAAATCACGTTTTACGATTAGTTAATTCTATGAATCTCATTGTCTATCAGACAACAACGAGCGACGATGTTGCGTTGTCAAAAGTTACTTGGAGAACCTGCGACATGTGACAGTCGCTGATGAACGAACTAACGTTTGCATGATGACCATTTATGTGAAAATTAAGATTATTATTCCATACCAGTTCTATTATGAACAACTGTCGCCATATATGATTATTGTAATATACAAGTATGAAATTATCATATTAAATATATAAGAGGATTTATTTTGTCGCAGAAACCATTGTTGAGCAACATCAACTTTGTCAAGAGGTAATGGATACTATAGATATTTATTAACTTTTCGTAGGATAAGTTATAGTAGTAGGCCAAAAATCGAAAATGAAAATTTTTGCATATCTTCACGTTTCAGAGGGTTTTGTCATACCTCAATAAACGTGGATGTGTGTGTGTGTATTTTGTGTGGTTTTTCGGGCGCACGGATCAACTGATTTGAATGGTTCAAAAAACATTCGATTTCCATTAATAGGGAGATGTGCTGATTAGTTTTTGGCAAAGGCAGGTCCAGCCGTTACGAAGATACAGAGCTAAATGTACAAAAACTGTCAGTTTTTGAGAGAACTAAGCATCCATTTTTTTTTGTCAATCAAAACTTTATTCAAGTATGCAATTTGAATGATTCAAGAAACTTTCTGCCTATCTTGACAAAACAACTGCTCTTGGGGATTTTTTTTATTAATTTAACATTATTTATTTATTTTTGAAGTAAAACTTCTTTAGGCGCGACTAGGGAGTAAACCCGTACAAATGCAACGGAAGTGCGTTACGGCAGATAAGATAAGAGTCGAGTGCCAATGATTCGTCATTCGCTCTCGATGATATCATTTCTATACGCGTCGATTGTGATTAGTAGTCGCGTATGTGAATAGAGATCTGTCGTTGTATGCGTACCGGCATCAACGTTGTATGCGTACTGATATTAACAAGGAAATCGGCATAGATAAATAAACATTTTAAAGTTACATCGTAGTACTAATCTTTATTAAATGGAAAATGCCTGAATCAGAAGAATATTTTACCCTGTCCTCCGTAAATAATTATAATGAAAATAATAAAACAAATGCAGCATTTTAAATAATTTCTATATTATTCGTAGTTTCTATAAATCTTTGAAGTTATTGAAATGGAAAATATTTTTTAGGAAAAACAGATATTACAGCTGTTCAAAGAATGAGATTATATCGCCAGCGAAAAAGTAAAAAAAATACCATCAGTCAATGAATGTATGTTAATTTTAATTACATGAAGTTCTTCAAACACAATTACATGATGAGTGAAGTTGCAAAAACAATATTTGTTTAGGCGCTGTTTCATAATCCACTGTGTGAACGAATATTATAGAATTTATTAATCAGCAATTACTTAATTCCTCTAACGAAGGTTCATTTCTAAATGCTAATTACAATGACAAACCGATCATGACATATTTGAAGTATGACTTTAATTACATTATTGTTTTTAAATATTACACATAATTTTAGTGCTATTATAAATATATAATTTATAATTTATCATTATATAAATGTGTATAATGGTTGACACTAATAAATGTGTGCATCACGAGTGTTACTATATTACTAATGAATATCATTCAAAATTGTTATATGATGTATTTATTTTTGCGCAAATGCCATCTTGTACAGTAGCAAATAAGTTTTACTTCAATCGCGTGTGAAACTTACGCGCACTCTTTTTTTATTTCAACATTATTTATTTATTTATTTTTTTTAATTTTTTTTGTATATCAAAAATAATTCAGATTTTAATTTTAATTTAGGCTAAAGTTTTAAAGCTCATTTATAGCTTTAAATAAATGATTTCAACTTTGTAATTCAGTTTATATAATTCTTATAAATATTCGACATTGTTACAGTATTTATAATAATATATTTGAAAATATTTAATATTCCTCGAACATTTCGTTACAGTATGGGAAATTCCAGCAATTTGCCTTGAGGCACGATGCCATGCACCACTAGTTATTATTTAAATGGCTAAAGAGCACAATAAGAACTTTTAAATATCTGCTATAAAATCACTATTTTTTATATATTATCATTGTGTGTAAAATTATTATTTTATATGCACCAAATATTTACAACTTATTGCTTTTCATCACTATGAGTGAGCTTAATATCAAAGTATTCAAGGCTTAACCTCAT